AGAAGCTTAGCTGTCTACCGAAAGGGCGTTGCATGAAGAAGTTCGGCCGCTACCTGTCGCGAGGGCGCCCAAGGTCCGGCCTGGACCATAGCAGCATGTACAGGAACTACCGCCGCGTTTAGAGCAGCCACCACTGGAGCTGCTGGAGCAGCTGTTGGAGCGCCGTCTACGCTTTGCAAAGGAGAGGCCCGTGGAACTGCCGGCGCGGTAGTCGTTTGTTCGGTTGGAGACCGTCGCACTGGAAGAACGGGTCGAAGTCTCTGACGCGGTACCGTAAGCGTAGTCTGCGGAGCTGCGGTTACTAGAACTGCACGCCGCGGTACGCGAACTACATGTTCGGTTACGGGCGTTACTCGGGCGGCGGCGGCTGAGGCGTCTTCTACCGGAGGTGGAACCGGTACAACTGGACCGACTTGTAAAGCGACGGCTACCACGGGACAGGCCGTTACTGCATCCCCAGCAGTTTCCCGCCCTACAACTACTCCGGCAGCACGAACCGCGCGGCGCGCGTGAGGAGGAAACGCCGTAGCTTCAGCCGCGGCACGTCCTCTGTCGACCTTAAGCGGACGCTCATCGCCGTGACCTCGGGCGCCAACATGAACTTTGATCGGCTGAGATTTGTCGCCGAGCGTGCCACGCTGGGTGAGGGCAAGGAGGTGCTGATGGCGGCCAGCATCCCGGAGCGCCCTGGAGCTTTTGCCAAGCTTGTCGACACCATCATGCCTCGCCCCGTGACGGAGTTTTCCTACCGCTACTCCTCTGGCAACGTTGCCAACGTCCTCATCGGTCTCTCCATAACAGTGCCGGCCGCCCAGAGGGCCGAGGAGGTGCGATCGCTCATGGAGCGCATCCGCGCCGAGGGCATGGAGGTGACGGACCTTTCCAATGACGAACTCGCCAAGAGCCATGTGCGCTACCTCATCGGCGGCCGCACCGGCGTGGAGAACGAACGAGTCTTCATGTTCAACTTTCCCGAACGGCCAGGGGCATTGGAAAAGTTCCTCGCAACCCTGCGGCCCAAGTTCAATATCAGCCTTTTCCAGTATCGTACATACGGCGGAGACGTGGCCAAGGTGCTGGCAGGGATCCAGTGTCCACCGGAAGAGAACGCTGAGCTGGAGCAGTTCCTCGAGGAGCTCGGATACCCGTCCGAGGAGTGCACCGACTCGCCAGTTTTCAACATGTTCTTGAAGAGCACCGCCCCGTAGGGCGGTATGGGACTAGGATGATTGGGTTACGGAATCATATCCGCGGCGTTGGGTGCATAACTGTTGTTCAAGGAAAACTTTTTCCTTTTTGTTTTTTCTCTAAGGGCTTGCGGTTTTGTTCTTCTCCGCCACCCATAGGATAAAAAGGTGCTCGACTGGGAAGCTGTATGAAATAGAATTGAAGCTATGATTTCTTCTACAAGCGAAGCGAGGCTGTGTTGATTGAGCAGCGGAAAGGAAGCGGAAGAGCGGATTCAGGGATCCCCGGAAGACAAGGAGGGAAAGCGGTTGCGTGCATACTTGGTCGCTCGGAAATCTCCGAATGTGAGGGCATGCTGCGCTCCTCGGCGGCATGGTTGGCTTGATTAGCGATGCAATCTACTAAGTCCTGGTCATGATGCGGCTCCATACATTACATGTCAAATATCACGAAGAATCGGACAAGGGGCCCAGGGAACAGAATGAAACCCTTGCGGCGATGATGATGATGATAACGGATGCGGGATTGGGCACTTGACGAAACAGGGAAGCCGGAATAATACTATTTATACCCATGAATTGATAAGCTGCCGGACAGCAATGAGCCCATGGGAAGGTGAAGCAGGTGTGAGGCTTGCTGTCAGCTTTGGGGGCTTTTTTTTTCTCGGTCCCCTGAGAAGTTGTGGTGTTGAATGTGCTTTCATGAACACGGTGGCGTAGTTTTTTGTGACATGATGTTTGGACGCTGACGGTTGACTGGGGTTGAGAGAACGGGGGAACTGCGAGAGAATGTAATACAATGTAGAGAGAATCAGCCATGTTGCAGAGTAACATCTTGACGTGCACATTCAAGATGGCTTGCAGGTGGTGTAATACTACTACCCTAGCCAGGCACGAGCATCACTTCTACTACTACCATCTACGGATGACTTACCGCAAGTGATATCTCGCTGGCAGCCAATTCGGCGGCAATTGTGAGATTGCCGAGGATTGCTACTTTTTGGGTAGATGCATGAAACGTTTCCCTCACCGGAAGATTCGTCCTCATAGGGCGTGGGCCGAGATACATTGGATGTCACCTGCTCGGTCTGGTAATGACTGGATGCGAAGACGGCGTGATGGACTGCTTCTGATGCTGACCTGGATGCCAGAGCCTATTGGCCCCCAGGTACGGATAGGGCGCGGGATCGACCTCCCTACATCTCTACCGAGGCACACATGTACGATTGGGCCAAACCGGCGTCAGCATCGCTACCAGGTACGGACGGCTTGTCCTAGACGGACCGTGGCAGCGGAAGCGGTGCATGCGGCTTGAATGCCTGGGTAGAAAGCTAAGGTACTCATGGAATACAGCTGCAAGGAACGCGGAGTACTACCGTAAAAGGCAGATGGACTTTTCGTGATCATGGACAATGTTGGTCTTCCTTTCTGATTCTAGAACGCAACGGCTGCTCGTGGCTCGTATCCTTGCCGTGAGATCGCGCGCGATGGCTCGCTGCACAACAGGCCATATGTAAGACGAGCATGGGATTTGTATTTTGCTAGGTAAAGGTAGGGCTTGGCTTGTTTCCCAGCTTGCCAGCTTCCAAACAGCCTTCCATTCTGTTTCCGTAGTTCTTTTTTTAGGGAACCCCCCCTGGTCAGTGCGTCACGGCTAGCTGGCTCGTGCTTTTTTCCCTTCCCATCCCGAGCGCACGGATTGCTTAGCGCTCTGTGCGGAGGGGGATGTACCTGTACTTCTCTGCCTTCCACAAGCACCGCAACGCTTTTGGGTCGTACGAAACGCTGGACCTCTGCCGACTCGGGATGCAGGCCATGCAATTAGCACTGCCTTGTTCAGGGCACACATTGAAGTAGTTTGACGACCTGAGGTGAGACTTGGTTGTTACGGCCTGTTCCATTGGAGGATGCGTCTCTTTGGTTGCGCATGTCAGCCATGAAGGATCGTGGTGGCGTCTCGTCGGTGGCTTACGTACATGTACCTCTTCTATTGTTCCGCGCATGTTCCTTGGGCCTGATGGGTGGTAATTGGCGAGACTTCGGCAAACCAGGCATCTAAGGTACGTCTCGGTACCAACTGTACATGCTCCGTAATGCGAGCGAGATTTGCGAATGCCAATAGGTCGGTTTGCTACTACCCAGATCCAGATCCTACATATTTATGGGAGACAGTCATTGAGATGAATCAACTGTATCATGTTTCAAAGGACAGCACGAGGAGATGCGCCGTTAGAATGTCGAGCCGTTGATTGCCACGTTTTCAAGGGACCCTGTGGTTGGAGGTGAAAAGATTTGGCGCCGCTGGCGTCATCCAGATTTCGGCAATAGGCCCGTAGCTCGAATCCAGCCTGCCTTGGGTTAGCCTGGTCGGTACTCGTACTCTGTACAGCTACAGGTACTTGATGCCAGAAGCTGCTGAAAAAGTCTCTTCCATGCAAAATTGCTGCACAAGTGTAAATCTGTCAAGAAATCGACATCACCTTGCTGCTTGACTGATCGCAAATCCCCCTTGCTGTGCCTGCATGAGACATCTGATGTATCTGGTACTTGCACACAGCTTGTCGACCCCCTGCTGTTTGCTGCCGAGATGCTGCACCCTCCCTGGTCATGAGGCTGCCCGTCCGCGCTACGGGTTAGCACCTCATCTGTGTTACAGGCGGTACGGAGGACTCCGTGGCGGTTGTACAGGTACTTTGTGCGAGTAAAGTACAGCAAGTTCCGGTCCCCGTCTCTCCTGCCTTGCTTGACGAGGCTCGACACCGACACTGCAGTTGTCATCCCTCTCCCCCTCAGCCCGGCCGTCTCCCCTTCAACCTTACCTAGTACCTATTTCCAGTGTATCCCTCACATTTCATCGCCAGCCGTTTCGGCGTTGCCGGTGATCGACCGCTGCTTGATCAATCCATCTCGGCTGTTGTCTGCCCCCCCAGCTGCGCTCCGCTGCAGGGTGTCTGCAGGCTCTCGCTCGCTCGCTGAGACCGCCTCCAACCCTAGCCACAGCTCGCCACGCCAGTCCTCGGAGCTACCCCACGTCAAACGTCAAGGAAAAAAGCTGCAGCATCCATACCGGCAGCTGGCTTGTTCGACTAAGGCATGACTAGGTAATACATAGCCTGGTGTGTGTGTGTGTGCATGTGTGCGTGTCTGCACTGCGTCTCGTCTGCGCAGTGACCCTCCACTCTCGCTGCTCCGGGCCCTCTCCCATCGACCCTCCCTCCATGTTGTCTCTTCCCCTTCTCTCCAGCTCAAAAGCGGGCTACTCGATCTGAGCCGCTCACTAATCCTCGAGTCCGCAGAACTGAGACGCCCCTTTATAACCGTCGACCTTCAGCAAACTCCCGACTCTTTGATTGCTACGGTGCAGCTTCTGCTATATCGTCTGGTGGGAATCCCTCTCCGCCACTTCGCCCGGGCTGCCGTTGTTTGCTAACGATCTCGACCTAGCCCGTTGACTGCTGGCACGCGACCGCCTCTGCCTTGGGCCGAGTCACAGTGACAATCAACAGTCGCCAAAGTCGCCGAGCATTTGGTTAATCACCTTTTCTGTCAATATCCTTCCTCAGTTCATCATAGCGAAGCTTTGCGACGATCGTCGAGTTGAACCTCCTTACTACGCAATAGTCGGTGACAGCTGGACCGCCTCCGTCACAGCGACATCCACATCCCTGGCCCGATATCGCTTGCCCACCGCATAATTCCGAATCGTTTGTGTTGACGTCGTCGCTGCGAAAACGTAAACGGCTGCCGTTGCAAAGAGATCCTTGCGAAGCTGCTGCTGGACGAGCAAGAGTAGGGCATCCATCCGACTATTCTGAAGGAGCATGACCCGGGCTTCATCACGACGCTTCCGAACGCAACAGCGACGCCTTACAATCAGTGGCCAGAAACAAGATAGAATCAGCTAAAGGCAGCGGGGGAGACGCTTGCTTTTAAGCAAACAAAAATCTCTCCGAGGCTTTCTGCGAACGGGCGGTGCTGACAGCCCGCAAGCACCGAGGCGCCTTGCAGAAGCTCGACATCATAAGGGTGCCCTCACCCAAACCCCTCGGTTGAGCATCACGATGAGACGCAGTCGCTCCCCGAGTGCGCCTTCGCACTACCGGGCGCTGGGCCATCATGGCAACGGGGCCAAATCAGACTCCGTCTCGCTCATCCGGTCGTTCAATGTCGAGAACAACCCGACACGCCCGATGCGACCATCCCCGCTCACGGCGTCGACCATCAGGGACATGCCATTGGACCTGGTAGACCGCATCAGGAGCTTTCCCCTCTTCCTCTCCGCGTCGGAAGAGTTTTTAGTAGCCATTGGCAATCATCTGAAACCGCAGGTACACGGGCCCAACGACCACATCATCACAGAGGGGGACGACGCAAAGGCCATGTACTGGCTGGTGCGAGGCGTCGTCGCAGTCACGTCTCGCGACGGCGAAGCGGTTTATGCAGAACTCAAGGCTGGCGCATTTTTCGGCGAGATCGGAGTGCTCATGGACATGCCCAGGACGGCCACCATCGTCGCCCGAACCAAGTGCCTGTTGCTGGTGCTGAAGAAGGAAGACTTGCAGACCGTCATGCCCAAGTTCCCGGAGATGGAAAAGGCCATTCGACAGGAGGCGGAGGAAAGACTGAGCGTGCTCAAGAAGAAGCGCCTTGAGCGCGGTGCCAGGCTCAAATCCGCCAAGAGCGATTCTGCTGCGCGAACGACGACGCCGGGCGAAGTGTCGACGGGAGAGACGGGCGCGATCAAGGACGGCACGGTGGTCAAGTCCAAGAAGCGAAAATCCCCGAGCCCCAGCGTGATCGAGGACCCGGCCCTTGGCAGCGCGTTGGGAAGCGGGTTCGTCAACATTCGAAAGACGCTTAAGGAGCTTCCTCTCTTCTCGAATCTGCCGCCCGATGTCCTACACTTCCTTGGCCTGAGCGTCCAGCCAAAGACGTATCCGCCCTTCACCGACATAGTACGCGAGGGCAGCCCTGGCCATGAGATTTTCTTCATCGTGCGTGGCGAAGCGGAAGTCATTCACACCCACCCCAAAACAGACAGGGAAGCCGAAAGCTTGACCAGATCGATCCAAAAAAGACCTCGGCTAAAGGCTGGACAATACTTTGGAGAGGTTGCGAGCCTGGGCCTGTCTCGTGGGCGCACGGCGACAGTCAGATCGATCACGACAGTGGAATGTTTGATGATACCGGGTGAAACGTTGGATGAACTGTGGTCACGCTGCTCTCCGGATATCAAATCACAGGTGGAACAGACGGCGTGGCATCGCTACAACTACCGTGACGAGGATGTCGACATGACCGATGCAGATCAGCAGCGCCGAAAGGCGAGCAAGTCAGACCCCCCGACGCCAAAGCTTGCCCGACTCAGTCTTCCTGACGTTGAGTTTACAACACCCTTCAAGCCGTTATCCGCGTCTCCCCGGGATGCATCTGAAGTCATGGAGCCCAAGGATCCAGATCCGTTTTTGAGTGTCGACATGGAGAACCTAAAGAACCGAAGGAGACACTCGATAGCACCGCCCACCACGCCCACCACGCCCGCCACGTCCACCGAGGCTTCCCCGACCACGCCTACGAGGCAGAATGGAACACGAACCCAGTTACCAGAGCAGCCATCTCCCATGGCCGTGACTGCGCCGGAGCCTGAATTTGATATGCCGGCAAAGCGGGCTAAGACCCTGTATCACCGGCCGCACTCTCTCCGGCCGAACACGATCACGGACAATATCCTGGTGAACATCTTTCAGTATGCCGATATTGGAGAGCTCTTGAGGCTGCGGCTTGTCAACAGTCACTGGAAGCACCTCTTGACTACCTCCCCGAAGCTGTGCAGATATGTCGACCTCTCCTACTACAACAGGAGGGTGACCGACCAGGTCATCATCGAGGTCCTGGCGCCCTTTATTGGAACGCGCGCGCTCGTCATCGACCTCAACAACTGCTTTCACATCACCGACGAGGGTTTTTCCGTGCTGTGGAAGACGTGCGGAAAGAATGTGCAGAGGTGGAGGATGCGCTCGCTGTGGGACGTTTCGGCAAACCAGATCCTCGAGATGAGCGAAAACGCCAAGGGCCTTAGGGAAGTGGACTGGAGTAACTGTCGTAAAGTCGGAGACAATCTGCTCGGGCGAGTTGTGGGATGGGTTGTCCCTGAGCCACCGCCAATGAACAACAGCAAGGTTGTGATATCCAGCTCGGGCAAGAAGGCGAAGGAGAAGGCTGCCCAGCAACCGGCTCCCAACATGCCACCTCCCGGAACGGTGATTGGCTGCTCCAAGCTCAACACGCTGAACCTCTCGTACTGCAAGCACATCACAGACCGGTCGATGGGCCATCTCGCGGCCCATGCCTCGAACCGGCTCGAGTCGCTGTCCCTCACTCGCTGCACATCCATCACAGACGCAGGGTTCCAAGCGTGGGCTCAGTTCAAGTTTGAGAAGCTGACCCATCTCTGCCTGGCGGACTGCACCTATCTCTCCGACAACGCCATCGTGGCACTCGTCAACGCGGCCAAAAACCTGACCCATCTCGACCTGTCCTTTTGTTGCGCGCTTTCGGACACGGCAACGGAGGTGGTCGCCCTCGGCCTTCCCCGGCTGCGCGAGTTGAGGCTCGCCTTTTGCGGCAGCGCTGTGAGCGACGCCAGTTTGGAGAGCGTGGCCCTTCACCTCAACGAGCTCGAGGGCCTCTCTGTCCGCGGCTGCGTCCGCGTGACGGGCAAGGGCCTGGAATACATCCTCAGGGGCTGCACGCGCCTCAAGTGGGTCGACGTCAGCCAGTGCCGCAATCTGGAACCATGGCTTCGGGCAGGCAACATATCGAAATGGGGATTCGACAGCCGGGCCGGGAAGCCGGAAGCGACGTCGGTGAACAGCTGGCCCACGACGGCGTTTGACAGTGTGATTGGAGACTTGCCAACGCCGCGAACGATGAGCGTAGCGATGCTCACGACGCCAAACTTCTTTCCGCGGCCAGGCGCTTCGCTCTTGGGTAGGAGAACGAGACAGCCTGTGAAGTTTATCATTGAAAAGGGGGCGGACGGGCTCCGATGACGTGGTTTCTCATTATGATTCTCATCATTGCAAAGTCATTGCCGGAAATATCTCATCATCATTGTTATCATTATCTTAGCGAAACGCATGACCATCTATGTAATGCCCTCGCGAGTTTCTTTTGTACAAGGTATACTACTATGTGGCATCTCACGCATATATCTTTCCACAAACTCATGGAAAGGAGGGGGGAGCATCTACCGGTGTTGGCAGGGAGGGTTATCTAGAACAAAACAAAGAGGGAGGGGGGGACAAGAGTCTGGAGTACTATTAGGAGAGGGAATCATTGGGCTCTACGACGTGACGATACCCTCCGATGTATAAAGTATGAAGTGTTTTGGTTGGCTGGTGGTGCTTAGACGGGGCATGAGTGTATCTGGGTCACATCTATCTAATTGCATATTGAATGAAGCATCTGGAACGGGACAGCATGAATCGGAGCATATGGAAGTACAAAGTATGAGGACAGGAACTGTGCGGAATCTGGCGGAGTTGATGTTGAAGACTGGACGCAGACCTCAGTAGGAGTACAGCAATAAGTTTGACGGCGTACTCGTACAAGGAGCCTTAGTCATCGCGGTCTTTCGCCCAGAAGCGCTTCGGCGCCACTGCGGGAGGCTTCCACAGGCTTCTAGCACGTGACGCGGACTTAGGTATTGCGGGCATCCGAACGTCATGGCCCGGCTTGCCTGGCAGCTGCAGCCGGACCCCAAAATATATGACCACGATCTTTCTGGCCCGTTTCCTCTCTCATCCATATACAACCACAAAACCCACACGACGAACAACAGCGATCCCTTTCAACGACGACAAATTCACCGCAGAATCTCGACACAGAAACAAACACGAAGAACAGCTCGATAGAGCAAGACACCGTACAACCATGTCCTTTACGCTGAGCATTCAGCAGGGCCCTGCGCGCATTGCGCAGCAGCGGCTCCTCCCCGCGCTCACGAAATCCGCCCTCCGCACGCCCATGTCGATGCGCAGCTTCCACCAGCTCAGCACCAAGACGCCCAAGAGCAGCGCCTTCTTCACCTCGCGCTTTGCCTCGGCGACGACCCGCCACGGCTTCGCGCGCTCGTACTACCAGGAGACGGCCAACGGCCGGACCCAGGCCGCGACGAGCGGGCAGGGCCTGCGCAAGCTGCTGGTGGGAGGCGCCATCTTCGGCGGCACGCTGGTGGCCATCAACGCCGTGTTCAACCGCGAGACGAGGGAGGACGGCGGGATGCCGTTGTTTGAGCGGGAGTACCTGAACAACACGTTCCTGCACACGGGCCTGGGCGTGGGCATCATTGGTTTGACGGCGAGGCAGATGGTGCAGACGGGCTTCGTGTACCGGCTGATGGTGACGAACCCGTGGGTGGTGGGCTTGGGAGGACTGGCGCTGAGCTTTGCGACGATGATTGGCACTCGGTCCATCAGCCCTGACAAGTGAGTTAACCCCTTCCCCTTCTCCCTTGCGAGAGAACCATTCGGCCTTACTGACATGAATTGTGATAGCTACATCCCCAAGTACGCTCTCTGGACTGCCTTCAACGCCACCCAGGCCGCCTTTGTCGCTCCCCTGCTGGCCTTTGTCCCCGTTCCGCTGCTCGCCCGCGCCGGCCTCTACACCGTCGCCATGATGGGCTCCCTGTCCATTGTTGGCGCCACGGCAAAGCAGGAGAAGTACCTCTACATCGGCGGCCCCCTCCTGGCCGGAGCCGCCATCGTCGCCGCCTCCGGATTCGCGCCCCTCCTCATCCCCGCCACGGCCGTCCGGACGCTGGCCTTTACTGAGAGCATCTGGCTGTACGGAGGCCTGGCCGTGTTTGGCGGCTTCACGCTGTACGACGTGCAGAAGGTGCTGCACCACGCTCGGCTGGCGCAGGCCGGCGTGATTAAGCGGGATCCCGTGAACGAGAGCATTTCGCTGGAGCTGGACTTTTTGAACATTTTCATCCGTTTTGTGCAGATTCTGTCGATGAACCAGAACCGGAGAAAGTAAAGGGACGAAGGGCGAGACTGGGGGGTTGAGGGGGTGTTTTATCTGAGATGATTGGGCTTCTCTTCTTATTATGATTAAGGAAAACGGTTGGTTGCGAGGGGTTATCACACTCCGCTCTTGGTTGAATTATATAATATCACGAACATACCTACCTTTAAAGGGGGGGTTACAGATCGACTCCCATGTAACATTTGTGTATCAGTAAGTGGAGGAGTATTTGCAAAGCAGTAAAACACAGGAAGAAATACATAAAAAAAAAGTTCAAAGTTAATTAGCTATGTGACCCTTGGTTGAAGTTGTAATGGGTGCGTCGTAAATGTGCCATAGTTGTACAAATGGGTATAATGTTGAATGCTGAACTCCATCACGTCCCTCCTCCTCCTCCTCCCCCTCCTCCTCTTACTCTTTATCCTCACATCTTCGTCATCCTCATCCTCAAAGCTCGATATTTCACTCCAAGTCCTTAAACGACCTCAGGTAATGGCTCGGGCACTCGTACCCGTCCGGGTTCCTCTCCAGGTACAGCTGATGGTACTCCTCGGCGGTCCACCACTTGCCGGCGGGCACGATCTCGGTGACGACCTTGCCGCCCCACCACTGGCTGTTGACCTTTTCGGTGACCTCGCGCGCGACGCGCTCCTGCTCGGGGGAGTGGAAGTAGATGCCGGAGCGGTACTGCGGGCCGGTGTCGGGACCCTGCTTGTTGAGCGTCGTGGGGTCGTGCATGCGGTAGAAGAATTCGAGGAGCTGGCGGTAGGAGACCTGGGTGGGGTCGAAGATGATTTCCGCGGCCTCGGCGTCTTTTCGCACATGATTAGTTTCAGTCAAATCATTACGATGTTTCTGATTTTAGGAGATGGAATAGACGTAGTGAGGGGGGATGGAGAGGAAGCTTACGGCCTGTCTTTCCGCCGCAGACTGCGCGGTACGAGGGGTTCTCGAGGTCGCCGCCGATGAAGCCGACCTTGGCGTCAATGAGGCCCTTGCCGGTGAAGTGCTTGCGGTAGAGGTGCTCGGTGCCCCAGTAGCAGCCCGCGGCGAGGGTGCAGCGCTCGGCGCCCTCGGGGATGTCGGCGGACGATGAAGAAGAGGTTGATGATGAGGTGCCTGAGGGGGATTCGGGGGCGATGGAGAGGCGGGAGGCGGTTGTGAAGGGGCGGGCGAGGCGGGCGAGGATGTTTGTGAGCATTGTGGTGGTTGTTATTGTTGTTGTGTTTTTTTTTTGTGATTTGTGTGTTGGAGTGGTGGGAGGTAGTAGTAGTAGTAGTAGTTCGGAAGCTCGGATGTAAGTTGTGAAGTTCTGTCAAGTTGAGAGCTGAGGGATTGGTTGTACAAGTAAATGTTGTCTGACGGGATACTAAGGTAGATGGACAAGAAGAGACCGACGACGACGACAAGACTCGTTATATATCAGCCCCTCCTCGCAATGGATTTGGAAGAAGACGAAAAACACAAAAAATCCAACGAGGGGGGGGCAAAAAATATTCCATTGCTTCGCCTTATTTTTTGCTTTCCCTCGATGGGGCTTTTTTGCATGACGCAATTGGACCCCTTCACCCTCTTGGTACTAGCGAGGGAACCGCCATGACAAATCGCGGGCCGCTGGTCGTTGAACAGTTTCCGTGATAGTATGTATGTAGCACCGGGTTGACTGAACTGTCTTCAGGGATTCCGATGTTCTTACATAGCATACGAGTAATACATACTATAGCGTCAATCTAGGGCTGGCTGGTTACGGCATGTAGGTAGTACGTATGACCAGGATTGTCTCTTTCACTGTATCTGTCATTGAGAGTCAATGCTGCCGTGGCCGAGAGATCACGCCGAGACTGAACTGATGGAAGCTGATCCCATCGCCTGTAACCACTACATTACAGCGCCTCAGGCCTCCCAAACCTTCCATCCCCCCCCTGTACTCACATGTACCGCCTCCCCCGCTCCCGCTGCAGCAGCCACGTTTCGGTACATGCTGCATCCCGTGGTCACCCCCCAAACCTTGAAACCACCAAAAAACTCCGCCAGTTTCCTGATTCAACTGATTCCAACCAACTCCGCCCGAATTCCAAATCGCGATTCCAACCGCCGCCCGCGATTCCAGCCCTCCCAATTCCGGAAGTACAACGCCTTTGCATCGAATCAACTCGATGAGTCTTTGCCTTGTCCCTTGAATTGCTGTTCGTCTGCTTTTCTGGATTTGGCATCCAGCTTCTGCGGCGAAGTTGTTGGTGCGAAACCATGTCTTGGAACCTGACCAAAAGTGAGTCTCTGGCGATGCGCTCTGCATCTCATCCTTGCTGCTTCCACGCCCCATTGTCCCAACATTTCTTGCTCTCCTCTTCGTCATGACCTTTTACAATCAATCAATTACTCATCATCCGCCTGCTCTCTGGGCGCAACCTTGACCTGCCTCATGCGCCTGAACATGACCGTGGAATGATTCCCGAATATCCTCAGCTCCAGCCTCAGCCTCACCCTTGGCCTCGGCCTGCAGTTGATCCACAAGCCCACGGGTTGCTCAACGGACAAATCATTCCCTCTCTGCCGCCTGCTGACGAATTGTCTCTCCAGAGCTCAAAGAAACCCACCTGGGCTTCTCGAAATCGTCGTCGCCCTCCACAAAGGACAAGGACAAGGAAAAGGCCAAGAGCGGCGCCACCACCCCGTCTGACGCCAACAGCGTCGCCGACAGGAACAGCTCAGGTACGCCGAAGAACCTCATCCTCGCCTCTCCTGCCTTCTCTTCTCCAACACCTGGCTGACTTGTCATCGCTACCGATAGAGGCCCTCTCGCAGGAACCCGTCATCAAGCCCACCAAGCCCGGCATCCTCGTCCTCACCCTCTACGAAGCCCGCGGCCTCTCCCTCCCCGAACAGTATCAGGATGCCCTCGCGGCGAGCCATCCGACCGGCGCCCGCTCTACCGGAGACGCGCTGACCGGCTCCACGCGAAAACCCTCTGCCTTCTCCGGCAGCCTCGACAGACCGCAGTCGTCCTCCGCGTCCGGCTTCAAGGGCATCCCGACGAACCACGGCCGTGTCTCGGGCAAGTACATGCCGTATGCGCTCGTCGACTTTGACAAGAACCAAGTCTTTATCAATTCAGTTGATGGAAACCCCGAGAACCCTGTCTGGGCTGGTTCCAACACGCAGTACAAGTTTGACGTGTCGCGCGTTGGCGAGCTGACTGTCCAGCTGTTTATGAGAAACCCGTCGGCTGCTGCGGGCACAGGGAGGACTCAGGACATCTTTTTGGGCGCCGTTCGTGTTATGCCCAGATTCGAGGCTGTGCCCGAAACCACGCCGTCGAGCAAAAAGGGTCAGACCGACCGGCCATCGGCCCAGGGCTTCAGCGGGCTGGGGTGGTTTGACTTGCAGAATGGAACGGGGAAGCTCCAGATTGGCGTCAACTTTGTCGAAAACCGCGTCGGAAAGCTTTCCATCGACGACTTTGATCTTCTGACCCTGGTTGGCAAGGGTAGCTTTGGAAAGGTCATGCAGGTCCGGAAGAAGGATACCGGCCGCATCTACGCCATCAAGACGATCCGAAAGGCCAAGATCATAACGCGATCCGAAGTGACGCATACCCTCGCCGAACGCTCCGTCCTCGCACAGATCAACAACCCCTTCATCGTTCCGCTAAAGTTCAGTTTCCAGTCTCCCGAAAAGCTCTACTTCGTCCTGGCCTTTGTCAACGGCGGAGAGTTGTTCTACCATCTATCCAAAGAAGGGCGCTTCGACATCAACCGCTCCCGCTTCTACACGGCCGAGCTGCTGTGCGCGCTTGAATGTCTACACGGCTTCAACGTCATCTACCGGGACTTGAAGCCCGAGAACATCCTCCTCGACTACCAGGGCCACATTGCCCTCTGCGACTTCGGGCTCTGCAAGCTGGAGATGAAGGACGAGGACTCCACCAACACCTTTGTCGGCACCCCCGAGTATCTGGCGCCGGAGCTCCTCAAGGGCGAGGGCTACGGCAAGACGGTCGACTGGTGGACGCTGGGCGTGCTGCTGTACGAAATGCTGACGGGCCTGCCGCCCTTTTACGACGAGAACACCAACGAAATGTATCGCAAGATCCTGACGGCTCCCCTCAATTTCCCCGGCTACGACGTGGTGCCCCCGGCGGCCAGGGACCTGCTGACCAAGCTGCTGGAGCGCGACCCCAGCAAGAGACTGGGCGTCAACGGGTCCACCGAGATCAAGTCGCATCCTTTCTTCCACGGCATCGACTGGAAGAAGTTGCTGCAGCGCAAATACGAACCGGCATTCAAGCCCAACGTGGTGAGTTCTTATTCCATGAACTGGATATATGTATATACATATATACATATATCCAGAGAAACACCCCCCAGATATCAAAGGAAAAAAAAGCCAGCTAACGTTGTAAAACCCAGGCCAACGCTCTCGACACAGGCAACTTTGACGACGTCTTCCGAAACGAGCCCGCCCAGGACTCGGTCCCCGACGACTTCGTGCTGTCCAAGACGATGCAGGACCAGTTTGTCAACTTTAGCTACAACAGACCAGTCGCGGGACTCGACGACGCAGGAGGCAGCATCAAGGATCCCTCCTTCTTAGAGGCCTCGGAGGCCCGCGGACGGAGGTAGATGAGAGTACAAACGACCTGTTTGGCTTTCATCTTTCGTGACTTTGCCCTGTTTCGTTTTTATATCTGTTTGTTCTTTTCCCCCCCTTCTTTTTATGGAATCTGGCTTTTGGCATTTTTTTCTCCCTTCATATGGGGGAAAACGGCACGCAGACCGTGTCGGGGCAACGCATCGAGCATTGCAGTCGGTCGTATCAGGTGGACAATAGGGGAGTCAAGGCGGGTTTTCTTGTCGCTACTTTTTGTTTGCATCACAGATTATGTGTGTTCGTGTGTGCGCGCTTTTGGGATTTCCGCTAGATATATACAGTCTTGTTTGTCTGACGGCACTGCGGTGCTTTTTTAGCATGAAATGAGACGATTTCTCTGAGATTATAGTTTTTCTCTAAACGAGAAATGGTAATTCGCCTTGTAAAGGTGAGCATCGCCTTTAGATATGTGAGCAGCGTGGCCCATTTGCAGGAAAAGAGTCCTCGCGCTCGGACTGCAAAGAAAGGGGAAGGGAGATCCATGACTTCGCATGTCGTTCGCTCATTTGCCGTTTCAGTCATTCCATCATGCAACCGTCGTTTGCTGCAAAAGCAGCCGAAGTAAGCCATAAGAGAAGCGAGAGAGGAGCCGAAATGGTCTAAAACAGAATAAGAAGAAGCAAGAGGAGAGCGGATGGGAAAAGGCGAGGGCATGGGCGTGGTCCCATCCAGCTATGTGTGCCGCATGTCGAAAGACCAATCTAGATGAAGTATCCAGCCGAAACTGCAGTGAGGAGAATGTCCATGTGACGCCGATATCGACCCCGTCTTCTCATCTCGCCGACGGGCAGCGGATTCTCCGAGAGCTCAGGTGAGGTCATCGTGGCCAAAGACGCCCACGGCCATTGCCTAGGGATCGGTCGAAGTGCATCGAGAGGACTCGTGTTGGTCACTAGCGTCGAGCTGACTGAGGCGACACTCCCCGACGCGGCACCTCACCGCATCATCGTCCGGTCTTTTACGTGTACGGGGTTTTGCAGCCCGTGGGACAAATACTCCGTCCACGAGTATGAAATAGTAGTGTTACTTCGTACAAGAGTCGACAAAGGGCGCCGCCCAAGAAACGGGTTAAACGCTTCGTATCCGAGAATCCTTGATTCTAGCTCTCTCTCACGCGCTAGTATGCATGATCATGCTCGCTTCAAGCATCTGAAGCGAAAACCATGTGTTCAAGACGCACTGCAACTGTGGCATGTGCTGGTAGTCATATGACTCACCGACCTTGGAAAAGAAGGAGGTGAAAAAGCGAAGAGAAGGTAGAGACAGAAAAACACCTGGGGGCCTTATCCAGGCAGATGATGGAAATGGTTGGTATTAGAAAGAAGATATAGGCAAAAACAAAGAGTAGAGAAAGAAAAGACGTGCTAATACAGATTGGGAGAAGATCTAGGTATTGCCTTGTTTCATCATTCGTGCCGAGTGAGTGCGAGCTCTCGCTCTAGTGTTGATCTCCAGTGTATCAAGTCTCTGTCCTCATCCTCCCAATAGGCCAGCATGCCAACCGTTTTGTAGACAGAATCCTCCCAGTCGGTAGGCATCGCACATCCGGCTCGGGCGGCCGCTACTAGAACCAACGAGCTCCGTGTGCAGGCCCGTATCATGAACATGCTCCCATGGTGTCGATGATGAAAGCCTGGCTTGTTGACGTGTACCTGATGCATGTGCGTCTCCAACCCCCGTCTGGCAAACTCTGCCACGGCAGGCTTGACGGGCCTCCTTGCGGCGTGAGCGCTGATGCTGGCCATGACAAAAGGCCAGTATATCTGCTCAAAAAGGTTGATCATCCGGCCTCGGAGGACTGACCGACATATGCCGTCCTCCTCTACGGGAGTATGGATGGACAGATCAGCAGGCAGGCTATCCGACCACTCGCGGATCTGAGCCTCGTACTCGGGCATCATATCCAGCAGCGCGTCGAGCAGCACAGCGTCAGAGGGGTAGCGCTGACGGAGATCCAGAGCCTCTCTGGAAAGGCGACTAGTGAGACGGCGGAGCGAAATCTCGGCCAAGTAGAACAGCCAAGCGGCGCGAGCCCGCTGGGTCTCAGAGTCAGGCCCGTCTGGAGACTCGGCTGGGGCAACCGGAGGTGCGGGGAAGAAGGGCGGATATAAGGTGCTCCCAGAGTGCAGGATGTCGAAGTCAGGAAGGTCCAGCTCCTGTCGTAACTCTCGTTCCGACTTCCACGCGGACCAATACACGGCCTGCTCTTGGGTATCTTGGCGGCCCATTTCCATCGATTCCAGCGAGGCGTTGAGGTTCTGGGCCCGAGCTAAGAAGGGAAAGTGCTGGCATGCCGCCAGGGCCTGAGAGAAGAAGCGCCATGCGTAGACGGGCTGGAAGACCATCATCAGGTAGACGCCCGAAAGGAACAGACATTGAGCGCCGACGATATCCGAGCGCACAAGCAATATGCCAATGCGCTTTTGGGCGGCCTGGAAGAAGATTTGAGAGTCGTTGTAGGTCTGCGTGCCCAGCTTGGTCTCGCCGCTGGGGCCAAAGGGTGTGGCAATGCAGCCCAGAGCGCATATGATAAGCGCCAGGCATGAGGCAGGAGACCAGTCTATGCCGTCAAGAAAGGCGTTGATGACCATGCGGCGGGCCAAGACTTCGTCGAGGATTGGGTTCTTGCAATGAATATGCAGAAAGAAGTTGTCCAGCAGTCTGTATATGCGGTGGGAATCCATGTCGATAAGGCCGGCCAACGAGGCCGAGCCGGAGGGAGGGGTTGAGATGGCGTCGGGAGGGGCGCGGTACGAGGCTGGCGAATGGTGGTGGCTGCCGGAATTCTGGAAGACCGGCCACTGCAGGATGTGATCCACCCGCTGAGGTAGAATACTGATGTCCAAATTGTCGTCTGGGTGCCTGCGGCCCGACACGCTGCTGACACTGGGGCTCTGGCCGTGGATTCCGCCGCCGATGCTGTCAAAGGCCCTGGACCGCGAGAGTGGGGGCAGCCGCTGGTGGCTGGAGAAGGCTGAGGCTGGAGCCGGAGCGAGAGCCGACGCTGGCGGCGCGACAGCCTCGGGGCCGGGCAAGGGGACGGCATGCCGCAGCAGACGCTCCAGCTCGTCGATACGATCGAGGATCTTCAGGCTGGCGGGGTCGAAGCTGGACAGATCCACCGGGGACTGGATGCACGTGGCGCCGACGCTGACGCAGTAGCTACATGCTGGCTTCTTGTTGTCGCACTTTGTCTTGCGGGCTCTGCAGACCTGGCAGGCCGTGTTGGCCCGTTTCCTCGGATAGAAGGCGGTGCCGCGGGCTGCTGGGCGCTTCCCGGGGCGGCGGTTGACGCCGGCTGCGTCCGCTGGCGATTGGGGGCCGTTTGCGTTGGCGTCGGCGTCGACATCTAGGTCATCGACATCCGGGCTGAGACCTAGGGCTAGAGAAGACGTATCGTGGGGATGATGACGGGCCATGGCGTTGGTGATACCAGCTCCTGCAGCTGCACCTGCACCAGGGCCAGCCACGCCGCTGCCATTGATGGAGAAGCTGGCTGTGGAATGGGAACCAGGACCAGTCCCCGAGCCGGAAGCAGAGCCAGAGATTGAGCCCGAGCCAGGCCCAGAGGCGCTTGTATATGCGAGTGCCGTTGCGAGAAAGGGGAGCGGCTCCTGTCGCTGCGTACTCGCTGAGGCTGCAGCCGGGCCAGGGGCTGGAGCGTGAGGCGGCGGCATGGCGGGCGGTGGCGGCACGCACCAGGGCCGCAAAGGGCCACTGCAGGTCGGCGACGAGGACTCGTAGGGCGACAGCCAGACGCCAGAGAGTCGCGATACCGCGGTGCAGCTGCGGCTGGGGGCGAGGGGAGGAGATTTGGTCGGGGAGTCTCGGTGGTGAGTTGGGACGAGATGCTGGCAAGGCGATCGATGCTACCGGCTGTCAGGTGGCTCCTTGTCCTTTATGATGTGGGCGGCCGGCGTAGATTAGCCGCCCAACGGTCTGGGGATGCCCTAAAGCTGGCTAGCGGCACGGCAGGGCTCTGCAGGCTTCGCGGGCTTCTGGTGGGCGGTGGCAGCCCGGCGCGGCCATCTGCAGGGCATGGGCCGAGAGGGAGGGGCGAGTCCGGGGCAGGTCTGGGGGCTCTTGGGAGCCATCTGGGGCGCTCTGGGGCGATGGTGGTGGCCTGGCTGCGGATTCTGAGGGCTGCGCATTTGAGGCGCTATTCCTGGGCCGATGGATATTCAACCGAAAGGCGCACCGGCTGCTCGCGAGACAATGCGTCGACTTCGGAGTAGCGCCGGGCCAAACAGCGACGAGCGTCGGCCGCTTTGTTGTTTTGTCGATGGTGGCGGCGACACGTAGTTAGGCCGTGGCTGGTTGGTCGGTTCATGCTGTCTGTGGGTAGTATTACAAGTATGAAGCAGATGGAAGAGACATGGAGAGACGGGAGATGCAGGTGGATGCCATGGATGCCATGTGCCTCCGTCTCGGCAGGGGGCAGAATTTTCATCCTCCGTCTCTCTTCCCCCCTGGCGATTCGTTTCCCCGCCCCGGCTTTTTGTACAGTAGTTGTACTGCTGCACCCCAATCCCGATTCGCCTCCTATAATTCTTCAATCACCACCTTGGCATCTCTTTCCAGTCCCTTGCATAAGGTCACGAATACGTGTATGTATGTGTGATGACTCTGCAATTACTATCCTCGCCGTCTTTTGCCGGGCTTGTCGTCCTCGATACCAGACTAATAGTTCATTCTCCCTGATTGCAGTGCCACCGTGTCATCCCGCCGCCGTCCAGCCCGGGATGCTACCGCCACCCTGCTTGTATTCTGTCGATGCATCCCCAAATCTCCCGACGGGCGCACAGGCTCGGCTTCGGCAGATCCGCTCGACTCACGGGATGCTGTCCCTCATACACGAAAGGAGCGCGCAAAGAGGCATTTCATACAAGGACTGGGTAACACCGCAGAGTCATCGGTCACCACGCCGGGCTTCCTCTGGGAGAACAAGCGACATTGTCTGTGTGTGTCGAGACACATCCAAACCTCCCACCGAGGCACAGCTTCAAGCGTTCCATCAAGAGTCCCCGCACCGGCAGCACTTATAATATTTCTCTTACGACCAGCATCCACTACCGGGTGTTGCTAGTGCTGGCTATAACTGCTGCTAGCCGCAAACTCCTGGCTCTACCCCACGACGGGAGACGCAGCGTGACACGCCGCCGTCAAGGGGAAGCAGCCAATCGCGTCTTACACGCTGCGCCATCAACACGCCTCTCCCTCTGCTGAACAGAGCTCGAGCATGCACACATCGACACATCTCGAGTGCCACGCCTGCCGGGGAGCGTCGCCCTCCACTTGTCGTGTCCAGGACAACTCCGGATTTTTGAACCTCTGCTCGTCCTCCCCCATCTTTTGCTCCCCTGCACCCACGCCTACCCCAGACTTCTCCAGGCTGCAAACCCCATTCGACGCTCCTCCTGCTAGACCGACCAGGTCCTAGACCTTCTGACTAGTCACTGCTTCTTCTTTAGCCGCTGCCAATCACGGAATCGGTCCGAACTCTCCACCGGCACCTTGTTGCATTTTGCAAAACAGGATGCATCAACACCATGGACCGAGACTTGGGATCCATGCACGATGGCAATACTCTGTAGCAATTGATTCGCGCCATGTCCTGCCAAGTATATGAAGCTCGGGCCGCCTCTGTTCTATCGATTGTCTCACGTTCCTACTACGCTGTCAGCAGCCCTTCCATAGTCTCGCAGTGTCCTTGATCCAAAGGCACCTGCTGGTGGTTGCTAAGGAGTTAAGAAAGAATTTCTCAAGTGACGGTGGTGAACATATAGACAGTTTGAACCGCATCGCCACCATGGGCTCTTCCGACGACGAAAAACGCGCCGGCATCCCGCTGGAAACGCACATTTCCGCCATCGACGATGCCAATCCCAAGGACGACACCGTGCGGGTCGACATCCAGCATGAGCATGAGCTGACCGTCAAGGAAGTCTTCATCAAGCACCCTGCCCTCGTCTTTTGGGCCTTTTACTGGGCCATGTCTGGAGTTGGCTGGTGAGTCTCATGCTTTTACTCTCGATGCTCAATCTCCATCATCCATTCCTCGTCCTGCTTTCATCAAGTGATCAATGGCTGACCGTCTCTGTGCTCTTCTTCAGGGGCTTCGACGCTCAGGTCAACGGAGGCATGCTCTCTGTTCTGTCGTTCCGCCGTGACTTTGGCTACTGGTACGATACCGAAGATGACTATGTCATCCCCGCCGACTGGCTCAGCGCCTTCAACACCATCAGCGGCGTCGGCCAGTTCTTTGGCGGCTTCGCCTGCTCCTGGGTCGCCGATCGCTGGGGCCGCAAGTTGGCGCTGCTGGCCGGCATTGCCCTCGTCACCGGCGGCATCTTTGGCGAGATGTTCTCGACCATCAGGCCCGCCTTCCTCATTTCCAAGCTCATCCTCGGCTTCGGCCTGGGTTTCTACCTGACATTGTCGCCGCTCGCCGCCTCTGAGTGCGCGCCTGTTGCCTTCCGAGGTATCGCTACTGCGGGCGTCCAGTTCGGTATCGGCTCCGGCCAGCTGCTGTCCAACGCCGTCATCAAGGGCTTCGGCGGTTGGAGCGACCGTTGGGCCTACCGCGCTCCGTTTGCCATCCAGCTCTTCTTCTGCTTCTTCCTCATCGTTCTGCTCCCCTTCTGCCCCGAGACACCGTGGTACCTCGCTCGCGCCGGCAAGCGTGAGCAGGCCCTCAAGTCTCTGCGCAGTCTCTACGGGTCCGACGTCGACATCAACGCGAAGCTTGCCACGCTCGAGGCCACGATTGCCGAAGAGGAGGCCTCCACCTCGGAACAGGGCTCCTTCATCCAGTGCTTCAAGGGCACCAACCTGGTGCGTACCATGATCAGCATGGGCGTCTTCGTGTGCCAGCACTTCACGGGCATCATCTTCGTCATGGGCTTTTCCACCTATTTCTTCCAGCTCGCCGGCCTGCCCACCGAGAAGACGTTTGATCTCGGCATCGGCGTCAGCGCCTGCGGCCTGGGCGGCAACATCCTCAGCTGGGTCATCATGAACTCGTTCGGCCGCCGCCGCATCTTCGTGACGTGCATGTGCATCCTGACGGCCATCCTCTTCCTCATCGGCATCATGGACGTGGTGCCCACGGGCGCCGCCAAGTGGGTGCAGGCCTCGCTCACCGTCGTCTACGCCTTCTTCTACTACGTCGGCCTGGGCGCCATGGCCTTTGCCATCCTGGGCGAGGCGAGCAGCACCTCGCTGCGCGCGCCGACCATTGCCCTGGCCACGGCCACGCAGGCCATCATGGGCATCATCTTCAACTTCGCCATCCCCTACATGGTCAACCCCGACGAAGCCAACCTCCGGGGCAAGGTGGGCTTCATCTTTGGCGGCCTCGCCCTCATCGCCACCGCCTGGAGCTGGTTCTTCGTGCCCGAGCTCAAGGGCCGCACCTTTGACGAGATTGACCGCATGTTCCAGGCAAAGGTGCCGCCCCGGAAGATGGGCTCCTACCAGCTGCCTTCTTACTAATGTATGATGATTTTTTTTTTTTCTCTTTGTTTTGTCTCTGAAGCGGAGGAACATCTTCAAGCTGGATTTTGGGACATGCGAACTGTGTATTTTATAGGTAGCCATGATTGATGAAATTTGATTGAAACGCGGGGTCTCCTTGCCTTAACTTACCTATAACTCTCCATGCGTGTGCCTTTGCATTCTTGATTTACCGCATCCTTATTGTGATATTGTGTAAGAAGCCAATGCGAGATTGTTCCTGTTCAGTCAAGGATCAAATCATTTATCTTGATTGTTCTCCTGCAAGTGAATATCTTTCCAAAAGTCCACCGAAAACCAACGCCATACAAACTAATACAATCTGATAAGGTATATACTACCACGCCCGCTCTGCTATATATATAAAAAAAGGGAAGCCAAGAAAGTCGTGGCAAAATAAGGGAATAAAAAGAACCAATTAAATGATATATACATTAGTATTACATGCCAAAACAAGGACGATTAAAGGAATCAAGGATCCTTCATCTTGGGCTTCACCTGAACCGTCTCGGAGCTCGTCCCCGGATCTTCAGACGGCGACCTCTGCAGCGAGTCCCCGTCGGCGTCATCATCGCGGCGGGGGGGCAGAGCGCCCAGCTTGGCCCTCCAGCCCATGTACCAAGGCCCTGCGAAGAGCTCGGCCATGCGCTCCATCGGGACGCCCTTTGTCTCGGGCGCCCAGAGGCCGAGGACGACGAGGCCGACGAAGCAGACGCACGCCCAAAAGACGTACGCGCCCCAGACGTCGAGGCTCTCGAACATGGATGGCGTGGCGCGCACGACGGCGAACTGGAAGAACCAGTGCACCGTCATGTTGAACGCGTAGCAGACGCCCCTGATGCGCGTGGGCAAAATCTCCGTGCCGTAGAGGTACTGGATCGTGCAGAGCCCGATGGACCAGCCAACGGCGTAGATGAAGACGGACGCAATGGCGGCATCAGAGGCGGGCTTGTTGTGAGAGTCCATCCACAGGCCCATGTACACGGCCATGTAGACGTGGGTGATGCCCTGGATGAACAGGCCAGTCATGAAGCAGACGCGCCTCCCAATGATGTCAATGAGCCCCCACGTGAATATCATGGTGAAGACGAGCTTGAGCGCCCCGTAAGCGCCCGAGTTGATCAGGGAGATGTTGTCACTGTGGACGCCGGCGAACCGAAAAATGGTGGGGATATAGTAGGTGATGCCGTTGCCGCCCGTCCACTGGGCAACTGTCTGCATCGCAAAGCCCAGCAGAAAGCGTTTGCGATAGCTGGGGACGGTGGCAACCTCTTTGATGATCATCCACGTCGTGGTGCCAGAGAGGCTTTGCTTCACTTCTCGCACTTGGTCGACAATCTCGGTATACTCCCCTGTGAGGGCAGTGTCGTTGGGAGGCGACCCCCGCAGCCTGGATAGCACCAGCAGAGCCTCCTCGCTGCGGCCTTTGGAAGCAAGCCATCGGGGCGTGTCTTTGAGGAAAAGGGATAAGAACAAGGCAATGCCTCCAGAAATTATAGGCACACACAGCACAACGCGGTACTGCGCCCTAGACGGGGGTAGGGAGTTCCTGGCGCCATAGCTGATGAAGAATCCTGTAATACGTCGATGTTAGACACACACAGACGAGTTGAGGGTGATGTGAGTGACTAACCAAACATGAGAAAAGACAGCAGAAACACCATGTACACGGACACCACCATCCCGCGGGACTTTGACCGAGCAATTTCTGTGAGGTAAACGGGTGCTACAACGGTGAGACCGCCAGCGCCCAGACCAGACAACAGCCGCGAGAAGAGCAACAAGCCCAGTATCCCCGACGCAAACGTAGTGATGAAGAAGCCGGCCATCCACGTGGCCATAAAGGCCTGCCACGTTCGCAGGCGCCCAACTCTATCTGTGACAAGGAGGGCAAGGATGGCGCCAAACGCTGCGCCGAGGACATTGAAGGACGTGATGTTGGCTTTCAACTGGACAAGATCATGCTTGGTGCCCGTCCACTGTCTGTCCAAGAGGCCGTAGTCGTGTAGGAAGGATGGCATATCCGCCACGGCAGCAAACCCGCCTTCATCGTAACCTAAGCAGCATGTCAGCTTTCGTCCCTTTCTTGCTCCTCCGTTGCGGGCGTGTGGAAAGGGGGCTGGACGATGGACATCGACCAAAAGATGAGCCCGAGTAGAGCCGCCCGGCGTCGTTGCTCTCTCCAACGGAATTTTCCTTTGCCTCACCTTTTGGAACAGACCCGCTGGCAATAACTAAGACAGTGAGGACGAAGAAGAGGTTGGGCCCAGCCATGATCGGCCGGCCTTGTTTCCTGCGATCGTTCCGGCGACCCTTCTGCAGATCTGACTCGTCGCCCTTTGACTCCTCCCCCGCAGGGTCTCGAAGCTGGGCTAGTCCGCTTGTTGACGGAACGTTGGAATCGAACCGCCTTGCCGCCTCTTTCCCCCCTCCTCGATCCTGCGCTCTCAATGGCCGTCTGGCAGCGGCTATGGCGAACCAACCAACGCTGCCATCCAATACTGCGCGCCGCAGCACTCGCGATACCCCAATAGTCAGCAGATCGGATCGAATGCCGGCACTTGGGAGCAGACGCCGCTAAACGCGTGGGATCAAGGCTGGGCAGCCCCAGTGATCGTTCCTCGGTTGGACCCTCTTGTCTCGGCCTCCGTCGTTGAATTAGGCTCGGGCCTCAGCTCCTCTCTTCGTAATGCAATCTCTCGGGCAAGGTCCCAGATCGGAAGGCGTCAGGGGGTTCAATGAGTCGCGCACGATCGTCTCCCGGATGGTCGTCGCGGATTCTGGCTGAGCTCCGGCCTCCGAGAACTTGGGCGAGTGACGAGACGAGACACACACACACACGCATCTGTCGCGATAGAAGGGGAAATGGAAGGGTTCGGCCACGCCCCAGCCCAGCCAGAGGCAACCTCTAGTGCTGCTGGGATATTACTGGCAAGCAGCTCTTCCCAACGCGGCCTCGTCTCTCTTGCCGTGCCAGGCAGATGGCAAATGGCGACCCCGCTCCCATCTGCTAGGCGGCAGCCCATGCACTGCTCGCGGACGAGGTAGAGGCTACCAGATGGCTGAGCTCGCACGTGGTGCGGTGGTAGGTAATCAGTACTGTTAGTGGTTTAGCCGACATTCAGCCTTCTATTGCCATTTGCCTGCCCTTGGCCCAATCGAGGACCTGTGCCGTGCCTGATGCCTGAGGCCAACTAGGTAGCTGGATAAGGTAATTGCAGGTCAAAAGGGGAGAGATTGCGTGAAGCAGCGAGGAGAGACAAGAACACACACAAACACCACAAAGAAGAGACTTGAAGCCCAGAAAAACATCGCCAACCGCGATTCGTGGTGTTGCGCAGTCGCCGGGACGCACGAACCCGCGGCGCCCCCCCTTGCATCAAAGAGGGAGCATTATATGGATCCTCACGGGTTCATGCTGTGCTTCTGTCATTCGTACATACATATACATGCTACTACGCGCGTTGCAGGTGCTCCGTAAGGTAGATTAATAAGTAACAAGTCAAGAGCTCCGTCCTGTGTGGGGTCTAGAACCAGCATCGGCCAACTTCCGATCCGAGAACGCCCAACAAAGCTCTTTTTCTTTTCTTCCTTTGTTCCCTCTCCTCGGCTCTCCAGTTGAGAGTCCCCACAGCAAGCTTGTGCGTGTACGGTATCAATGGCCGGTATTACTGGTGGAGTTTTGGTTGGGTGAGGCTCCATTGCGGAAGAATCCAATAAATCAGGTCGATCACTTTCTGATTTTCTGCGCTTTCTTCACGCTAATCTGCGGCTACAAGCCAAATGAACCAACAGCACCCCCCCAGGCGGACGGACCAATGCGGCTGCTCCCGTCGACCCCCCCTATTTCCGGTTTGCGTAAGTGTCGCGCCCGGGAACAAGCCCTGATGAGCCGGAACAGAAAAGACTGGTAAAAGGCAATCGGCATCATGTACTCGTATGAGAGCTGTGTGTTAGGTAGGTATATATGTGCGAGTGCATACAGTACATCCATGCCATGATTCGAGTAGAGTAGACGCCGCCATGAATCCAGTTTTGTCGTGGATATTGACCCTTATTCTGCGGGGCAGAAGCTCCTCCCCGGGGGGGTCAGCCAGCCGGCCTTTCTTTCTCGATTGTCAAGTTCGTGCATATTCATGATCCCTCACTCACTCACTCATTCACTCCCTCAATCCTTCGTCCAACTGGCTTGAGTAAGAACTTGGGCGGAGCTTGCATAAGCCTGGCGTGAAGGGGGGGTGGTGGTGTTCCCTCCTCCAGGTGCTGCGATGCGTGTACTACAAGTCCAATGCTAACTCGGGCTCAGATGTTTCCATGGTTTACAGCTCTACTGCCCATACTCGGAAGAGCACTCTTTCTTCATCATCTTGTACTGGAGAGTAAGGTGAACGGGTTTGCGTGACCGAACAAGCTCACGAGGTGGTGCTTCATGTTGTTAGTCCAAGTCGAAAGAGATGCTTGTATTACCCCATCTTGCACGAACTACGATGTACTATCTCTAGCACTACTACCGTCAGCACTCGTCATCGATGACAGTCTTCAGGGGTGGGTTGGTGGGTATAGTAACCCGACCCAAAGCTCTCCCTTGCGTCTTGCTCCATTCTCCTCCATAGTTACTAGGGGTTATTATATCCGAACCTCTCCACTGGAAAGGCAACCCGACACGCAGGTAGGAACATGGAACATTGATTGCTCACGGGGCTTGTCATGTCACAAACCGTCAACTCATCGCCAAGAGAGGAGTGCTTCTACAGAAGCTTATGATCTCTAGGTATGTACTTCGTATGACAATGTCTTGTTTCCCCCCTCCCCCTCTCAGTCCGTCCCTCCCTAACTACACGGAATAATTCCACGAATAGCATCCGAATGGTTGCAAGCTTGGGCTACAGTCGGCTAGCTGCTGTCGTTGGTCGCATCACCAGGTATCCGTTCACTCGGGCGATCCTTAGGATCCTTCAACTGAGCCAGAGTGACCAGTCAACAGCAGGCGTTCTTCTTCTCACCCTCAGAAGACCATTGGTGCTCTCTTCATCCTGGCGTGTTGTCGAGTGAGAAGTGACTATCGAATCACGTCTTGTTCCAGAGTCGAGCCTGGTAGATCGGCTGAGGCATGGTACATGTACACATCTTGAACTCATCATATTGACAAGCATCAGTCCCAATGAATCCAGAGTTGAGAACGGCACACATCTCATAGCCGCCCAAACAGTCTCAATACTCTGCCGTTCCCAGCACAAGAGCATTCACTTGTCCCCTTCCACAAAGACGTAATGGTATACACCCCATCATACGTGAAGCACCGGTACTGCCCCAAATCCCAACCAGTAGATCGATGCAAGGACTGAATCTCTCCCTGTTCCAAGGCAAACCCCGCAATCAAATCATCAAGTCTACAAAAGAGTACCACCATTCCCACGCTATTTTGACGCTTTCCAGGAGGAAGCCGAGAGCCGGGCGATGAGCGATGGGGCTTCTGGATCAAACAGATCATATTCGGCCAACTTCCGCCCCAGCGTTTCTCACCCTTTTCGCGCTACAGCTACATGATGCTAGTAGTATTAGTACCCAAGCTCACGCACCTACAGTGACATGTTGCTTCTCCCTTCCTTGTCAACCGGATCGACTCCATCCGGATCATCGCCGAGCCTTTCCCGGATGACGCCCCGCCATATCCCGATCTAACCACTGATCATCATGCCTAAAAACGTGTATAAAAAGGCCCTCCCCTGACCGATCCAGGTGTACTTTGACAATCTTTTTCTCTCCCTGTATTGGACTTCTGTTGGTATGCGATCTCACTGCTTCCACATTGAACAGCCTGGATAATGAATCAAGAAACAAAAGAAACAACGTTTTGGCATTCGTGATATCATATCTTACCATTGCAATCCAATCCCTCATCAATACACCATTTCGACGTTCGAACCGAGCCTAACCAAAACCGCTTCGCGAAGTAGATCCACGGATTTCCAACGACAAGTCATACTGGATATCCGCCTGGCCGGCCTGGCTCAGGGTCTATTTGAGCTACGGATAACGCTTTGAACGTTTGAAGCGCTCAATATATACACTAGAAAGGATTCTGATTGTCCACATTGGGAAGGGCCCCGACTCGGACACTGAGTGGCTCCAAGGACGACATGGCCTCGAAGATGCCTGGATCCATGGCCATTGCATGGGTGCCATAGCTGTGAGTTGAAGGAACCTGGAATAGTGGATGAGCAGCCTGGGGCTGCGATGGTGACGACGCGTCGACGGGTACATCGACAGCCTGATACCCTGGGGCCACCAGAGGAAACTCGGTGACGGGGATCGGGGGTGGCTGCTGTTGCTGCGGCACGTCCAACGAGATGCCGACGGCTGAGAGCTCCCTATTCAATGCGTTTATGGCGCTCCCGATGACTACAAAGCGTCAGCATGGAGCTGAGCGACAAGCGGAAACGAAGAAAAGCTGCGCCTGATTCTTGACTTACCGGGACTAAAAGTCTTGACTTGCTTCAAAGCCTGCATACAATAGTTGAGCCGCCCTAGGGCTTGTCCATCATCCGGGGCAGCCTGGACCTGGAGCAGGAATATCGACGAAGCGATGTACACGCTGTACGCCAGTGACAGCACGCAGTAGTTCATGGTAAAGGTTCGGCAGAAGAGATCAAAAATGGCGATGATGGCAGTGGCGGATGACACGCACTCGACGAGGTAGCGTTGGTTCGACGCAACGTCGTCCTCCAATCTTCTCCGGGTGAGCATTGGACGGTACAGTAGCACCTTGAAGGTGTGATAGAGGCAGCTGTTGGGCCGGTTAGCGGGTCACGGAGGCCGGCACTTGGGACGGCAAGGGACTTACTTGGTCGTGACGATGTGAGATGGTGGGGCCAGGCTGGGCAAGGCCATGGGCTCGAGCTTCAGATACGGGGCCAGCTCATCCCACCATTGCTGGAGAGCCGGCTCCTGGGTCGCCAGGCACTCGAGCACCTCGGACTCGGTATTCTGCATGAGAGGATCGTACATGTGAATCAAGATTTCGTTAAATATGACTGACAGCCGGCACATGCTCAGGAAGCAAGAGGCCGAATGAGCGGTAGCAGGTGGATACTTCCAAGGGGCGGTTTGGAGTGGAGGCGCCCCAAAGGGAACCCACAGCTCGTTTTCAGCAGAGTCGTCGACTAACAACAAGTAACAGCAGTCAGCATCAACGGTGACGACAGTCGTGAGTGTGGGCAACGACGAGGAGACATTATCAGGCTTACACATGATCTGAGGGGGAGACACCGTTGTGTGCTTGAGTGATGGCGATCGACCAAGATACAGACTGATGATTTTGTCCCAGAAATAACACGACCAAAAGACTCGATGTCGGATTTCCACGTCCTCGTCAGTGAAGTGGACCGAGCTGATATATCGATCCCCGTCCACGCATATTCCCAAGTGGTCTATCAGCCGGAACGCCAGGCCACTGTACGTCCAGGCTTGGGTCGTGTTCCCAAGGCTGCATTCCTGTGCGCTCAAGAGCAGTAATGTTTGAACCGTCGGGATCGTGCATACTCCCCTGCTGAGCTCGTCGAAAAGCATACTGCGTGCGTGCTCGCCAAAGACGGCGCCTCCGTCGTACGACTCATCGAGAATCTGTTTCGTCTTGGGATCGCTCTTTGCCCAGCGTATTGAGTGAGAGAGAACAGCGTTGAGCAGTGTATGTGAGTAATACGGACCCATGGACTGCATATCGCCTACAGAATTCGTAAATAATGGGGAATAGAGAGGTGGAGAGGGGGGAGAGCCATGGCAAGCTACAAGGGCTTCGTACGAGTAAATGCTGGTCGGTAGATGAAGTTGAAGAGGGGTTGTATCCAACACCAATGGACATTAAGAAGCGTCTGAAATGGTTCCTGCGAGAGAGTAAAGCATGAGAGTTGAGCTTTCAAGCAACCAACACCACATCGGGACACGTACGGGGACCCCAGATGACTCTTCCAAGATGCGCTGCTGCCATGCGTTCGAAACGAGGCGCTCCCTCCGCTGACTTTCGAGGTCAGTTGCGGTAGCGTGCATGTCGGCAGTTACGGCCGCAGAGCTACGATCACTGGGAAGATTAAAGAAGCTTGTGGTTCCATGATAGGTGACGCCGCCCTTTTCGTCTATCTTGAGACCGCGGAAGCTCCGGGCTATGCTGTCGTCAATCTGCTGCCGGTTGTCTTGCTGAGCGCCCCCTAAGGTTGTAGGGCTTGGATGACTCGACGCAGGAGACTTGCTGCCGGTGGCTGCGGGTGGTGGTGGCGTTGCAGCCGTGACCTTTGCGAGCTGCTCCTCCAGCTCCTTGATGCGATCCTCCAGCCGCTGCGTGTAGGACAGCGTCGGGTTCCTGCAGATGGGTGTCAGCCACGACGATCAAAAGCCACCAGGCAGATGTAGATAAGCCTGAAGGGGGATCTGAAGTCACACAGTTTGTAGACGCAATCGTCGTTGCGAGCAGCGCAGCGCTGGCACATGGGCTGCTCTCCGCCGCACTTGACCTAAAGCCACCAGCAGAGTCAGCTCCGTCTCGTCTCGTCTCGTCTCTCCTCTCTTGGTCTTCGTCCTCTCCAGCAGAAGCCAGAGACATGCCAATGGCACAATTTCTAAGCAGCGAGGCTCACCTTGCGGCGGCGACATGGTTCGCAGGAAAACGCGCTCTTCTTGGTCGCCTTTGCTGTCGACATGTCGGGCTCTCTGACGACTGAGAAAAAAGAGACCTGGACAAGTGCTCAGGGCCGCACGAAAAGAAACATTGGAGCCCCGGGCCAGAACCTATGGCTATGCCGATGCCTGTCCCTGCTGCTGTGCCTGTACCTGTGCCTGTACCTGTGCCCGTGCATGTGTGTCGCTTGTGCCGTGCTTGTGCGTGTGCTTGGCCGGCTGTCAGTCCAGTTCAGGTTCGGGGTCTAGTCCCAGCAAGAGACGGAACAGACAGAGACTGGCTGGACTGCACCGAAAAAGCACTGCCCCGCGTCTCATGCAATTGGGTCCCCGCTCCCTGTCCGTTCCCACGCCCTGCAAATAAGAAGCAAGCCCCAGCTAACTGCCTCACAGCTGGATGTATATCTGATTGGCGTACGTCAACGAGTGGTCGGCGAGCGAGACTGGCTCAATAGGCGAAACTGCTGCGCGTCCCTGATTTAGACGCTAGAATGCTTGAGATCGGGACGTGGTGATGCGAGTAAGACGGATGTCGGTGGATTGAAGTCTGAAGTCGTAGAAGCAAAAGGACATCATTTGGTAGTGCTGATCAGGTGACTCAGCCAGTTGACACTGGTCTCCGTCATGGAAGGTACGAGGCAGCTGCAGCAGAAGGTGCGGATTACTAGGAAGGAGCAAGGCGAACGGTTGCGAGACCGAACATACCAGTTGAGGTACCGGCACAGCTACACCCGGGCATATTACGTTGTCCGAGATACGGCACGTATAATGAGCACCATTACAATATGGGATGCCGGTGAGTCTCCCAATGACGACTTCTTTTCAACGTAAGGTAGGGCGCTGTCGAGCTTCTGACCTACTTGCCTGATGAGTAATCACGAATGCCCCTCCGTGTCTCGACGGCCTTCGCCGACCAGCTGCAGCCCAGTTCCGAATGCGAACAAAAGTCCTCGGCGACTCCGTCTGGATGGGGGAAACGCATTAATAACCGCAATAAAGACTTTGAGGAGGTGGCTGACTTTGAGTCTTTTTCTGTTCACTCCGTAGATCTGCGCGGAATAATATAACGGGGAGCTCCGTTGGCGCATAAATGGTGGATGGCAAGTGAGGTTGAAGGAACGAATTACTGCGAGACTTGGGGAGCGCTACGATCAAGTTATTTCAACGCTTATGCAGGATGAGGTTGCTGATCTATCTCAATATAACAGACTCCATTGTCTAATTTGACGATTGAACATGACATGCTATTTGAATACCTGCCTGTGTTGGAGCAGTAAGTGCAGTACATGTACAAAGTACGCCGGAGTGGTCGCCGGGCCCCGGGCCGGCTGTGGGGCCCTTCAACGGTCTCTACGGCCGATATCCCTACAGTACGGATGTCTCAAATAATCACAACCATTGATCCTGAACTGAGACAACCGGGGTTTAGAAGCTGGTGACCAGCGACTGTGACTTAGAAAGGATTCATTGACGTTCATGATTGATCCATTGACACGGTCAAAGTCAAGATCGCCCAAATCTCAGTCACATGCACACGTCACACCGAAGCAACAAGCACCCGTGAATCAAGTTGAACTTGAAATATCCTTCTATATCAATTGCGCTGACATATCTAGACTGTCATTTGCTACATGCATATACATAAATGGTATCAAATCTCTATTGTTGGCAGAGGGAGGCGTGAACAGAAGCAGGGTAGGACGAAGCGTCGCCCCAGTCGTAGCTGGCGATCTGCTGGCCGAGGGGAGTGGAGAGGTCGGCACGGAGGTAGTCGGCTACGTTCCCATTAGCAGAGTTCATGATGTGACATTCTGGGTGGGCGTTGACTTACAGGCGACGGGGAAGTACCACCAGTCCTGGCTTCGGAAGGCGTTGTCGTCGAGCTGAGAAAGAGGGTCGTTCCAACCCTAGGGAGAGAATCAGAAGGGGTTCAAACGCTTGCTCACAACTGGCATCATTTCTTCTAGACTTACAGTGTTGCGATCGTCGAAGTTGGCGTGCTTGCTCCAAGCAACGTAGACCTTGGGGTGGTCAAGGTTCGTGCGTCCGTTGTCACCGCCGCGCTGCAGGCTGGCGTCCTCGGTGTTGAAGGTGTTCTGGATGTCGGTCCAGTTCAGGCGGTCGTAGCCGGAGTGCTGGGACAGGAGGATCTGGCCGGGGACCCAGTTGCTGTCGGAGCCCTTGGACCACTCGACGATGACACGCTCCCAGTCGCTTTGTGGGTGTCAGTAAGTTGAGCTACCCGCAGTCTTTTGAGCTGGAGGGTACTTACTAAGGGTGGCCGAGGATGCCCTCAGGTTCAGAGCTGAAACGGAATTGGTCAGTATCGTGGACCTTCCACACAAAGATTCCGACAAGACCAAAACTCACCCGTCCTTCTCGTAGAACAGAGAGTACTGAATTCGGATGGTGGTGTCCGTGCACTTCTCGTAGCTGTAGTAGGTAGGGAACGACGGCGCAACGTTGGTGATGGGAACGCCGGGGGTGCGGCAGTTGCAGCCCATGTCGGGATAGGCGCAGAGGGCAGCAGAGGGCGTCTGGCCGCCGTTGGTGGTGGCAAAGGTAGGGATGCACGGAGGCTGGTTCATGGCCTGGCCGAAGAACCACATGGGCTGGGCCTTCATGGCGAGCTCGACGCCTCCGGCATTGAGCAGGTTGGTCATGTCCGAGTCGGAGACGGGGGTGACGGCGGAGGCCAGCGAGGCCAGGCCGGTGCCGGCGACGAGGGCCTTGAGCGAGGACTTCATCTTGCTTTTCCCTTTGGCTGGATCAGATACCGTGAGATCTGGAAGGAATTGGGAGTTGTTGCTTGGGCTGGAGCGACAGTCCGAAAGAGATCGACGGAGTAGGGGGGGAATGTCAGCTGTGTTATATACTGCCATTTGCTACGACTACCTACCACGTCTCTGTCCCCATAGGCTTTCCAGATCCTTGCAACTCATTGCAAAAGCCAAGAGGCTCGTGATGGAGCCATCGGGTCCCAGCCCGTGTCTCGTCACTACCACTTGCACATTCCAGCGTCGACCTGCCTATTCCATTCAGCGAAGTGCTTCTTGACACCTCACTAATCGGCCGGGGACCAATCGGCCAGACCCTCCCCTGGTGTAGCCTTGTCTGCTCGGCCGAGTAATTAGTTATTTTGTAGCCTCTTTTGGGCTTGATCGACCGAACAATGGAAAGACAACTTTTTTGTGGATTTCTCTCGTTTAGCCAGCGGCGCTTGTGAGAAGAGGTTGATACAATACGGCAGGTCTTTGAGGGTGTGCGAGGGCGTCGCGGCTGATACTGAGTCGAGTGCTCACACAGAGTCACATTAGGCCGTCACATCATTCATGCAAGGCCACGCATAGCCCCTGGCTAGATCGATGGGGCGGTTCAGGTCTTTTTTTTTTTTTTTCTTACTTCTGGGTCAAGAGCAAAACCAGGTGCCCTTTTGGGGATGGAGGTGGAAACTCGCGGGGAGGTGGAGAGAGATTGGGCGGGACGAGACGGTCAAAACGTCCACGGGCGGGATTGTTCAGCATCTACGGACACTTTCACGGGTATCTGAGGACTCGAGAGTTGTCGTAGTTATGCTTCTGTTTAAGTCTGTGTGTGCGTTTGGGAATTCGTCCTGGGGTGTTAAGATGCTTACACTGTGTGACCTTTTGTGGAGGTATAATTTGCAGCCTTCAATGATCAGTGAAGGTAAGACCATAAATTACTGGTAAGAAAGAACATAGGATCAAATAGGTCACCAAGATGATCAACCGGCTTCTGGCTATGGCCATGGCAAAGGGATGTGAATGTACCTTACATGCATTTCGGCACTCTGTTACCGCTGGTGGTTGGTATGCCGGGATGAGTGGCCGACTGGAGGGCTCATATGCGCTTCCGTCCACTTGATCCAGAAACGGTACGACTAGACGCTGTGAGACCTCGAAATGTACATACGTCAGGTTGGTTTGGCGGCTGTCGCCGAGTGATCAGCGATGCACGCGTTCTGATCTCGAGCTGACACGAATGTTCCGGCTGACCGACATCACGTCCGCCTATGAGACCACCGTGAGGGCGCGACGCTTGGCTCGTTTCCTATCCCTCGCAGTGACAACTTGATGTATCTACTACTCCGCAAATAACTTTCAATTCCTGGCTCAAGGGCCACAGATCGTCACTAGAACGAGCTTGGCAAAGAAGGTGAAGAAGAGGGGAAGAAGACAAACCAAACTCGACAAGGTGCATTGCTAGTCCCCGGAAGCGGAAGGCCGGCAGTGCCCATCTTGGAAGTACGGCCGATGAGCCAGGGCACGACAGTGCAGTAGCACAGATGTCGCCGTGGATGAAGGTGCGGACTGCATACCTGTATAGTCACAGTAGCTTCGGTGTCGAAACCGTTCAAGAAGGCTTTTAAAGATGCAGCTATTCAACCCTCGTGGCCTCGCCATAGGACACCAGCGCCCCCCCGGCAAGAGGGCCGAACAAGGCCTTGGAGCGGTGGTTTCCGCATCCTCGGCAGTGCGTAAGTGAGCGCTTGCAACTAAAGCGCGCCCAGGTGCCGGATTGAGAGCACTGGATTGGCCATGATGGTCCTCGAAAATTCCTTGATGTTGACCGGTGGCATGAGTTGAAGCTCACAGGATGGACCGCCATTTGGGGGACAATGTTGGAATACCTACTGGCTCTGATAATGAGTGATCCATGGATGAGATCCACAAAGATGAGCAGGCATGCCGTTCTAGGGCTTGTTGAAGCAAGTAACAAGTGTCAACGTCACATACGATGACATTTTTCATCCTCTGTTTTCTTTCCAGGCTTCACCGTTGTTACATCCCTCTCTATCTGTTACAGAGCAATATGTATCTTGGAGGGAGCACCAAAAAGTACGGGCATTTTTCTACCGAGTGCAACGTGCCTCATACGTGGCACATGGTAATTTCGGGCGCTCGTGCATCGTTTCACATGCCATCTTAACACGAAATGATCCAAATCCTGGAATACCATTGCATTCTTTTCTTCGTTTATAATTTCTCCGAGGACTTGTTCTTGTGGCCGGGACTTGTTTGAAGGTCTTGATAGGACTTGGACTCCATCTGGGGTCATGATACCGAGTGCAGACAGGCAGCACCTCATCGGTGCATTGCTGAATCGTACATTCGTAAGGCTATACTTACTATGTATGAAGACGTGGACTATACTGATGGAAGTTTGTAATAACCTACGTAGCCAGTACCTGGGTAGTTCATCGACCTGGGCCGGAGACTTGATGGTGCCGCAGGTACGGGATAATCGTCTCTATTTGCAGGTGAAACCGGAGTGACATATGCTGCCTGCGTACGTCATGTCATGTCATGCCGTTCATGCTTATGATAAGGCTCCTACATTAAGCTTGAGACAAATGAATCAGATGAGACACGGCCAGAAGAGTTACATGTCTTGGGTATTTCACCATGATGGGTACAAGATATATTGGGTTAAGGTGCTTCAAGTGTCTTGGATAAGCGACACTGCATCTCATGTCAGTACCGGTCATCTTTGACTTACACGTGTTCAGACACAGCTGGACATGAGAACCCTATACATGTGTAACCACAGATGGTATCAAAACAGTCTCACTTGTCACCTACTCGTACTTTTCCGGATCTTCTGCTTCATTCATGGATACATGTCTGCTCTCATCGTTGGTTCAAGGAAACCCTCCGTCTTCCTCAGCCTCATACCAGTGGTACTTGCAAGGGACATTGCCCTCATGCAAGCCGAATTTTCAGAGGCTTCCCTGCAATCCACGCCTCCACATCATTCGCCGCCTGCTCATAGAAACCATTAATGGCCGCCTCCTCGACATACCCCGTATGCGGCGTCACCAGCAAATGGCTACGACCATCCTTGCCCCAGCCGTCACTCCTCCACTCGCTATCCCGAGGAAGCGGCTCCTGCCAGAAGACATCCAGCGCGGCACCCCGGATCTTGCCGGCCTTGAGAGTGTCGAGCAGGTCTTGTTCGACGACGAGCGGGCCTCTGGACGTGTTGACGAAGAAGGCTGACGGCTTCATTAGATCCAAGTCCTTCGATGTGATGAAGCCCCGGGTGCGGTCCGAGAGCACGACGTGTAAACTGACGACGTCGGCGGTCTTGAACAGCTCCTCCCGGCTAACGGCCCTGAACGTCTTTTCTCCTTCAGAGTTTGCGACGGGTAACTTGAAGTGTGCCGCTTGCTCATCGGCAACTTCTTGCGTCAGGTTCTGGCTCCAGGCAATGACCTTCATGCCGAAAGCAACGTGGAGAATCCGGGCCGCGGCACCTCCCAGGCGACCGAGCCCGATGATGCCCAGCGTCTTTCCGGACACGGAGGTGCAGAGGTTGGCTTGCCAGAGGCCGGCTTTCAAGCCCGCGTCGTCGGCTGCAATGTTGCGCGCGAGAGCCATGATCATGGTCACAATGTGCTCGACTGTGCTCTCGACGTTGTTCTCGCCGGCGGGATGGACGTGGATTGCTGTGGCGACGGGGATGCCCCGCGCCTTGAAGGCGTCGAGATCCAGGGACAGGTTGCGGCGACCTTGTGTCAAGAGAAGCTGTAAGTTGGGCAGCCGATTGACCAGCTCTGCAGGGAACGGTGTCCTCTCTCGTACGGTATCTGAGGCGATCATCATCAGTGACCAGTGATCTTTCTGTCAGGATTCGAATACATACTGATGATGTTGAATGGCTCGAGTCTCTTGACCAAGGCATCTTTGACTGATTGCGGGGTGTCTGGACCATTGTATGGCGGCAGGGTGTCTGGGAAATAAGCGATCTCGTGGTCGTCTTTGAATCTTGCAAAGTGCTTCTCGGACACCCTTTGGTAGTCGTCCAGGATGGCGATCTTGAGTCGTTTGGCAGCCATTTTCAATGATCTTTGCGTGAGTTTCTCAACATTCTTGAGACACGATGTAGGTTTGCGAGATTATGAATGCGATTGCGACATCGCCCAGGCTGTTGGTGGAGCAGACCATTGCATCCTTACATCTTCTATGTAGGCTCACTGTGTGTGTATGCACTCTTCCGGTCTGTAAGCGTTATATCCGCGTACAGTTACCGTAGCGAATCGATACTGTCTCATGCACTCCGCATCTGATATTACGGCTTCTTTGACGGCAAATGCAGTCCACGACTGTTTGCGACAATTTGAGTCGCTTATCAGCATCATGCTTTGAACGCGGCGAGAAGCATCCAGGCGATCAGCGGGATGCTAAAGAAATACGCCCACGAGTACCAAATACTGGCGACAGTGTTCGCCAGCACATAACGAAACCTAGAGGGCGGCAAGGGAGCCAAGACGGCCAACCTGTGAAAGCCGGGTGAGAAGATGCGTGTCATATGAGGGAGGAGGTTCCTTTGTCGAGCATAGCGATGCATCTTCCAGAAGGCTAGGTCCAGGAGATAGAGCTCCAGAAAGAGCATCTTTGCGGCCAGCCAGACGTATCGGACTACAATCAGAGCCTGAATTGCTAGACGACACCATGTTGGCCTCTGGCGTAGGGGATAGTACTCTTGCTGCAGACGGGTGAGTATTCTGTCGTGGGCTTCCTTTGGTGTCATGGCAGCGCATATTCGGGCGTGTTGAAAGGCAAGGCTGAGAAGGATGTGCCATCGTATGGAATTCCATGAGGCGCAATCGTAGAACTTAGCAGTTGTCGTGGCTGCAAGCCAGTGACTGATGCTTTGGAGATGTCCCATGAGATTGAAGGCCCCGGGCGTCTCAAGGTGAGGACTGACTATGGTGCCTTCCATTGGGAGATGAGCTGTAGAAACTGGGGGGAATGGAAAAGGCATCCGTATCGCGTACTCGAGGATAATGAAGGCAGAGACGCAAGTTTGTTTAGTGAGATTGAGGGCTGAGTGAGCGGGCAAGTGGATAGAGAGATGAAAGTGAGATGGAGTGAATGAAGGTGACGTATTTTGATGCTTCACATCTGGTGTTGCCCTGTGTAAATCATGGTGGGGCGAGTCCAACACCTGCACTTGCCTTTCGAGCTTGGAATGAGACTGTAAATGATGGACATGTGCTTCTTTTACAGCTGCATTCATTTTAAACGGAGATGAGCAGGTAGAGCAGCAGTGATGAGTTGAAGGGACACGAATTGCTCTGATACTATACAAATGGAGACAGTATATAGGGTACATGTACACGTAATAGTCTCGCCGCGTCTCATAGAGATAAACCAACACAAACAGGCGGCTTAGATCTTGGCCAACCTCGATCCTCCATCCAGTCGGATGACAGCCCCGTTCAGCATGGGGTTCTCGATGATGTGCTTGACCTACACGGAAGCAGGTTAATCTCGGCAACATCCAAGCAGGTGTCTGTCAAGTATGAACTCACCAGCATGGAAAACTCGGGCGGATTGCCTGCTCTGTTCGGAAACAAAAACGTCTGCGAGATGCTCTTCCACGACTTCTCGCTCATCACCGATGACATGCCCGTCACAAACAGGTTGGGAGCAATGGCAACGACGCGGATGCCGTACCGAGCCAGGTCGCGGGCCATGGGCAGGGCCATTGACGCGACAGCTCCCTTGCTCGCCCCGTAGACGACCTGGCCGTACTGGCCGTCAAAGGCGCTCGAGCTGCTGACCAGAATCACGACGCCGCGCTCTCCGTCCGGGCCCTCGGGCTCGACCTTGGCGAGATGCACTGCGGATTGCCGGATGAGGTCGATTGTGCCTCTGATATTGACGCCCAGGACGAAATCGACGTCGTCTAGATTGACAGTCTTGCCCTTGCTATTAAGTATCTGCATCTCTACTTAGAATCCAAAGAAGCAATCGATCTAGTAGTATCGACACATGGTGGCCTACCGCTGCTGGGAGATTGACGCCCGCTGCCGGAATCACGCCGCCAAGGGGCTTCCCCGTCTTGCTCGCCCAGTCCACCGCGCCCTGGACGGCCTTTGCGATGCTCTCCGTGTCCAGGACGTTGCAGTGGAAGAACTTTGCTGCTGGGCCGAGTTCCTTTTCGACGGCTTGGCCGGCTTCCGGGTCGGAGATGTCGAGGACCGCGACGTGGCCGCCGGCTTGGATGAGTTCAAGGGCGGAGCCTTTGCCGAGCCCGGACGCGCCACCGGAGATGATGAATGTGCGATTTTGGATCTTCATGGCTTGATGTGAGTGTTTATTGAAGGGAGAACTTGTAAATTGGAGGCAATTTCTGCTAGTGAGAGCTCGTGTAAGATGGTGATGCTGTGTAATACCATCTTGGCAAGTTGTGGTCAGCCATAAGTGGCGGTCATTGCAGCAGCACGCTGTGCCGAGGCTCGAAGCTCCAGCTTCCACCATCAACTGCAGGTGGTTGCTCAGCACTAGAAGCTGCCGTTTATCACCATCAAGTCTTATGGCTACAAAATTATATCAAATTCTCGGAAGATCTTCAGAAACTCATGTGATTCTCCTCCACAATCTCCCCATTTTCCCTCTCTCCAACCTCTTTTATCAGCATCAACAGTCATGCAGCAACACCACATGACAGCTCTTTTGGTGGATTCGACGTCTCCATTCATGCCCAGCCGGTCGCTTAGTCATTGGGCCGCGCTCAGCGAGCTGTTCCAGCCCAGTGGGGGTCTTCGCGCCTACAGGGGCCCGTTACAGTGGCCATACAGCTACTAGGTAAGAGAGTCCCACTGGAGCCTTGGACCTCAGGTGAGGTGAAGACAATCGGGGGCCCGTGCGCCGAGTGAACCAGTGACACCATCCCTGCATTCCAGGCCGCTTTTGGCGACCAGAAGCGACATCACACATCCAATCCAGATTCTCTGCCGCCAACGACATCCGTTTTCTCTCTTATCTGTGTGTTTCACTCTGACGACAAGCCGGCGCTCTCGGGATTTTGCTTTCGCATCTTCGACTCGACCAGCGACGACGTACGACTTATTTCCTTGCGCTTTTCTTCGATAATCTCCTTCCCCGACGACTCTGCGCCCCATGATGCGACCGAGGCGGTCGTCTGGGGCGAGCGAATCCAGCGCTGGAACAGCTCGCCCCGAGCAGGTGAGCGAAGCTCGAGACGAAAGCTAGATACGCGATGACACGGCGAGGGACATGTACTGAGACGGCGGTGGAATGTTAGGAGCTCGGCAGCATGTACGACTACCTGGCCAAGATCATACTGCTGGGACCCAGCGGCTCGGGCAAGTAAGTGCCGCTACTTCGGAGTCTCTTGCGATGGGCATCACGGACGGCTAACAAGGCGGTTCCCTGTCTGCGCACAGGTCGTGTCTGCTTCACCGGTTTGTGAAGAACGAGTGGAGGGTGCTGTCGTCCCAGACCATCGGCGTCGAGTTCGCAACCAAGATCATCAAGGTCGGGAGCGGGGCGCGGCGAAAGCGGATAAAACTCCAAGTATAACCGACACTCTCATCATCTCTTCTACCTACTACAGGGGTCACGGTGTGCTGATACAGATGTTTTCCTCATTGGCAGCTATGGGATACAGCAGGCACCGAGCGGTTTCGATCCGTCTCGAGATCGTACTATCGCGGAGCGGCGGGAGCAATCCTGGTCTACGACATCTCATCGCACATGTCCTTTCGAGGTCTGCAGCCGTTTCTGAACGATGCGCGGGCGCTGGCGTCTCCTCATCTGAGCGTCCTGCTGGTGGGCAACAAGCTGGACCTGGCTTCTGAGAACCTTATCGATACAAGTTTGCCTCCCCCGACTCCCAGCAGCGTGGGCTCAGCGGCGACGGTGACGGCAGGCGGCAATGGCGGTGTTCCATCTTCGTACAGAGACCACGCCAACTCGATCGGAGCGGGCACGCAGCAGAGAGCTACCGAGGCACCAGAGGGGCGCGAGATCTCGTCCGCCGAGGCGACTCGATGGGCGAGCACTGTGGGCATTCCGGTCGTGACAGAAGCGAGCGCATTGAATGGCGAAGGCGTGGATGAGATCTTTCACCGATTGGCGAGAATGATCCTGACCAAGATTGAGTTGGGCGAGATCGACCCGGACGACCCCATGAGCGGCATCCAATACGGAGACGGCGGCGGATGGAACACGGCCAGTGATGGAGGCAGCATCAAGAGCTCCGTCACCGGAGGCACGCTGGATGAGGGCCTGAGCGGCCCACGGAGGCGCAGACGAGGCAAACGAAACCAGAACTGGAACCTGCGGGAGTGGGAAGAGGTCTTTACGCTCAGCAGCCGTCGGAGGGGGCGAGGATGTTGCTGATGACGACAGCCGGAGCTGTATCGAACGACATTTGCTGTTATGTTCACTCTCCTTGCGTTAGCCCTTGTTTTGATGCCACGAGCTCAGCCAAGTTCAGTTTCTTTTGCGCGCATGACAAAATGGTGGAAGAGTGGAAGTACTATCAAGTTATACTGAGCCTATTCTGGTTTGTTGGTTTCCTTCGTTAATGCAGAAACGAGCTTTGAGAGGGTAATGGCAGCAAGCAAACTTGGCGTTTGGGAGTGTTATAGAAGTTTTGAAGCAGGCCCTTGGATGGATTCGTTCTGACCTGTTCTTCTCGTCGAGCTCTTTTTTTCTTTAATTGATGAGTATTATGAAGTATCCATCTCCTGGCGAATATTTGATGTAGCCCCATTCTGCTTCCTCCTGTCTTAGTCAAAGTATTTGATGCTCGCACAAGGTATCGTTGGGCATCATCGTGCCACGCCCACTGAAGTCACTCTGCATCTCCATCATGCCAGATGCGGCACAGCGTCGATTTCTTCGTTTCTCCGCACGCTTTTGATTTGTCGCAACGTGCGTCAAGCAACTTACGGTACATCAGGATAAATTGCCTGCAGCAGTTCGCAGCTTTACTCGGCTCTTCGCATCAATTCTCGGGCATTTCTCTGCCTGTCGCTTTCTTATCGCTGCTTAAAGGGAAATGCTGGTCCTCCAAGATTCCCCCGCCTTCCCGCTTTTGAACGCGGAGGTGCTCCTTCCGTCATGCCATTTCCATAAGCTTCAAGACTTCAGGTATAAGTACTTGAGACAGTAACTGACTGACTGCTTCTATAATTTACACAATCTCTTGTTCTCTTCCTCTTTTAAAGCTCCTTTTGTCCTCTTCTTCTTCCCTCTCCATATCAAGAGTGTGACTCTTTCGCCAAGCGGGAGATTCACCGTCAGCTCACCGGCTGTCCAACTTCCCCCGCAATGGCACCTCGCAAGATCATCCCCGTCGATGCAGGCTGGCAGTTTGGCAGGACAGATGTCGAGAAGCCTGAGTTCCGGCCAGTCTCTCAGTTTCCTACCAACGTCCATCTTGATCTCCTGCATCACAAGCTCATTCCTGACCCCTTTATCGGAAAGAATGAACTGGACGTGCAGTGGGTCGGAGAAGTGAGGGCATGGCAGTACCGCACCTCATTCAAGACGCCCAAGCTGGGCAGCCAAGAAAAGGCGGTTCTCGCATTTGACGGCTTGGATACCTTTGCCGAGGTGCTGCTCAACGACAAAAAGATCCTCGAGACGGACAACATGTTCATACCCGAGCGTGTGGACGTCACTGCACTCCTCAACGAGGCGGACAAGGACAACCAGCTCGTCATCACCTTTGACAGTGCGTATCTGCGAGGATGGGAGCGAGTAGAGCAGATCCCCGAGCACAAATGGGGAGTCTGGAATGGAGACCACTCCAGACTGGCGGTTCGAAAAGCGCAGTATCACTGGGGCTGGGACTGGGGCCCCACGCTGTTGACTTGCGGGCCCTGGAAGCCCATCAACCTCGAGGTCTACGAATCACGCCTGGCTGATCTGTACGCAAATGTCACTTTGGATGATACTCTGAAGAGCGCCAAGGTTGAGCTTCATGCAGAGACGGAGGGAAAGGCGTCCAAGGTGCGGTTCGAGCTCTCGCTCGGCGAGACTGTTTTGAGTGATACTGTGGATGTGTCGAAAGGGGGTGCAGTGGCTACTTTGACAATCAGCAACCCAGAGCTGTGGTATCCGGCCAGATATGGAAAGCAGCCGTTGTACACGGCCAAAGCAACGCTGCTGGATGGCAACGAAGAAGTCGATGCTTTGTCAAAGAGGATAGGCATCCGAAAGGTAGAGCTTGTCCAGAAGCCCCTCGAGGACCAACCAGGAACATCCTTCTTTTTCAAGGTGAACAATATTCCAATCTTCTGCGGAGGCAGCTGCTGGATTCCCGCCGACAACTTTACTCCCCGAATCACCAAAGAAAAGTATCAAAACTGGATCAAGCTCATGGTGGAAGGCAATCAGTCCATGATACGCATCTGGGGCGGTGGCGTCTATGAGGATGAGAACTTGCTGGACGCTTGCGACGAACAAGGAATACTGGTCTGGGTTGACTTTCTCTTCGCTTGTGGCAACTACCCCTGCAACCCGGAGATGTTGCAATCTGTCGAAAGAGAAGCCCGAGCGAACGTCAAAATCATGCGCCACCACCCCAGCATTGTCATTTATGCTGGAAACAACGAAGACTACCAGTTTCAGGAGAGCGAGGGGCTCACATACGACGTGCAAGACAAAGATCCTCAAAGCTGGCTCAAGTCGGACTTCCCCGCCCGCTACATTTACGAGTACCTTCTCGTGCAGGTGTGTCAAGACCTCGTGCCGGCGACGTTCTACCACTATGGAAGTCCTTGGGGTGGCAAGACATCGTCGGATCCCACTATAGGAGACATCCACCAGTGGAACGTATGGCATGGCTCTCAAGCAAGATATCAGGACTTCGACAAGCTGATGGGAAGATTTGTCTCCGAGTTTGGTCTGGAGGCTTTCCCATCTGCTCGAACCATTGATGCTGCGCTGCCCAAAGGCAAAGACGACCCAGACCGGCACGCGCAGTCGGACATTGTGGACTTTCACAACAAGGCCGACGGGCATGAGCGCCGAATTGCTCTGTATCTCGCAGAGAACATTCCGTATGTTACGAGCCCTCTGGAGCAGTACATCTACTCCACACAGTTGGTTCAGGCAGAGTGTCTGTCGTCTGCCTTCCGGCTCTGGCGCCGTCAATGGAAAGGTCCTGGGCGAGAATACTGCAGCGGAGCTCTGCTTTGGCAGCTGAATGATTGCTGGCCTGTGACATCATGGGCCATCTGTGATTACTATCTGCGGCCGAAGCTCGCCTACTACACCGTCAAGAGGGAACTGCTTCCCATAACGGTGGGAATCAAGCGCACCGAGCACCGCCATCCCAAGAGCAAGTACACGAGGGTCGATGTTGAAGTCAGCACCAAGCTTGAGATTTGGGCTTCCAATTTTACACTGGACGAGGTCAAAACCAGCTGCGTCGTCAAGGCTTGGGATGTGGAGACAGCGGAAGAAGTCTACAGTGAGACCATCGCAGCGTCACAACAGCTGCCCGGCAACAGGACCACTGAGCTGAAGACCATGGAGGTTCCAGTGAAGATTCCCAATGCTGGGCTTGAGGGCCGCACAGTTGTTGCTGCCTACTTGTACCAGGATGGCAAGCTACTTGCTCGGTATGTCGACTGGCCGCAGCCGCTGAAGCATGTCCACTTTCAGCAGCCTCAGAGCTTGAAAGCGAAGCTCTCTGAAGATGGCAGCTCAGTCACGCTCAGTTCGGAAGTGCCAGTGAAGGGAGTTGCTCTAGAGGTGGACGATGAAGCCGTCAATTTTGACGACAATCTGGTTGATCTCGTTCCCGGGGAAGAGGTTGTGATTGGGGTAACAGGCGCTTCTAAGAGCACGACGATGACCACGAGATATCTGGGAATGCGCAGCTAGATTACTGCTTCAGGTTCTATCACCACGGCTTGACTGACATATTGACAAGCATCACGCTCTGTACTTGAAAATTAATCAATCACATCATCGCCGCACTCTCATGGATAAACCGCACTTTGTCGGACTTCTTTCCCTCCCCTCATTGGACAACTGACGGGCTGACTAGGTATAAGTGATCGGTCGCAAGGATGGTTGCACGACTGCTCAATGATGTGTGGCTGATAGGGCGGCGAATCACTAAACATTGTCTCCCTCGACATGGTTCGACGTGCTCTGGCGATGGCGAGGCTGGCCGGGTTTAAAGAATCCTGCGGGCGAGATGCGGAACCCCGCGGGACTAAATTAATCAGCTATGGACAGCCTCTGCACGATTCCGGAAATAGCTCTGATGGTCGCAAACTCCGGCCATCTCAAGTTCACCTGGATATAGTTGAATGAGATGTATGGTGTAAGAGGGCAAGATGTGAGCATTATAAAAGCTCTGGAGATGGAATGATCGAGGTGAGTCTCGTCAAGCGGACCCCGTCAATCATTCAGATTCTCTCAATCCATCACCAGTCTACGACAACATATCTCAGCAATGGCTTCTCAATCTCCTCTTCCCGAGACTCATCGAGCCCTCGTGTTACACTCCAACGACACTCCCCCCAAAGTCGAAACCCGTCCCGTACCGCAGGCAACCCCAGGCAACGTCGTCGTCCGCGTCCTCGCCGCCAACGTCCTCTCCTACAGCCGCGAGATGCTCGACGGCACCCGTCCGTACCCCTATCCCAAGCCGTACGTCCCCGGCGGCAGCGCAGTGGGAAGGATCGCGGCCGTGGGACCGGACTGCAGCACCTTTGCGCCTGGGCAGCTGGTGCTCGTGGACATCATGACGCGTGCTCGGGACGACACTTCGGCGAGCTACCTGATGGGCATTCACCAGGGGTTTTCGACGACGACTGTGAAGCTTGCGACTGATGAGTGGAGGGACTCGACGTATGCAGAGTACGCCAAAGTTCCGCTTGAGAATGTGTATGCGCTTGATGAGGAGCGGTTGTTGGGGGATTCAGCCAAGGGGGGGCTGGGGTATACTGTTGAAGATTTGGCGTACTTGTATCGACTTCTCGTTCCGTTTGGGGGGTTCAGGGACATTGATCTCAAGGTTGGTGAGACGGTTCTCATAGGGCCTGCCACGGGGCCCTATGGGACTGCGGCTGTGAGTCTTGCGCTTGCGCTGGGGGCAAAGGTCGTTGCCATGGGAAGAAACGGGCAGGTGCTGGAGAAGCTGGCCGCGACGAGCGACAGGGTGAAGACGGTGCAGCTCACGGGAGACGTCAAGGCGGACACGGCGGCTATCAAGCGGCACGGCCCCATTGACGTCTTCTATGACATTTGCCCCCCGGCGGCGGCGTCGTCGACGCACATCATGAGCGGGATACTGTCACTGGCTCATTCGGGGCGGGTGAGCCTGATGGGGGGCATCGCGGGGGATGTTGCGATTCCGTATGCGGCGATTATGTTCAACGACTTGAAGCTGCATGGGAAGTTCATGTATGAGCGGGAGGATGCGAGGCTGTTGGTGAAGATGGTGGAGACGGGGGTTTTGGGGCTGGGGGGCAGGATTGGGGCGATGTGCGAGGGGAGGTTTGGGCTGGAGGAGTGGAGTGAGGCTTTTGATGCTGCGAAGGGGAATGCTGGGCCTGGGCAGTTTGTTGTTATTAAGCCTTGAGGGTGTTGGGGAAGTTGGATGTGTGGTGAGGGTTTGTATAGGGGTCACTCTGCTTGAGGAGCGATAGGGGTCAATGTGACGGAGCTCAGTCAGGGGCAGATATTTTGATGGCATCTTGTTTTATCTTTCGTCCGCGGCCCCATGATTTGACTTCTCGTTGAGCTTGGTGACTCTTATGTTTCTCAAGATTTGATTCATCGTGTCATAGCCACCTATGACGGGGAGAATGAGCCCCTGTGGAGTTGGCATCCTACTAAAGTCGAGATAGACTAAGTATAGCCAAAGCATGATGGCCTACATGCACTTGCGGCTAGTCATCCTTCAATCACAACGTTTGTAAGAGCAATTGAGTTACTCTAAAGATATAAGCATACCAGAAGGTTGGCTCTTGAAGGTCTGATCAAGGCGGCTGTACAAAGTATACCTTAGTAGGTATCACATGTAAGTTAGAGGTTATGAAGGATAAGTATGGAGTGTAGTCTTAGTGCGTATAAGAGGCGCGCACAATGATAGTTATAGCCGCTCGAATCATGTTTGAAGAGCTGATGTAATACTGTTCAAGTTATATGCGTTGTAACTCCGTAATTCCGTCGATCTAATCGCATTCATCGTATATGACCGCGAAGTGGCGTGATGGATCTTGCAGTCGAATACCTACATTACCGAAGCTGTGTTTTCTGCTATTGACAGGAGGGTCTGCTGTAAAAAACGCCGAAGGTTGTTATGGTCCATTAGTGAAGACGGAGCGATGAGAGTCGTGAGGCAGTAGATTGGACGAGAAGTTGACTTGGTCTGAAAATGGAATGGATATTGACCACAGTTCGAATGCTCGTGATGTCATTATATAGAGCCTATTGCAAAGTCATGTTATGTATGCCGTCCAACATCCAAACGCCGTATTACCTTTTCCCATGTGTTTCCCACTTATATCAATCTGAGGTAGCGTACAGAGTCTCACTCAACATCCAATCTATAATAATACACAGCAAGCCGAAGACCCCCCCCAACGAAAAATGCAGAGTGAAAAAGGCAAAGGCAGAACAGAAAGTCCTTCACAGCCCCGTCTGCCCCTCCTCATTCATCTTCGCGTTCAAGATAAACTCAAACGGATCAATCGACATGAGCGTCTCGACGTCAAACATCCTCCAGTCAAAGTCCGGGTCGTGCGCCCCTGGGATGCTCATCGCGCCCGCTCCTCCCTGGCCCTCTCCGGGCGGGGGAAACCCGGGCATGGCGGACGACGACCGGGCGCTGTTGGGCGCGTAGTACGTCAGCGACAGCGGGTATCCGGATGCCGCGGGCGAGGTGTCGGAGGGCGTCAGCAGGCTGTTGCTGCCGTTGTTGTTGTTGTTGTTGGCGTGCATGGGCATGCCGCCGCCGCCGGCAGGGGCGCACTGGGGCGTGCCGCAGAGGCTCTGGATGCCGCGGCAGGGATTCGCGGTTGGGACGACGGTGCAGATGATGCGGTTGACGGCCTTGATGAGGATCTGGATCTGGGCGGGCGAGGCCGGGTTGGTGGGCGACATGGAGGAGAGGCAGTCGAGGGCGACGTGCAGCCAGGGGAGGTGGGCTTCGACCTTTGTCTTGTCCTGGAGCATGTCGAAGCCGAGGACGTAGCAGGCGCCTTCGAGGAAGAAGGAGAAGTACTTGGTTTCCTGTTGGGAGAGCGGTCAAGTTCCATACTTCGTCAGCCCCCGACTCGATCGTAGTTCGAAGGGGCGTACCTTGCAGAGGTCGTTGATCTCGCACGACTTGTTGATGTACTTTATGATCTGGCGGGCGGGCTCCAGGCAGTACTCGCATGCCGTATCGAGCCATGTGAGCTCCCGGAGCTTGTCGCACGACTCGGCGCCGACCTGCGGCGCGGGAGCGCGCAGCTTGCCGCGTAGGACCAGAAAGGGGCGAAACATTAGGAGCTGAACGTGGTTATACACTGCCATATCTTATTAGCTTATCATCGACTCGAAGTTAAGGGGAAATTTCCACCTACTTGAGACGATGATGGTCTTGCAGAAGCCGCACTCCCCCGCCCCCGGCTCCCCCTGAACGTCGATGTGGATGTCGAGCAGCTGCTCCTCCGCGTACGCCTGCAGCTCGTGGCGGAGCTCCGTCGCGGCGTTCCACATGTGCAGCAGCGATTCGTGGTGCTGGTTGTAGATGCGCGCCGCGCACTTGGACATGAATCTCGCCAGCCTGACGAGCGCCAGGATGAACTTTTCCTCGTGCGGCACGGGGACGCCGCCGCCCGGATCGGAGATGGACGTCGGGCGTCCGAGGCAGAAGCAGACCCAGCTGTATCAACTTTTTTTTTAGCATGACGACGTAAGAATAGAAGAAGAAGAAGAAGAAAAAGGTAAGTTGTTGCATACGTCTCCATGATGAACAGACTCCAAAACGTCAACCGGCGCTGCAGGCAGTCTCGCATCTGCCCCCTGATGCTGATCCCCCTGTGCAGGCCCGCCGCGACGGCCTTCCTCGACGCCACGCCGACGTAGAGAAACGCAGAGTGCGGCCGCGACCGCTCGAGCTGGAACTGGGCCTGCAGCAGCGGGATGTGGATGGCCTGGATGTTGACGAGCTCGTCGAGCTTGTCGGCGCCCTGGGAGGCGCGCTGGAAGAGGAACTGCGCCATGGCCTCCTCCTCGAGGATGGACGCGCCAATGGCCATGGCCAGCAGGACGACGACGACGTCGGGCGCGTCGAAGGAGAAGAGCCCCGGCGAGGCGTACAGCATGTCGGCGCGGCGGCGGAAGTCTTCCTTGGTCAGGATGGGCAGCAGGTGCCAGAAGGTGGACAGGTAGCGCTCCAGCGCGCGGCCGCACAGCTCCTTGTCGAGGAACATGGCCGAGTAGTCGCTGGAGACCATGGTCGACTTGCTGCCGTCGGCCAGGTCGCCGAAGAAGAGCTGCCGGTTCTGGAACAGGTCCAGGCCGGGGCCGACCTGGGCCACCTCCTCGCGGCGCGTCAGCGGCGTCTGTATGCCCGTGATGAGGCGGTAGATGGAGTGCAGCATGGAGAAGTTGGACGAGGGCCCGTAGTGCAGCTGGATGATGGACGACGGCGACGTGGTGATGGCGGCCACGCTGTGCACGTGGAAGCCCCAGCTGTTGTCGTCCCGCGGCTTGTCCCGGGGCTCCGGTGCCCCCGCGGCGGCGGCCGGCGCCGGGGTCTCGTCCGGGTTGCTAGCTCCGGAGGACGAGGCCGCTGCCGTGGCCGTCCCCGGCGTCTGCGACTTGCGAGGCCGGTTCCTCGTCCGGGTGCGGTAGACGCACGACACGCTCCGGTTGAGGCACCGCGCGCACGGCTCCTTGCCGTCACATCTCGTTTTCCGGGCCCGGCACGCCTCGCAGGCCTTTCCGATGTTGGTCATCTGTGTCCGGGGGGGGGGGGGGGGGGGGGGGGGGGGGGGGGGGCTGGGAGACGGGTATAGGACTAGACGGGATGGGCAACGCGGAGGCGGGAGACGGGGTTTCACACGCAACACCGCCGGAGGTTTGAGTCTCTTGTTGTTGTGTGAACTGCGGAATAACAGGAATAACGGGGGATGCTATTCATAGAGTGGTCCGCAGTGATGTTGCAGTTGCAATGTATGTAGTAGTACTCCGTATGTCTGGCGAGGCAATGGAGAGAGCTGCATTTGTCAGTCTGATAATGAACGTTCGATCTCGAAGCCGGCATTGAACCCACAGTCTCAACGCCAATTTGACATCAGACTCCTCGCTCCTCGCCAATGAGATGATGAGATTGATGTTGGATCTTCGAGTCGAAAGGTCGGAGCACGGAATTAAAAGGCTGATATACCAAGTCAGCAGTGTCTCAGATTTTATCGGCACCTCGCTATCCACACGGTGCGCAGTGGCGGGAATAGCGCCTCAAATGGACTTTGCTGACAATTCCGATGTCTTGTAATTCCGCCGCCCGCGTCTATAAAAGGGGTTGTTGACAAAGGTTTATTCAATCTTCAAGACTATACAGAGCAGCTCGCAGATACCACTGGGCCGAACTATGTCGTGTATTCGCGCTCACTTACAAGTACACGCGCAGTTCATGCTCAGCGTTCACCTGGTATGATACATACCCCAAGCTTGACGTACACTGAATTCGGACCGGCTGCAAGATTTGGCTTGTTACGGTACACAGCAGCAGCCCGCGCTTCGTATACAATAGCGACGAATGCCCCTTCACGGTGATTCACGCGCCATCATGGCCTGCATTTGTTGCTCCCACTCGAGCTCCCATAACTCGTCCTCAGAGAAGGGACACTTGACGATGTTGCAATCGCCAGGAAGCTCTCGAGCATCTCCATGCCCGCATACTCGTCGATGTACAGTCTTTGTCCGAGACACAGGTTGCCCTTGAGCATCGTTCGTGTAGTACTGCATTGCGACGGGGGTCGTGCCGTCTGTATCCTCCACGGAGGGGTGACTATGCGTAAGACACCAGTCGAAGCAAGATCGAGCGAAGCACGACTTGGAGCAGACCCTGCTGTTGCAGTATCTATTAGGGCTGCGAGATCCATCAATTGATTGCCCTCGAGGGATGGCTGTGTTAGCATCGTCTGACGTACCACTCGATTTTCTCACCAAAGGCTTCGATGTCGTCCAGAGCTAGTTCCACGTTCTCGCGGTCTTCCTCCGCACCTTCAATTAGCCGATTCTTACCAAATTCCATGAGCTCGTCTCCTGAAATTCTGGTGAAGTGTGATGGACGCTTCAGAATGTGGGTTGTATGATGTGACGAGATTGTTATGAGTGAGATTGAGTCTGACGTAGAGAAGGCAAGTGGAAGCGGGTTCTCTATATAGGTACCAGACCTCCGACTCGCTCGAGCCACCATATTGTGTAAATCTGAACCAAGAGCCGCTTCAGAGAAGGGGGTGCTCAAGGGACTGCTTTGCTCGCACCCATAATCCGTGAGATCTGTTCCCAAGACTGCTTTAATTTGATGGTATCCTGCATCGTCGAAGTCTGCTCTTGCATTTTACGTATGAGCGACAACCTTGACTTCACTCAAGAACAATATGGAGCCGTCATGAACAGCGGCACATCGGCGCTTTTGTGTAAGACTGCCTGAGTGGATACATTCTATCTGGTCGGAAAGTAGAACAGAGCATCGTCGATGATAATTGTAGATTCTGATTCTGACCGTCTTCCACTTTGCTGTTTATTGCCCAATAAAGGAATTGAATTATTCTCTGTATACTGATCTAGTAGATACTCGCGCCAAGCTAGACTGCCCAATGTACATCTATACTAAACAAGATTCGCAGGATAGAAATATTGTTCTGAAGGTATAGATAAAGCGATGAACGAAGATCGGTCATCCTGGCTATAAAACAAAGAAAGAGCCCAAATAGAAGGAAAACGAGGAGGGGAAACTGAGAGAGAAAGGAAGACGAGAGGGGAGAAAAGAAAAGAAAGAAAGAAAAAGGTAGAGGGGGGAGAGAAGGGAAATAAGCCATGTTTTATTGAAAAAAAAAAAAAATGATTAGAATAGAAAATAAAGACTGATTCGGATGTAATTGTCTGATAGGATCTTTGAAAAGGGTTCAAAAAAGATAAGAAAGAAGTATGTGAGCACAGATCAATGTGAGTATCGGCGGCGCGACTCTCATTACAGCCCCGGGAATACTTCCCTCGCTGAAATCATGTAGTCCTGGTTCGATATCAAGTACCGCTAGCCCGTCGTACTTTTCTTGATCGTACTCATAGAATTCCCTTAGGCCTTGGAGGTCAAGATCATTGACTTTGTACTTCCCCAAGTGATCATAATATTGCATGATCGACTGGGGATTCTCAGGCCCAAGGCGACAAGAAGGTTCCCACCCCTCTTTCTCAAGAGCAAATTCGTGGCGAAGACCCAGAATATGACCGATCTCGTGTGCCAGTATGTTCGGCAGGTATTCGGGCTTGGAACAAGTCGGCTCGAACACGAGCAACTCTGCCGGCGAAGGATCAGGAAAGAAAGAGCAGGCGTAAGCTTTCTTCCATATGCCCCTTTGGTATCTGACGGTGAATGTGGCTTTAGAATCGCGAGAGACTTGCTTGAAGCTCACGCCAATACCCTGCCAAGCGGAAATCGCCTGTTTCATGTCGTCTTCCACTCGCCTCGCGAGACACGGTGGGAAGCCGTCAGTGCACACGATGTACCTGAGTTCAGAACCCTTCCGCCAGCGACGTATTGCAGAATCCCATCCGATGCGTACCTCGACAGAGCCATGTGTTTCGGTGGCACATTTACAGATGGGTTTGGCGTATTGAGTATCGATCAGACCGGGCGGTTGGGGAAAGCATTCAGCTGCGAGTGCTTCCTCAGCTATGGCATCCGGTGATAGACTTGCAGTTTCGTCTCCGTCATCGCCCTCGTCTATCATCAGTTCTGTGGGATATCGCTTAGGGTTACCGTCGCATATCGGCTCGATACTTTGGCGCAAAGTGCCCCCAAGTCCCTGGAGGATGCCATCAACATCATGGCCACGAATGCCCGAGCATCCAAACTGAGCATCAAGGCTCATGGCACTCATGGCATCACGGGACGCGCGTCCATCTTGGAGATCAGTGTGTGTGGTACTCGTAGCATCAACAAAATCATGGCTGGGGTCGGTGGCTGCTGGGGTGAAGACACTCGTGCCATCTGAGGATGAAGACTCGCAGTCTTTGCCAGGACACAACACCAATGTGTTGACAAGGCCAGTATTTGTACCCTGTGGTTGAAGAGGGGACCAGGGAGAGGAATCATCGTACGGGAGACCTGATGATGGTATCATTGAGATTAGCAATCGTCTTGTCCACCCACCACATCAGACGGACAAAATACCCACCACATATCAGCTCTCTCCGTGCTGACACTGAGGAAGACTCAGTATCGCCGGATTCATGGTCATGAGAGGCCATGCTGGTGGACGGCATCTCCCGACTTAGCCAGCTCGGTGCATGTAGTTCAGATATGTTCAAGGAGTGATGATGGGGTTAAGGTCTGAGGGTGAAGGACCTGGTTGGAGAGTGAAGTTAAAGCGTCGCATGGTTAGGTATTTATACTGATGCAGGAAGCCTTGGGGTAAAAGGCAACGACAATCGCCCTACACCTGAGCAATCACCGAACCAGATATCTGGTTTCTCTCGGGAGTCACTCCCAGTTCCGTGCCGTGGCCAGCCTCGCACAAACGTGGCAGCCGGACCCGCCTCTAGCATTCATTGTCCCTGCATCTGATCTCTTCTATCCTCGGCGAGAGAAATTCCCGAGCCTAATTTGCTGTAAGACAGATGGTAGGGGGTTACAAACAGCGAGACACCCAGCTTGTATAGCGGTCCCAGTGGACTGACTAGTAGGTGGATGACAGTCTCTTGTCTCGGTACGCCATAATCTCTTGTCTACATGGTAGTCTCTCGTCTACCTCTGGCGCTTCGTTGTCTCTTCCTCTTTGCTTTTCTCTCTTACTTGTCTTTTTTTAGACACCGCGAGACAAACGACTTGTGTAGCGGCCCCAGACGACTGACTGGGTGCGTGATAGTCTCTCGTCTGCCTCCGGCTCTTCGTTGCCCTCTATTAGCTTTTTGTCTTCCTATACCCTCTTTCTCTTTGCTTTTTCTCTTACCTTTCTTTTCTTTGTAAGGAGGTCTCCTTCTTCTCTCTCCCCTCATTTCTAACACTGCGGTGGCGGCTTGAAACTCCCAACTCTTCGAAAGCAGCGCTACTTTGACCCAATCCGTACGCGTATGAAAAAGGTACATGTACCGTCATGTGTCTCGTACCTTGATCCAACACGCGCCGGCGAATAGGAAGCGCCCCAGTGACCCCGCCAACTGTAGTTAGTTGTACCTTACTACCTAGGGGCGTCTCTGCATGTTTGGGCGCTTCTCTATCTCGGCCATTCCCTCCACTTCCATCGCATCAACGATGTAGGGGGTTACTGAAAAGCAAAGAGTAGTCCTATTTGAACCGTAACAAATTCCTATTTGAACTGCAGTGGTCCGTGCTACACCCTCCAAGTCGTAATTCCCACGCCTCTACACTGCATCACAGTGTGGCACACTTGCAGTCAATACCGTAAAGGAGATATCACAAGGAGAGACCCGCGGCCGTGACCGCGATTACAAGTACGTCCTCGATCTTAAGGCAATTACGCAGGCGAGGCGCTGCCGCCCTCTAACTCATGTTGCAATAGACCCTTCGTACATAGAGCTTCGTACTGATGTCTTAACGCGGGCGACGGTTAACCTTGTGACGTTAAACTTCGCGATGTTGAAGGGCAAGAGTGGGAGAGCCTTTTGTGTCGTGTTGACTACAGGTACCTAGCCTACACTCGTTGATGCGATGTAGGGATTAATGATGTAGGGGAATGGCCGGGATAGAGGCCCCCCTGGTATTTAATTTTTATTTGCTGGCAACACGGGAGGAGGCCACTAGGTGGGATGACGTTGCTGGTGGCCTAGCGACGACAGCTCTAGACTTCGGCTGCCCCCGCCGGGGTATGCGTGCTTGACAGTAGCGCCTAGTGGAGGTGACAGAAGACACTTACCCATCTATTTAGTACTGGTAGGTACCTAGATAGTAAATCTAGAGAGTTTACCCACTTACATGAGGTGGGAATGGATTCCACTTGAGAAGCATGTAACGCCTCCTGCATGTAACGCCTCCTGCAGTGTACTCTGATCCTTCCAATTGCCCGCTGCTTTATCCAGAATTCCCAAGCATTGAATGTGATCGGTGGCAACCGTGGTGCTATGTAGAGATATGTAAGGCAAAAGCCCACTAATGTTGTGATGTTGTCTGTAACAGGACTCACGACATCGTGGCAGGCAGCGCCTCACTCGGTCAGGTATATACTGTAGGCTCTTTTACTTCGTGTTCTCTCACGCATGCTTAATGCAGCTCTGCTGGTAAGAAATGAATAATGACATCGGCCTAAGCAGCCTCGTGGTACCAGTGCCCTTATTGCCAAACACTTGTACAGTTCGCCCCTGACACCCTACATTCTGTAGAGTAGTTGTCCTACACACGAGATTGGGCTGAGATACTCCGTAAACTCAGATGCCTTACTTCAAGTGGCATTGAGCCTCAAAGTCTGTCGCATTGTTCACCACCGCCATATTGCTAGAGATGCCAATTTCGGTGAAGAGCGAGACAGTTTGAAACTTGGTTGCCTGGGTCGATGCCAGATCTGGTTATAGCGTCAAGGTCACTAATGGTGTGTCCTTAGCTTTTTATATCTCCTTATTGTAGGTGGTGTTTTCCCCCCGTGAAGTGTAGCCATTCACGCGTGCCGCATTGGATGCGAGCGAGCGTAGCAAAGGGAGTCAGATGTGCCGAGGACACAGCATAATTCGCCCTGACACCTTACGTCTTCCTCCCTACAGCCAATCCCTGATCGCGGATGACCGCCACATGGCGTATCGTGCTACGTTCTTTTCTATGATGGAAGGAAACCTGCCTTTAGAGTGGGCTGTTTTCTTTACTTTGTGGGTTTGGTGTGGTGCGCCTTGCCTCAGCCGCACCAGCCGCACCACCCATGCGAGTTGCAGGAATCACCGGGTTGGGCCGCGATGCAGCTCGCATGCCACGGGGGACACAGGTATTCTCCGACAAACTGTCCCTCCGACGATCAAAGGGGGGCAAGGGAGGTCGCCCATGTGTTTTCAGGCCGTGGCACAGCAACAGGGGGGAGGGAAACCACCGCCGGTCTGCCACTATAAATTTGTATGTGATGGGCGGCGGTGGTTTCTTTCCCCCTCTTGCACAGGTCATCTCTCATAAGGTACTCCGTAGTGCGCGATAGGTAAGCGGGAGGATGAACAGCCTGGAGATTGCATGATAACCTACTCCTTTGATCAGCTCAACCGTACGGAGTACGAGTACAACTCTCTTCTCCATATTAACAAGATGCCAGCCAAGGAGATCAGCAATCTAGACTCTCAGCATCTCTACCTTGGCTGCTTGGTTCTTCAGTGGTCTTTCACCAGTGTTGCCGCGTCATACCTTTCGTCGGGTCATCGATGAGCCTCAGTCTCATCGTTTGCTGCCGACATGAGGTGCAGTTCAACAGCAGCCACGAATCTGGGACCGCGATCATGTATCGGGCAAGCTGGCATTGTGTCTTGGCTGTTCCAAGACACGAGTGTCGTACAATGGCTGAACAAGGGACGCCTGAGGTTTCCATTTGCTGCGGGGAAACCAAACGGGGTCCTAATCGATAAGGCAAGAATCGCAAACAAAACAGCAACTGCTAAGAATTTTCTCTCTTCACGCACTTGTTTGTTCCTCTTCTCACAACACAAATGCTTCCATCGAAGCTTTTCAAGTGATGACGATTGTTCGACGCCGACAAGAAGCTTCAGACTTGACTCAGTCTCAATATTTCCAATTCGGCACACGGTAAAACTCTGTGATTTCCTTCTTTCTCTTGTTACCCGCAGCACATCCATGCCAGCCACTCAGTCCTCCCACGAGTCTTTCTTCCAGGCGCGTCGCGTCTTGCGATTGCGCCTGGAAGGGCTGGCGTATCGATTGCAGACGAGACTATTCCGATAGTCTCGCCTCCAGCTTCTGCTGCAAGACGAATGGGCCATCATAGTCCGTGTCGATTCGGTTTCCCTCTGGGAAAATTGCCCACATCGGCGCGGCTCCCAGCGCTCCTACATATCTCCGCTACGTAACCAATTGAACATCTGTGTACAAAGTAGTATAATACTTGTGTTTGCATTGTGTGTTGAGGTCTCGGGTGGCGTTTACGCTATTGCAAGGTCGGAACTTGAAGGCTGCGGACGACAACCACTACCTTATTGTAGTTATTACTACTCGTACCTGTAGCCAAGTAGCACACAATCTGCGTCTGCGAGGGAACAAAGGAGAGAAAATAAGACTTCGAGTCTGCCACGTATGTCCCAATCTGGAAGCCTGCAGATGATCGCGCAACTCGTGGGCTGTCGTCTGCTGTACATCGTCACCACATGGTTACGTCACTTTCCCTCGCTCCATCTTCGGCATCCATCTTATCGTGCCTACCTTACAACCTCATGAGGCACAAGTACGACCTGGCCGTAGTTTAAACCTCAACACCAAACTGTCATCATCACCACGCTATTCTTCCCTATCCTTCCCCTCACTTCCCCCCATTTCCCCTCACATCCTAAACATCGGCATGAACAGCATCCTAAGAACAACCTCCTCTCATTCCAGCAGATGCCATTTATATCGTATACCAACCCTCAGATACTCACAGCAGCCCTCATCACTCCTCCTCTGTAATTCTCGCTCCCTATCCTCCCTCACCATGCCTCCGAGCAACAAGCCCACCAAGTTCAGCCACCTCCCGCTTAGCACGACCGGCCCCCTCGACTGCGCTCTCGCCGGCACCGCGCTCCTCAACAGCCCCACGTTCAACAAGGGATCTGCTTTCCCGCTCTCCGAGCGTCGAGAGTTCAACCTGACCGGGCTGCTCCCGGCAAACGTGCAGTCGCTGGACAACCAGGTCAAGCGCGCATACCAGCAGTACCAGTCCAGGAGCGACGCCCTGGACAAGAACACGTTCCTGACCTCGCTCAAGGACCAGAATGAGGTGCTGTTCTTCAAGCTGCTGCTCACCCACCTCAAGGAAATGTTCAGCGTCGTGTATACGCCCACCGAGGGCGATGCCATCCAGAACTACTCGAGGCTTTTCCGCCGTCCGGAGGGCTGCTTCTTGAATATTAACAATCCCGAACTCGTGGAGCAGGATCTTGCTCTGTGGGGAACGGCCGATGATGTCGACTACATCTGCGTTACAGGTAATGCTGCCTTTACGTTTCAACTGCTCACTCTTTCTATAAGCTTTTACTTACTCCTGTCCTAGATGGTGAAGAGATTCTTGGCATCGGCGACCAGGTATGCTCTATCTCACTTTATATTCGTGATACGTTGTCATTGTTAACTCATCCCTCAGGGCGTGGGCGGCATACTCATATCTGGAGCAAAGCTGACTCTCGCGTCCCTCTGCGCCGGTGTCCACCCCAACCGAACCCTCCCTGTGGTCCTAGACTGCGGCACAGACAACGAAGAGCTGCTCAACGATGACCTCTACCTCGGCCTCCGCCAGCCTCGTGTTAGGGGGAAACGATACGACGACTTCATTCAGACGTTTGTCGAAGCTGCTAGGAAGCTGTTCCCTCGAGCGTACATTCACTTTGAGGACTTTGGCACGAAAAACGGTATGATTTGACCTTCAAGTTTGCTTTTGCATCAAGGCTAATAGTCATTCAAACTGCAGCCAGGCGTCTGCTGGAGCTATATCGCCCCAAGATTGCTTGTTTCAATGACGACGTTCAGGGCACGGGCTGCGTGACGCTTGCTGCCATCATGGCCGCGCTGCACGCCAGTAAGCAGAAGCTCAGCGACTCTCGCATCGTCATTTTTGGCGCCGGCAGTGCTGGAGTCGGCATTGCAGACCAAGTCAGAGACGCCATTGCCACGGAGCAAAACATTAGTCACGAGAAGGCTTCGCAGCAGATATGGTACGTTTATCAACTCATATATACCCTAGTGAATGCCTCTAACATGCTAATTTTTCACAGGTTGATCGACAAGGAAGGCCTCCTGACAACCAAATCGGACGTCTCGACCGCCCAAAAGTTGTACGTCAAAGACGCCTCCGAATGGAGTGATAACACCAGCCTCCTCTCCGTCGTCCAGCAGGTCAACCCCAACATCCTCATCGGCACGTCCACCGTGCCTGGCGCCTTCACCGAGGACATTGTCAAGGCCATGCATGAGCACGCGCCCCGACCCATCATCTTCCCGCTGTCCAACCCGACGCGGCTTCACGAGGCGAAGCCGGCGGACCTGCTCAAGTGGACCAACGGCAAGGCGCTGGTCGCCACCGGGTCGCCATTTGAGCCCGTCACGGGGCCCTGGGGTGACGATGGCGGGGACGTGACGATTGAGGTTGCCGAGTGCAACAATTCGGTCGTCTTCCCCGGCATAGGCCTCGGCTGCGTGCTCAGTCGGGCAAGGCTCCTCACGGACAAGATGCTCGTGGCCGCCGTCGAGGGCGTCGCAGCACTGAGCCCCGCGCTCAAAGACGCCACGGCGCCGCTGCTCCCGGACGTCGAGGATGTGCGCCCCGTGAGCGTCCAAGTGGCCAAGAGCGTGATCCAGGCGGCCGTCAAAGAAGGCGTGGCCACGGAAAAGGGGATCCCCTCGGACGAGAAGGAGCTCGAGGAGTGGATCAGGGAGCAGATGTGGAACCCAGAGTACCGCCCGCTGAAGCTGGTCAAGATGGAGGACGCGACGAGGGCGGCCAAGGGGGAGCTTGGAAAGGCGATGCCGGGGCTGTAGCACAGGGTGGTGAGGAGGCAGCGGAGGTGGGGAGGGAAAGAATGATGATGCTTGGCTACATTGATACAGTAGATGTAGATGTAAAAGGTAAAGGGGCGTCTAGATACCTAGACTGCTAGACTGCCTGTTGGGTATTCAGATACGTTCAAAGCATAGACAATGAGTATCTTTCAGATATCAAGAGGTATATTATATGATGCACAATGCAAGGAGTGTCGTAAGCTGAGTTCTAGCACCCAGAAAGCGCGAAGAATGTCAAGGGGATTGTCCAAATATCAATAACATACGCCCATAACAGTATCATTTACTCCTCATCAGACTCCTCCTCTTCCTCTTCCTCGTCATCATCGTCATCAACCTTCTTCTCTGCCGCCTTCGCAGCAGCATGCTTCACACCCACCTGCATACGGCGAGCCACATACCACTGCGCTACAATGCCCACAGAAAGCGTCAGCGAATCCTTCAGCCACCCGGCAACCCACTCCCTGGGATCGAGCTCGCCCTCCTCGACAAGGCTCCGGATATCCTCATGGATGCGGCTATGCGAAGAGCCCGCGGCATCGTCATCTCCAGACTGGGGTGTTAAGGGACTAGGGGCCTCGAGCCAGCGAGCCCACTTGGCGGGGATGGGCTGGCTGATGGTGGCATATTCGATCTCGTGAACCGGATCGACAATGAAGATGGCGAATCGGAACTCGTCCTCGTTCTCTTCCTCCTCGTCGGCATCCTTCTTCTCCTTGGCCGCGGCCGCAGTCCGGCCAAAGAGCGTCTTGTCCTGATCAGTGACGATGGCCTGAACAGACAAGAACACATCCGACGTCCGGACGGAGCCGGGCTCGACGACGCCTGACCTCGCCTTGGCCTTGACGGCGTCAATGCCTCCCTGCGAGGCAAAGTACTCGGTCGCGTACGACTCGGCATTGACGCGGCAGAGCTTGGTGCCTTCAACGAGGCCCTTGACGACGCCCAGCTCGCGGGGCTGGTCGACCTGTCTCCACCAGGGGCCGTCGTCCCAGCCGGCGGTGTTGTCGTGAGCCCGCGAGGAGCCGCTGTCGTGGCCCCTCTGAACGACCTTGAGGTCACCGCCTTCGACCTGCTGCATGACGTCGGCGAAGACATCGTAGATGAGGGGGTCGAGGGACGGGTAGCCGACGAGGTCGTGGGTGATGTGGATGAGGAGGCGCTCGTGAGAGCCGATGGGGGGAGCGATGGTGTTGATGATGTTGGATAGCGTTGGCAGAGCGCGGTTGCGAAGCTCGTCGCCTTTTTGAGACATTGTTAGTCGAAGACGGTACTAAGAGGTTGTTGCAGCTGGGGAAGCTCACCATAGCTCTTGAGTGTGTTGACGTCGATGCCGGTCCTCAAGCCCTTGACCTGCTCAGCCCACTTCCGGGCCTCCTCGTTCTGCTGGATCTGGTTGTACGCAGCCTCGGCCTGCTTAACGACCCCGGTCGCCGTCGACAGGATGCCCCCCCACCAGCCGCCTCCGGACTGCTGCTGCTGCTGCTGCTGCTGCTGCGACTGCGGCTGCTGCCTCTCGGCATCGTGGAGCTCGGAGCTCGTAGCGCTGGGCGTGAAGCTGGCCTTGAGGCTCTGCGAGCTGTCGGTGGACTTGCGCGCCGCGGCGGCACCGCCCTTGTTGCTGTCGTCGCCAATGGGGGGCGTGGCCGTGGAGCGGCGGGCAATGGCCTCCTTGAGACGGGGCGTGTGCGGGCGGGAGGCGGGCTGGGGGGCCAGCTCGGACTCGAGGTCGGCGAGTATGTCGTCGTTGCCAATGGCCTTTGCGGCGGCGGCGGCCGAGGTGGGCTTCTTGGGGGGCTTCTTGGCCTTGGAGTCGTCGCCGATGCCTGAGAAGAGCTCGTCGAGGTTGTCGTCGGCAGTGGGGGCGGCCTTGGACTTTTTGGAGGCCATGGCGGGGGTTGCTGGGGGGAGGTTTGTGAAGCTGGTGGGATGCTATGATGGGGGATGCAGCATGTGGTTGTGGTGGACCATGTAGAAGCTGATGTTGACGATGGATTGACTGACGGTGGTTTGTTTGGCTGTGTTGTTTGGTTGATTGGGAGGAATACGGAGTAGCGCGGTACTGTAGGAATGTCTGCAGTGGTGGGGTAGCGGTAGCAGTTTGGAGGTCGATGTACGAGTACATTGTACGGAGTACAGACGCTGGTCAGCAGGGGTTCGCACGTGAAGTTGCAATAACGGCAAGAGAGGACACGATGCGATCAAGGCACATGAGGTATCAGGCACGAGATGGTATTTCAGATACTCTAAAAATGAGCTTGGTGCTATTGAGTCTGTTGTCAAGTGGCCAAGGCTCTGGATATGGGACGATAAAGCGGCATTCAAGATTCGATACCAAGTACCCCAGATGCAGATGCAGACAGGAACAGCTTGTACCCATACATGGAAACATGGCTGGAAAGATGGAGAGAAACAGCAGCAGATGCAGCGACACGCAGTTCCAGGTTGGCTTAGCGCGGCATCGCTTGGGCGGGCAGATGTGCTGTACCTCTGTCGCGCCGGACGTGCCCCTGGGGGATGAGACGGCCACGTTGTAGCGGTACTTGTACTTGCAGCCAAACCTGCCGCCTCAGCTCTGCCCTGCATTTCTTCATCAAGAGGGCCATCTTTGAGGATTGGGATCCAGAGCCGCAATCGATTGATAGGGTCAATCACCTTGAGAGAAGACCTCCAAGTAAAAGCAGGTAAAAGCCACAGTGGACCTTTGCTTAAGCTGAGCCCAATCTTCCAGTTTCTTCTCGACCTTAACCGATTAGGTGCCGATCTCTTAAGTCAACCACTAAAGCAGCGTGAGAAGCAGGCCTCACTTTGCCCTCACCTCACTTTTGAGATGCCCTCACCTTGGACTCACTGGCTCTCCACCCACATTCACAGAGTGGAGCCGTCACCGTCATTGTTTCTTATCTGCGTGGTGACTGTCTTGTGTCTGTGAGAGCAAGCAACTATTCGATGAGGCGTCGAACGTGAAAACTCGTCGGCATCTCGTAGGCATCAAACATTGAATTTCAAGGTCAGGAGGTTCAGGGCGCGCACAGCCAGGCACAGGTAAGTAGGTACTCAGTACCCAGGCTGCACGGCATTTCGCAGCGCTGAAGTGCAGTAGCGGCTACTTTTCGGTACGTACCGCCCGTCGCGGCAGCGCTGGGCCAGTCAGAGCGCAGAAGCGCAGCAGCGCAGCCGTGGCTTATTCGATCCACGAAGCTGCAGCCGAAAAACGACTGACAGCCAGCAGAGCAGCACTGACACCGACGGCCAGCAAGGAAATCTCTGATATCGAGCTCACCTCGGCCTCACTTGACAGCTGCCAGGCCCGTCGTTTTCTTCTCTGCCGCCTGCGCGCTCATTGCCGCCTGCTGATTTGCCATTGCTGCCCTTCTTTTTTTCCCTCTACTGCTCTCGCACAAAATCCTGCTTCGCCTTTGGCCCGGCACGTCACGCTTGGTTTCCCTCACATTTTATACCCAGAAGCCAAAACTCCAGCCAAGGCGGCCGTCACCATTTGCCCCCCAGACGTCTTCACTTGCAACATCTGTTTCTTCTCTCGTTCAACGTTTTCCCTCTCTGCTTTTTTTTCTCTCGCAACTTCCTCTTCGTCTGCGGCCTTCGCCTCGTTCATTTCGGCCTCGCGGATGACATCTTCCCTGCACTGCCTGTTATTCTCTTACACACCCCTTAACCACTCACACACTCAATCCTGTTTTCCTCACCAGCATCATGGACCGCGCTCGCCGCGCAACAAACAGCCGCCGCAAGCCCCAGGGAGCCTCTTCGTCTCCTCCGTCCGCGACTGCATCGGCCTCTGCTGCGTCTGCGTCGGCGTCGGACGCCTCCCTGGAGCGCCATCAGTCGTCGGCCAGTCCCATCATGGCGCATGCCACTAACACTCCCACAACCGCACGGCGCGCCAACAAATCCCTTCAGCCTGCCTTTACCTTTTCCACGCCAGGCCCTGTCCGGCCGTCGACGCTGAGGAAGTGGTCCAAGACCATGGACGACTACGCCGTGGCCGACGACGGTGACTTTGAAAACGACAGCCCCAAAAAGGGCGGTCACAGCCTGCGCAAACGCGCGCGTGTCGACTACACCCTGGAGCAGATTGACGACGACGGTGACTTTGCGGCCAACGCTGCGTCCGCCTCAGCCTCGGCAGCGGCAGCGGCGTCTGCTGCAGCCTCTCGCAACGGCAAGAAGCGACGGACCACGGAGGGCTCCAACTACGACTCTGAGGATCTCTACGGGCCCAGCCCCAAGCGGCGAGGCGTCTCCGTGGACGCTGACACGCCCTCGAGCCGGCGCCGCTCGTCCGCCCGCAAGCTGCTCGAGGCCAAGGCCTACAAGGACGACGTCGACGACGACGAAAAGGACGTCCAGGACACCATTGAGGTCGGCGTGACGGCGTTTGCAGGCCCGGACAGCTCGCCCTCGGATGCCTCGTCTGCAGACCTGTCTCTGTCTCTGGCGGCCGGCCCACAAAAATCTACACCCGTCCAGCCAGCGTCTGAGCAGCATGACAGCACGACTCTTGCCGGCCTCGCCGAACAGCAGCAGCAGCAGCATCACGACGACGCTCAAGAGCCAGCCTCATCTTCGTCTATGTTGGATTCCACCAGCATGGCAGCCGCCACGGCCAGCGGCAGCCTCAAGCCTCACTCACCCTCACCCTCACCCTCACCCTCACCCTCACCCACGCCTCACTCACCCGCAGACGCTCACCCGCCGTCCGTGTCCGCGCACGCGCCACACCTCACCACAACCGCACCAGCCTCAAACCCTCCTGCCCAGCCACAACTCAAATCGCAAGCCCGCGACGCCACTTTTGGGCCCTTTGCTGCTTTGGACGATACAGTTCAGGGCGACGACTCGCTAGCACAACAAAAGGCAGAGGCAGAGCCCAGCACACATATAAACAATGGCACCGACAACCCGCAGGCCGCTGAGGAAGCTGTGCAGTCTTCATCATCTCTCTCTCTGCATCCTCCATCGCTGCCTTCATCGCCGCTTCCCGCATCGCAAGCTGCCGCAAAAGACGACGCTTACACGCCTGTAACAGCCGCTGTTGATGACAAAGACACCCGCGCTGAAGCCGCTGCACCTCTCGAGCCGTCTCTCCAACTTCCCGAAAAGGAAATTCTCCAGGGCCGCACAGTTGAGCCGCAGGACAGCGAGACGCCTGCCCAGCCTCGGCCGCAGTCTGAGTCCGGGGCTCAATTGCTCCCTCAGCCTGCTGCATCCGCCTCTGTTTCTGCTTCTGCTCAGGAGCAGCCATACTATCCTTCGGCTGCGGCTCACTTGTTTACCGTGTCTGCCCCATTGGCGCAGCACCCTCAACCTCAATATCAACCTCAGGCCCAGCCTCATCCTCAACCCCAAGAACCACAAGATCGAGATCAAGATCAAGATCAACCCCATACACCTGCACCAGACATGTCCATCGACAAACAGGAGCAGTCTCCGGAGCAAGACTCCAAGGCCTCCAGCCCTGTGCCCGCCGTAGCCATCTCCGTCACCGTCGCCAGCTCTCCAGCGTCACCCACCACGTCTGGTTTTGACTCGGCCGTCATGGAAGCCTCGCAGTCGACAAGCGCCGACACAAAGTGCGCCGACCATCTTATCCCACAGCCCGAGGGCGAAGAGGTCGCCGCCGCCACTACTCAGTCATTGGCAGATGACCAGACTCAAGACTTGGAGGCGGATGCCACAAGCCGAGCATCGCCAGCCGTCTCCGAGCAAGATGCATTGCCGGGTGATTACATTCCTACTGGTAAATGGAGCCATCTCACCCCTTACATTGAAGGTGAATGGGTCTGGTACCCCGAGAAGAAGGCGCCTCAAGAAGACGAGGCCGTCGCCAACGAGGACCCGGCTGCCGATGACTTGGAGCCAGTTGCCGAGGACAACGACGACGTTGCCGACGCTGGCACTGGAGCTCCTACTAACGCCCTCAACACCCCATTGCGAGGATCACCCGTTCCCGACTCAATGGATCCCACCGCTTACAACTCTCCCGCCGCCGGCGGAGAGGACGGTGACGAAGTGGACGTCTCTGAAGAAACGCCCGAGCGTAGCCGCTCATACCGCTACCGCAGAGTCAGGAACCCCCAAGAGTTCCTCGACCTCATCAAAAACTATGAGACCATGCCAACGGAAGAGCTCAGGCAGGCTCTGCACGTCATCACCACCGCCATGGCCCACTGGCAAGACGAGTGGAATTGCCTCGGCCAAGAGGTCGATGACTACGAAAACTCACTGCGCCGGCGCGCGGCAGACATCAAGTATGAGAACCGGACACGCAACCTGAACCAGCAGGGCATCAGCTGGGAGGAGCCCGAGTTTTTCCCCAAGGGCTACAAGGCCAAGGACAAAGAAGGCATGAATGAGACGCGCTACCTCCAAGCCCAGGACAAGATCATGGCCGCCTCTTACGGTTTCGAGTATGATCCGCACCCCTCCAAGATTGGCCGCCAGAATCCCGAGACCCAGCAGGCGGGCATCATGACGCGCGGCCGTTCGCTGCGCAACCAGCCCAAGCCCACGGCCAAGGCCACCGAGGCGGACGAGGTCACCGGCAAGAGGCAGCGCAAGCCCGTCCAGCTGTTCGACCCGGCCACCCAGGACGTCAGCCGCGCCGCGACGCCCGTGCCAGCTTCCAGGCCTCGCCGACGCAGGACCGCCAACGGCGACAACGACGACGGCCAGGCCAACGCCGCCGCCGTCTTCAACGGTGAGCCCGTCGCCTCAGAGGAAGAGGCGACTAGCGATACCAAGCGAAGACGCAACCGCGCGACCCGCGCCAAGGCGGCTGTCGTCCCCAGCATCGTCGAGGAGCTCGTGGCTGCCCCTGCCATTGAGGAGGCCGCCGCCGCCGTGCAGACCCCATCCAAGTCGGGCCGCAAGTCGCGCGCCAAGCAGCCCGTCAAGTACGACGACGAGCCGGTGCCCTTCCCCTCCGTCGAGGAGGAGCCGCAGCAGGAAGAGGAGAAGCCGCAGCAGCCGCGGAAGCGCATGCTTACCCTCAAGATCCCCAAGGGCAAGAACATCAGCGAGCCATCTTCGGCCATCACGGACAATGGCGATTCGCGACCTTCGACAGCCAATTCTGAGTCTAGTGTGCACACTGCCGAGTCGTCGTATTCGTTCCGCCCTAAGCGCCAGAAGCGATTCCGCGACGAGCCCGAGGAGAGCGAGGAGGCCACCGCGCAGCCTCCTCCCGCCAAGAAGAGGAACAAGCGCACCAACGCCGCCCCTGCTGCTCCCGCTCAAGCATACACTCCCACTCCCGTGCCTACCATTGAGGACGAACTTGCTGCCCCAGAGCCCGTCGAGGCCGACGCCGCTCTCGGGGTCAATGGCCGTAAGATCCAGAAGATCAAGGTTGTCCGACAGACGCCCGCCAGCCGCAAAGCAACGCCGTCGGCATCGGTGCCGCCCACCGGCGAGGAGGGTGAGGAGCCCCAGAAGGACTACAAGTCCATGACCAAGTCGGAGAAGATGTCCGCGTCTATGAAGAGTGAGTATCATGTTCCCCTCTCCCCCCCGTGCCTCAACCCGCTAACAAACTTCGTCCTAGGTCGATGGGCCAACGGCAACATGGCTGGTGCTGTCGAGAAGCGAAAGGCGACCCTCGCTGCGAAAAAAGCCGCCCAGGCAGCGGCTGAGCAGAGGGTTGGACTGATCGCTCCGAAGCCCAAGGTGAAGGCGGCCAAGAAGGAGCCGGTCGAGCAGACGGAGATGCCTCCGGCCTTTGCTCCCCAGCAGCCTCAGCCGCAGATTCCCGGAATGGGATACCCGTTCCCTCCCTCTTAGAGATACCCCAACTCGCATCAACACACACAACAGAGCACCCTCCCCCCGACATAGGGCGGGTCTCGAGAGAGCCCAAGAGAGGGCCTTTCTCTTTTGCATCTACAGCAGGCTTTCGACTGTAAGATTTTTATTGCCCGGTTTTCCGGTTTGGAAACGGTGGTTTTATATCTCTCAATTGCCGATTCATGTACCATACTTGGACGACAGGAGTCTGTCTGCTTTGCGCAGTCCACACAACTGGCAAAGACGACTTGCACGAGTCACTCGGAGCACATACGTTGAGCGCGCACAAAAAAGAAAACAGAAAAAACACAAAAAAAAATTACACCGAGAGGCACTGGATCGCTTCCATATAGGACGCCACAGTTGCCCGGTCTGCGTTTGAGAGATATCGAGGCGATTGAACACGATGTATATTGGACATCGGTTATAAGGGTCTTCGACTTTTGGCCCTCCCCGTTTCTTGTTTTTCCAGCTTTTCCCGACTTTTGTTTACCGGATTGGCATTGGCATTCGGACCAGCCTCTTTTTGAAAGAGCATACAGCCGGTTGGTCCCTCCGGCGTTGGTTGGCCTCGTTGAGAGCCGCGGCTATACAGGAGGAATATCTGCTTTTTTTTACCCTACTGTTTTTTCCTTGTCCAAATTGGAACTCGGAACTCGGTTTTTTTGTGTCGTTTTACCTTTTTCCCTCATCGTCGACTTCCTCGAGCGACGCTACTCTAGGGAGGTTGTCATCTTCTCTTTTCCACCTTTGTCGTTTTCCCTGCTAGCCGGCTTTCCCTTTCTCCTCGCTGCATCTAGGAAGAGAATACAGGAGGTTCACTGCGGATTCCCCCTTTTGCATTTTGTACAAACAAAACAAAAGCACTTCTTTGAGACGACGAGCCAACGAACGACTACGAAACAATGAATGGCAGGTTATTCGAGGGATATGGATGGATAGGGATGAAAATGAAAGGAGGAGAGCGAAGATACAGGTCAGGTATCTATTTTTGTGACAGCAGGGCTGGGCTGGATGCAGAAGAACCTGCTTGCTTCATCTTCGACCTCTTTTTTCTCCCTTTTCCTACTCTTTATACCCTTTGAGGCCTTGTTTTCTTCTCCTTTTCGCGATTGCGGATTTTGATTCTGTTGTACTTATTCGATTCGCTTTTTTTATCAGGTTTCTTGTTTTTGTTTTTATCACTCTGGTGAGTTTTGAGCCGGCTGGCTGGTTTGGTGGTCTCGGGGGTAGGGCGGAGGTAATACACTTGCTTTTTCTTTTCGATTTGACTTTGAGGGTTCGTTGTTGAATACTAGGGTAGTGCCTAAGGGACAATAAAAGTTGGCAGATTTTGCACAATTTTCTCATAAGACTTCGTGAAGTGACCCTTTGTAGTAGGACATGCTTGGCAATGGGATGTTTGGCGCAGTATCATACACAGGTAATGTGGGTAGCCGGAAGTAGGGCTCTTAGGAGTAAGGTAGTATGAGGTATAGAGTGGGCTTGAGAGAAATGGTAGCATCTAGATCGTTGTGATCTCTCATGAGGACCAATGAGTAGACTGGAGGAAACTTGAATAAGAGGCATTCATTTTCTGGATTTATTCCGTTGTTAAGGTGCTTATGTATTGGATTTAGTACGGATGCTGTGTTTCTTCCTTATAGTGCAGGGTAGACGTTCGAGGTGCTGGGCTTGAGGCTCTCACGACGGAGCGCGAGTCAGTCAATGGCTTAGCTAACAAATAGGTAGGAACAGATGTCTCGACCATCGATAAAGTGTTGACAGAGAAACGCTCATGACATCTAATTCGATTATCCACAGCATGTCTCAGGGATTCATGTCTCCGTCTGCATCAGAAACACGGCAGCGTATCGACGCAACAGCATCACAACAGTTTCACATCATCAAGAGACACCCGACTTAAGGATTTTTTTGTCTTTGTCCGTTTGATGCGATACCTGATATTGAATCATCCTTACACGCCGCAAACCGAAATGCAAGAGCCTGCCGAAATCCAGCGACTTTACTTTCCCGCTTTTTTTCTTCCCTTTTCTCCCCCCTCCCATCTTCTCCCGTGCGAACAAAGAAATCAGAAAAGAAAAATAGGTGGGGGGAGAAGGGGGTGGGAAGGTGGAAAAGAAGAAGAGTTTCCACGCTTCTATAAGTTCGCATCGAGGGACTTGGTCATTGGTGTTTCTTTTCTTCCTCTCTTGATATAAAAAATAACTCCCTTCTTCCTCCCTTTGTGAAAAACCTCTTACATGACGACACCGGAGTTGCTGGCAATACGCTGGACACGTGTGTTAGCATGGATCTTTCAATGCGAGGAGCTGGTCTGTCAAGACTTACGGGCCACAGCTCAGCAGCCTCCTTGCCGACGGGTCCGGTGATAGCGGAGCCCTTCATCTCACCCTTGGGGTTGACGATCTGTAACACGCATCGAATTAGTTCCTCTGCTCATGTCGTGACGTGTTGGATTTGGTCTTGAAGAACATCCCAAGTCTCGAAACGGGACTCGGAGCCATTTCATGACCAGACGCCAGGAAAAGATGGGGGGAAACATACAACACCAGCGTTGTCCTCAAAGTACAGGAAAACACCGTCGAATCGCTTCCAGGGCTTGGACTGTCGGACAATGACGGCGGGGTGGACCTTCTTTCGCAGCTCAGGCTTTCCCTTCTTGACGGTGGCCATGACCATGTCGCCGACACCGCCGGCGGGCAGGCGGTTCAGGCGGGCACCGATACCCTTGACGGAGATGATGTACAGGTTGCGGGCACCCGAGTTGTCGGCGCAGTTCATGACGGCACCGACGGGGAGACCCAGGGTCATCTTGAGCTTGCCACCGGGGGCACCACGACTGCAGTCACACGCTTGGTCAGTCCACGGAGTCTCTCGATACGTTTGTCCTGCGCGGTTCTCCGGCTGTCTTTTGCAATTCCCCGGCGAGATTCATGAATACTGGTGTCGGCATAAGCGTGGCCAGAGGTTGCTCCGTTTCGAGATTTCGAGGTCGGTCGGTTTGCCGCAATTGTCTCCAAGATGGAATCTGGCGTTGAGTCGCTTGGCGTGAAAAATTCGAGCAGCATCGTTCGTCGGCGTTATAGAGGCTCAAGTCGTCGCTCGTCCACTTTGTCCATCCTCCTCTTGCCCGGCATGCTTTCTCCCAGTATTGCATTCATCTCGTCGAGGAAATCAAGAGACACAAAGACGTGAAGAACGTTGTTGTCACAGATTAAGAGCAACTTACGATTGCTTGGCCATTGTGTCTGAAGGGTTGGGGCGTTAATTCGTGGGAAACGTGCCAAAGTCGCGGATTGCCGTCGTGAAGCTGAAGCTTTTCAGGGCCAAATTTTCCTCATGCAATCTGTGGGGGTGAGAAACCCTACGAGAAGCGAGTTTGTGTGGTGCACGTGAAGATAGCGCTTATCGGGCGGGCTGGCGGAGGAGGTCTTGGTTCCTGGGCTGTGATTGGCGGCAGCGGGGGCCGGGGCTAAAGAAAACCACGGCCCCGCTCTTTTTCGTTCTGGTGCGTTTTCACAGCATTTTCGCGTTGGGCATCACGATCAGTCATATTGACGAGCTGTGGTGAGGGAGGTGATTGGTGATGCTCTTAACGAGACGCATGTGTGTACGACCGCTGCTACTCTGGACTCGGCAATCTTGCATCTGGAATCACACGGAAAGGAACAATGGACCAATACTGCGAACATGAGATGTGAGCAATGTCTCAGGACCACGGCTAAGGTATCAGAAACGATCCAACACCGACTTGCTTGATCAGAGAACTCGCATTGGAAATACTCGCATAAGGGACAGAAAAGGCAGGAAGACATGTCCAGATATCCAACTCAGCCAAAGAGCCACCACTTGCAACCATATTCCATCCAGCTCAGCCAAACAGTAACGGCTCAGCATTTCCATGGGCATCAGTCCCAGTTCTTCTCGGCTTCCGAGACGGGCGAGTCGTTCGCCTCAGCTGCTGGGGCCTCGCCATTCGTCATTTGAGTGTCGAGTTTATTCATTTCCTTCACATCCTCGTGAGCGATCGTGACGAGTCTGCAGGCGATGTCGCCCTCGAAGTCGTTGACATATTTTGTCAACGCTGAGCTGCTGACACATTAACACAAGGAACACGCCTCCATCGCCGACTACCAGGCACTTACGACCCCTCTCTCTCTTCTCCAGCGGGCATGTTTGAGGCGTTGTTGCTAATATTGTGTGATTCGGACGAGTGAGAATGTTCACAATGAAAGCCGAGGCTGTTTATCAGTGAAGAACCACAAAGTCTCATCAATCACAACTGGGGCAGCAGCATCTTCTTATATCCCCTGCTTTCCTTTGCACCCATCAGCTCATGGATGGCCAACCTGGCTATCAACTAGAAGTCCCTTCAGCCTCATTGCTGTCCCAACCATCATGCTCTTCATCAGGCTCGAAGCTCTACAACATGCCTCGTAGTGTATGGCCGGAATCGCCAATGATACCGCAACACATCTCAGCTTGCGGCTCTGCTTGTGCGACAAGAACAGGTTCAGTGACCTCCCAAGTTGACCACGGCACGTGGTCGTGTCTCACTCTCACTGAAAGGAGGCACAACGTCTGTAATCCTTATATTAACCGTTTGCCAGGGGCCAATGAGTGAGACGTCTCGACCTGCGAGTTGTTGTCGATGTTGTCCATCTGCATGCGGTGTGCATCGAATGCATCGAATGAGGTCATATCGGTCAAGGACGCTAGACATGTCCGTCCTCCTGAGAGTCGGACGACCAGCGCTGGCCACTGACGGCCCCCAACCTCCATTGGCCACGATGCCCTCTCGTTGTCGACGCTCGAGCATCACGGCTGGATACTCGAACCGACGGTGAGACTGCATGCAACCACGCATGCATGGAGTGCGCGGTAAGCGCCTGAATGCGCTCCAGCGTCTGAGGAGGCAACGAATTGCAGCACAGAAGCACATATGCCCGACGTTTGCCCATCTCCGCCGGAAGTCGAAGCAATCTGGAATGGATCCGGCATGCGAAGAATACGAACTTGATTCGGGTATCTGATATTACCACTAGTAGGCCAAAGAACTTGGCGGCAATGTCTGATGGGATCGCGTTCCCGCTAATCGGCTATTCCAGGTCCCAAGCAGGAGAAGTCAGGCCAGGTACCAACACTGAGCTCTCTCCATATGTGTGCGACCTCTCCTCCTCGTGATGGTGCGTGTGGGCAAATGCGACCCAACGGTGTCTTGCCCTGCGCTAAAAGCGACCGCTCTGCTGGACCTCAAATGGGGGCCAGAGGAGACACACACACAGGGAGGAAGACAGTCCATCTGCCCGGTCTCAAGAGGCGATTCTCGCAGCAATTGTGCCAACCACAAGCCTGGGCGGCGTTGGTTCCGTGCAGCAACACGCAGACAAGCATGTCTTGATGCTTGTTGATTCGCCAATCCCCCACACCACGTGCGGGGTGATTCTGCGTGTCCTGAAGAGTGGCAATCCAATGTTATCTGCAGAAGATGGGCTCAATGGATCCGGGGCCTTGGGCTCAGAAAGCAGCCGAAGTGGTAGCATTCTTGTGCTGCAGTGCTGCTCCTTACCTTTGCATACTATAAACAGGCTGGTCCCACCAAGCACAGCGACATCGTGTACGACATTGACCACTATCTGCCTTTTACAAATTCATGTCTGCATCGGATAAAGACGACATGCGGCATGTCGATGACGGAAGAGGCAACAGACGGGGCGTCTTCTCTTATTACTTGTTGGCTGGCAATGCTGACAACATGAAGTCGGGTCCGAAAAGTATGTGCTAGAGCTTGCGGTACCCGAGCGGTAGCGTCTGGGTTGGCGCTGCACGGAAATATACAACGGATATACTACCCTAGCCGCCTGAGATCCAGAAGAGTGACAGTTTGCATCTCAACTAGCACTTGAACCTAAGGTAATACGCAGCGCACTAGGAGATGGTTTCAACGCCGGAATTGCTCGTCATGATTCACAGAGGGAAATTGCAGATGTTGGTTCTGCCTTGGTTGTATGTGCGTGTCGAGCCAGCTTGTGTCGGCCATCAGGAGGAGGAGATCTCAAGCCTGAACGAAGGATCGAGTGTTCGTTCCATCCCCTGTCACAGTGCCAACACGCTCGCCTGCCAGCCACTTTGCTGCTCCCTGGTAGGAACAAGGGCTGAACATCGCCGTGTGCCGGTGGGTGGGCAGCTGTCAACTTGAAAGGTCACATCTCAGATGGGAACGCCAAACAGATACACTAGCTGGGCGTCTGATTTGCGCGACGATGATGAACCCTTTCCCATGTCGTATCCACGGACCTAGAACCAACCTCATGTGGGGGCTGATGCTGCAAACTGCGTCTGATAAGCCTGCAACCTAAGGGGTAGTGTCGGTACTATGTATTACTATTCCTCCGCGAGAATTGCAAATTTTTCAAGCCCATCATCCTCTGCTGGACTTTTGTCTGCTACTATAACCTACTACTATAGAGATAGGAGATTGATCTGTATAGTCGCATGCAGTGTCTACAGGAGGAGCCGCCAAGCCGAGCAGGAAGCGGTGGTGGTCATTTTGCCGGCCTCACCACCTGCCTAGCTCGGCAGCTGTTGGTCCCTCGTCGACAGCGCAAAGGGCTTGGGATCGTCGAAATGCATAGCAGCAGCGGTTGAGGTTTTGTCACGGAATACTGCATGGGTACTACCGTTCAGGTAAGGCTAGTACTAGCGATGGATCTTCATGCTGTCGATTTCGTCGTGCTCGTGCTCAAGCTCATGCTCATGCCCAGCAGCTGTGGCGGTGCAGCATACAGGCGTTTAGGCGGCGCCTACACCAGACACAAGACCCGACGCCGTGCACCGTCATACCATCTGCAGCGGCCCATGTGAACGAAGCCCTCCGGCTCAGACGGACGGTCTCTGGGCATCCAAGGGCAAATAACGTCGAACCAGCCGCCCGCTTCAGGCAATGCCACAGTTGACCCCCCCAGCCCGCCAGCTCCACAGGCCAGCTCTAGCCCGCCCCGGCCTGTGGCTTGAGGCATCGAGAGGTTCCCTGGTCCTGTCATAGTCCCGGCCCTGTCACGGTCCCCCGTTGTGCTGCCCGTCTGCCAATCTGCGTGCTGCCTCTCCTACCCCCCACCTGCAAGCAGCAGCAGCAGCTCGGTCTCCGTCTCCGTTCCCTACAAATCACCGTCCAGTCCCTTTCCCTTATCGAACTCCCTATCGAGAGCCACCGGAATTGAGCCTTGAATCATCTTCGCACCCGCAACTGCTCTGCTGCTGTCCGTTCTGGCCCGGCGCTCGAGTCAGTCGCAACGCCGGAGCTGCCGCAGCATTGATGCGACTCAGGACCCCCCCTCGAGTGCGTTCCGCGGATGAAGCAGACCGCCGGCCGTCTTCGACTACCTGACCCCGAAATCCTGCGTCATTACTTTGTTGCTAGTCGCCGCATTGAAATCTCGCCGCCTGCTGTGAGGTCATCGACTGCCCTCGGCGCGCCTTTCGAGCGACACGGCAGCGCCTGAGACGAAGCGACGGAGGGGAGACACCGCAGGAAGAAGTGAGGTGGGAAAGACTTAGGTTGTGAGAGAGACTGGCCGGGAATGGCGGCACATTTCGACTTCAGCGCCTCTGCCTCCTCCGCGACGCCGCCGCAGCACCAGCAGCACCAGCACGCGCACGCCATGGCCGAGCACAGCGTCTCGTCGCCGCACCACCCGAGCAACGTCACCATCTACCAGACGACGGGGCCCGATGCCCACTACGGCCCCGTCATGGCCCCCGGCGATGCGGGCACGCCGCTGCTCAACCCGCGATCCTGCGTCACCTGCCGCCGGCGCAAGGTGCGGTGCGACAAGCAGATGCCCTGCTCCAACTGCCGCCGCGCCCTCATCCCCTGCGTCTTCCCCGCGCCCGGCCGCGCGCCTCGCCAGCACCGGCCTAAAGACCCCAACGCCCCCCCCAAGGCCACGAGCCAGCGCGAGGTCGAGCTGGTCAAGCGGCTCAAGAAGCTCGAGGGCATCGTCGAGGAGCTGAGCGGCCAGATCGAGATTGAGACGGGCGCCAGGGTCTCGTCCGCCGGGGCCTCGCCTTCCAATGATGGATCTCCGTCGACGCAGCGAGCCAAATCCTCCAGCTTGAGCGCAATGACCTCGGGGCTTGCGGACCACGGCGACGGCCACAGTGCCGGAGATGGGAGCGAATCGCCAATGATGAGGGAGAGCCGGAAGCAGTTGGGACGATTGGTCTTGAATGATAACAAGGGCACGTCTCGCTATGTGAGCAGTGGGTTCTGGTCCAGGCTGAACGACGAGGTACGGCCCCCTCTTCCCGTGCCCCCCTCTTGGCCCGCGTGGTTGCGACTCATGTACTGACTTTCACATCTCCTCACTCAGCTGGATGCCATCCGAGAGGAAACGCAAAAGCTTACCGATGAAGACGCCGACGACTCTGAGTTTGAAGAATCGCCGCCCATTGACTCACCCTTCACCGCCAGCAGCTCCGTCTATGACCACCATGGCTTCATCCTGGGATATCGATCAATTGATGTCAACCTGCAGAAATGCCATCCTCTGCCGTCTCACGGCACGTTTCTCTGGTCCGTCTATCTGGAAAACGTAGATCCGTTACTCAAAATCCTCCATGTCCCAACCATGGAAGGTATACTGCGGGAAGCTCGGCGAAATCCCGAAAAGCTGAGCCATGGTAACGAGTGTCTGGTGTTTGCGGTATACTTTGCCGCGGTTGTAACGCTCGACGAGGCTGATGTAGGTGCTCCCATGCCTGGATATAGAGTTTCTTTCAAGACTTTGCTAACACCGCCAGGTCCAAACCAACTTCAACACTGGCAAAGAGGAATGCCTTGCTCAATTCCGGTTCGCCGTAGAGCAGTCGCTCGCGAAGGCCAACTTTCTAAACACCGCAGACATCACCGTCGTCCAGGCGTTCGTGCTGTTCCTCCTCGTCGTTAGGCGGCACGACGAGTCTCGCTTCTCTTGGTCTCTCACGGCCCTCGTGGTTCGCATTGCCCAAGGACTGGGTATTCACCGTGATGGAACCCACTTCGGGCTGTCTCCCTATGAAACAGAGCAGAGGCGGCGCCTTTGGTGGGCCATCCTGACTCTCGACTTTCGCTCTTCGGAAGAGATGGGCACCGACTTGGTTGTGTCAGAGGGCGATTTCGACACCCAGCTGCCCACCAGCATCAACGACACCGACATTACACCCACGGGCACCCAATACCCAGCTGCAAGAGAAGGAAAGTCGGACACGACCATCACCCTGGTCCGGTTTGAAGTCTGCTCCATGTCGCGACGCTTACATGAGGCGGCGAATAATAAGAACTCGTCTGGCAAGGGCGAAACCGACGGACTCGCTGAAAAGGAGCGGCTCCTGGTCGAATTCTACAAGAGGATCGAAGACAAGTTTCTCCAGCACATGGACGAGGACGTTGACGCGCTGTACTGGGTTGCAGCCATGATATCCCGCATCATCATGGCCAAGATGTGTCTCATCATATACCAGCCGATGCTCTTCCCGGGCACGGATACGGCGCTTACGGCGGAGGTTCGAGAACGGATATACATTGCCTCGATCGAAATCGTCGAATACAACCACAAACTGAACCTGGACCCCAGAGGCAAGCAGTACCGATGGCTGTTCAGGACATATACAAATTGGCACGCGATTGCTTACATCCTGGTTGAGACGTGCCGCCGTCCTTGGTCGGCGCTGGTCCAGCGCGGCTGGGAAGCCGTCGTCGGCTATGACAAGGACCTTGCGGAGAACATGAAGAGAGCCGACCATGCCTCTGTGTTCCTCCCGCTGCGCAAACTCTTCATCAGAGCTAAAAGATACCAAGAATTAGAGGTGGCACGCCTCAGGGCCAACCCTGAAGAGGCCAAGCGCCTGGATCTCGCGGAGAGGATCAAGGCAGCCCAGGCGCGATTCGATCCCATTCCGGGCGCCGAGGCCAGGATGCAGCAGGTCAGAGACCGATGGAGGGCGATGGTCAATCTGGAACAGGCCATCCCAGCTCCCGGCATACAACAAGGACCAGTGGCGCCTCCCGTATCCAAAGAGGCTCACCCACCGTCTCAGCAGGTAGCTGCCGGTGCTGGACAACCCTACCAACAGCCGCAGCTCCAGCCACAAGTCAGTGGGGGAAACCAGATACCCATGGACATCTCCAACGTCACCATGGAGTACATGGATGACTTCATGGCGCAATCCAGCGTCCCCATGGCCGAGCTCTGGACCGTGGGATTAGGGGAGGGCCAGGCCATGGCCATGGACGGGAGGCAGCAGGGCCAGGACAGCGTGCTCGGACAGCAGCCGATGATGATGCCACCAAACCAGCAGCAATCCAAGGAGGAGCATCACGTTCCGCCCTATCTCTGGCCCGAGTCCTTTGCGTCGACCAACCAGAAGTTTGACCTGGAAGATGCGGAGATGCTGGGGGCTGACTTTAACTGGCAGGACTGGAGCCAGAGCGTCCGCGGCCTGATGGATGGCGGGCAGCCGAAACCGGGATGGTAAGGTGAAGGAAGTCTATGTGTACGATTTGGCAGATGTCACGAACTTGAGGTTTGTTCCGACGCTGTGTCACCATGTATGCGTACCGAACCATTGGTTGAGGGGGAAGCAATCAATCTACCGATATATATATAGGGGAGAAACTGGGGAAAGCTGTGGGAATCATTATCTCACGATACCCTTGGGTAAATGGGGCGTTTACTTTATTCTTTATGTCATGGGAATTAGATATGTCTGTATGAGTACTACCTGATTATGATGCTAAGTATGGCTTGCCTCTTGGTGTTTTTACTTGGTGTTCCACGAATTGATACTGGTACACCTCTTCTGCCAACGTCCCAAATACTCAGCACAAAGCGTCTCGCCTCTTATTAGGGCAAAGTACTCATCCTGCAAAGACATTACCGGCAATACTTTGAGGTTGTCCTCAATCCTGTGTCAACCCCACGGGAATCTACCAGTGTGATCAGTCTATTATGACAACAAACAGACAGACCCAACCATGTACGGAGCTTCTACCCCGGAAACTGCGCGTTCTTCATCACTTCACTCAGTACTCGACTTTTGCTGACGGCTAGACGCTTTCTTAAGGCATCTTGACCAACAAAACACCAAAGGAAAACCTCCTATAACAGTCTGTCGTCTAGGGTAAGTGGCTGTGATAAGTTGCGTGCTGTCATGTGACGCTACCGAGAATGGTAGGAATTGGCGGGAGGCTCTAGGGATCGACTGGAGCAACGTCAAGGCCTTGTCGTGATCTTTTTTTAGCGGACCGGGACTAAAAAAGCTTATCGGGGCAGTAAATACCGAGCGACTAACGACAAGGCTGGAGATCGCGAACCAACCACCGATTCTAGCAGCTTCTTCACTCTCTCCCGCGACACCATCACCACAAACACTCTCACGACGCATCACAAACACAATCAATGGATCCCGGAAGACGAGCCATGCTCGCAGAGCCTCGCGGCTCACCGTCGAGCCGTCGAGATCCCACGGCGCCGCGCTCCGACTCGAACTCGCGCGTGTCCAAGCCCAGCAAACCAGGACCGTCGACGACCGCCCGCAATGCCGCCCGGTATCTCAGCCAGGACGAGCAGTCGCGCCAATTCGTGGCCGATGAGGACAAGTTCGTGCTGAAGCAGGCCAAGAAGAAGGCCGACATCCGCGTGCGCGAGGGTCGCGCGAAGCCCATCGACGTGCTGGCCTTCAACCTGCGCTTCGTCGACGAGGACCGCGACCCCTTTGACGACGAGGAGGCCGACGACGAGATCCAGGTGGACGCGCCCACCAAGGTCATCGAGGGCCTGACGACCGCCGCGCAGATCTCGGAGCTCGACTCCAACATTGTGTCGTACCACGTGCTGGAGACGGACCCGCGGAACCGGCGGTACTGGGAGGCGCTGCGGACGCTGTGCGCGGATCGCAGGGCCAAGCTCGACCCGCAGGGCCACGAGGGGAGGGTCGTCAGCAGCGTCGCGGAAGACATTGACAAGATCCTGGCGCCCAAGACGTACGAGCAGCTTGAGACGCTGGAGCAGCAGATCAAGGCCAAGCTGCGGTCCAACGAGGACATTGACACCGACTACTGGGAGCAGCTGCTGCGGAGCCTCAGAGTGTGGAAGGCCAAGGCGACGCTGGCCCGCATAGGGGAGGAGATTGAGGCGAAGAAGAAGGAACGGCTCGCACAACGCGCACCACGCTCGACGACGACGACGACGACGACATCCACGGCAGCGGACGCGGCGAGAAGCAGCGGTGTGTCCGGCGGCTTGGCGCCCACAAACAAATTGGATGGCGAAACCGGGAACGAGGATGACTCCCAGGCCACAATGGCCCTCTACGACAGAGAAGCGGCCCGCGGAATCTCTGAAAACGAGGAGGTCTTTGCGGCTGAAGAGGCCCTGCCCGGCGGCTCCAAGCCCCCGCAGTGGACGGACAAGTATACGCCTCGCAAGCCACGGTACTTCAACCGCGTGCAGATGGGCTACGAGTGGAACAAGTACAACCAGACGCACTATGACCACGACAACCCGCCGCCCAAGGTCGTGCAGGGATACAAGTTCAACATCTTCTACCCGGACCTGGTGGACAAGACCAAGGCGCCCACCTTCAAGATCATCCGCGAGCACGGCAGGCGGCGGGGCGAGTCGTTTGCAGCCGCCGGCGAGGTCGACACATGCCTGATCCGCTTCATCGCGGGCCCTCCGTACGAAGACATTGCGTTCCGCATCGTTGATCGCGAATGGGACTATAGCGCTAAGAAAGAGCGTGGCTTCAAAAGCTCATTTGACAAGGTACGATTGCTCTCTATTCTTGTTTCCAATTACCCGGTTTGCTTTCCCTGCCCACTTGACTATCCTTGGCCACGGGCTCCAAAGCCTGGTCAGGGCCTGGGTCCTCTGGGTGTGTGTGTGGTCTGAACCGCAATCCTGCGAGCGCCACTGAGAAGGATGCCCACCCGGTTCCCAGACAGCCGCGCCACACGCGCGGTTCTGTTGGCCGGATACGTTTCCCCCCCTTGTCTTGCCCTAGTGCTTCCCTTGCCTTAGCATCCTGGACCCTGTCGAGCTAACGCTGTAACCTCTGATAGGGCATATTGCAGCTACACTTTCAGTTCAAAAAGGTAAGCAAGAGAGGAAGAGAGAAAGAGAAACGAAGAAAGACGGCGCAGTCTCTGAGGCGGAATAGGAGAGAACAAGAGTCAAAAGTGCAGAAAACAAGGCAATTGCTAACCCGGATTATGCAGATCTTTTACAGGAAATAGACCAGCGACTGGCTGGACGAGCGACAGCTGCATGGCGCACCATCTCTTCGCGCTCGTCTATAACATATACTTTTCTTTTCTTTTCTTTTCTTTCTCCCCCACGGACAAGAGGGTTTGTCTATGACCTCAGCGATATGGATTTATCTGGCGTACCTTGCCACCGCGATCACAAAAAGCAACGAGAGATGAGCGAAATTGGACAAGAGGACGAAACGAGAATGAGTACACCGTACGAAGGAAATGACAACACCGGTCCCTCGACCCACTGCAGAAGAGGAAACAGGGCTAGAAACTTGAGACAGGTAGAGCGAGCTGCAGGATAATCAATACTTTCAAGGGCTAATAAACAAAAACAAGGAACGGCAAGGCTATTCGCATCCATGGACGGGCTTCTGCTGGCTTTGGCTGAACCTTCGTGCATGGCACTTCACACATGATTGTGCACAGTCCACCCTCTCGGCGATCACTGGACCGATGTTCAACACTCGAGATCCTGGCCGCTGATCGAGGACAATTGGCACACACACGCTACACGCTCACATTTCTGCTGCTCGTTGTACGCCTATGGACGAGAAAAGATGGGTCGTGGCTGAGATTCCGTTTCGGGGAAGAGGCTAGAATGCTTCGCGAAGGGTTCACCAGCATCCTTTCTCTGGAGAAGCCCGGTGATCCCCGGCAGGGGCTGGGGCTTGATGTGTCGGACAGATTGGAGGATGAGCGCCTCTCGATCCCATGATGCTGCTTGCCGGACGTTCTAGAAGAATCGGCTGACGCTTCCTTTCGGGGTGCGACAATCAAATTAAGATCCGCTGGCTGGCATGAGACGGGCTGAGGAAGAGGTGGTATAAAGACGAGGGGGGGAGAGAGAGGGACAGAGAGACAGATAGGTGGTTTGGAGGAAGGACTGCCGGACGGGAATCGCGTGAGTTGTGCGTATGCGAGTTATGCAGGGCGTGTTCCCTCATGGCCTGACCAAGAGGAGGAGAGGCTGCAGAGGCTACTATTCGACACGCAACCAAGAATCTATGCGAAACGGGATGGATATGGGAAAGCAATCAAACATTCTTTTATTCCCTCATGGCAACCCCACGGCTGAGTTCGCTTAATGCCTACTTTTTGTCGTCCGCAATTGTCTCATGGCACGAGCCTCCGGAAACGCAGCCTCTCGCTCCCCTAAGGTGCTGAGCCGGCTCCCGCGACCCTTGGACCATGCAGATTATTCTGTGGACGGGATGAACATTGGGCGTGGAAGCTTCTCTTTGGCTTCCTTTGTTCTTGGCTTGGGGCCCCCCTCCTCCCCTCCATGGCCTGACCCCTGCCTTGGTGCTGCTGCTGGTGCCCGTGGGTCGATGTAGGGCCACGAATTACGGTGGTTCAGCGGGAATCCCATCGCATCTGGCCTCACCAGCGCCGCGGAAGATGCAGCAAGCCGTCTAGGATCAACTGCTACCCTCCGGCCCCCCCTCACCCTGCCATCTCCCCTCTTCCCTCCCCATGTCCTGCTGCCAATAGGAAACACGGGCGAGAGCCGACTCGAGGCAAAAGCTGTTCAGGTGCAAGTAGCATCCCGCCGGGGGAGGAGGAGCTACGTACAGCTGCATGAATGGCAACGCGTTTCCTTCCCTTGCCTTCCACCCCCCTCCTCCCATTCCCATCGTTCGTATATAGACCAATCGTGACGGCGAGATGGCACAGGCAAGAGGCGCTCTCGCCAGAGGTTATCCGTGCCCCCGAGTAGACCGTCCCCCCTGGTGGAGACCCCGTCCCGACGCGTCTCGTATCTCTCGAAGAGACAAGGCCCATGGCCATGGCATGGAATGGGGCCTGGGCGATTGCAGTCGCAGCGACGGAGGTGGCAGCGACGGCGGCATTAGCCAGCCTGGTGGGCTCCTGATGATTCACTGCCGGCGAGGAACCCGTGGTCGCCGATTTGCTCTTTCTGGTGCTCTCCGACTCCTCTGTGGCTCTACCGCTCACACGCTGACCCTCTCTCCCCTCCGCCTCTCTCTCTGTGTTTCTCTCTCTTCCACCCTGCCTACCTCGTGGGCCGGCCTTGGCTTCTCCCCCGTCGCACAAGTCCCATCGCCTAAGCTCTGCCGGCCGGTCCATATCTCCTACATATCTAACGGCCACCCGGCACCTGTTTCAACGAGCCTTTGCCCACGTTACTCAGAGTGTAACCGGTGGCTGCTTCGAAAAAAGTAGCTATAGAAATCAGAGGGACGGCAAGAGATGGTGTACCGATGGCCCAATCGAGAAACCTGCCAGACCAGAGCCCTTTTTCATCTTTTCCCTTACGTGTATTGACGGTATTGCCTTCTGTTTGGGTGGACGAGGGGGGTGTGTGCGTGTAAGTGATGTGTGGTGAGTGACACGAAGAAACGCTGAGCTTTGCTTGTTGACAGGGCCAGCTCTCGATGATGGTTGGTCTGGCTTGGCTGGTGTGGTCTGGGGCGGGATAGCAAAGAATGATTGTTCCTCGTCCGCGTGGGGAGACGTACTGGGAGGTATGTCTTTGTTCACGGGACCGGCATATGATGTCTATTCTGGGAGCTTTACTTACACAATTTGCTCTCCCCAAGCTCTGCCCGTCTACCTTCCTCTGCCCTCTCTTACATCTCTTCTCTCCGTCTGTCTATCTCCCACTCCCTCACAGACCTCTCTCGTCCACTCCCCCACTCCCGCGGTCCTCTCCTCCTGCACATGCACCTGTGCACATACACACACACTACTATCAGAGGTACCCACAGAGGGGGGAGGGGGGGCAAGGTTTGAGCAGGCACCCTCATGTCACTAGTGTCCCATGGTGTACGATGCAGAAGACTGGACTCACCCCCCCCGGGAGAGCCGATCTGGGATGAGGATCTGGTCCGGGAATTTTTAGCATCTTGGACCCTGGTCGCGGGCAGAAGAGCGGCGAGCAGGGCCCCTTCTACGGTCTACCCCATGGGAACCGGGGGCTGCAGGACCTCTATCGTCAGGAACGCCGCCTCTCTACGCTGCGTGCTGCTGCTGTTGTTTTGCTTGATGGACGAATAAATAGCTTCACTCTCCCCAGACAAGGCCGGGGAACCAACCACTTCAACAAGCCAAGACAGCCGTTTATCCCAATCTCCTCCTACTCTTTGTTCAAACGCGGAACAAGCAGCGGACTTATACAACCTCATCCTCCTGTTGTATCTTTTTCGTCTGCTCATCACTGTCATCCCGTCGGCTGCTTCTTGTTTTCCCTTGCCATAACTTCCCATAGCTTCGGGTGTCCCATGCTGTCCTTCTTGTGACACTTTGGCCCGCCTCCACTTACACATACTGCTTGGGTTCAACGGCCCTTTCCCCCATTTTCCCGTTTTCCCTGACGGCGCTGTTACGACATTGGAGAGACTATCTCTTCTCTTCTCTCTTTTTGTCCTCCTTTCTTCTTTCTCCTTCTCCCATTATCGGCTTTTGTTGTTTTCGACAAAAAAGAAGTTCCCTTTGGAGCAAGCACAAGGCTTTAACCGCCGCCCCCCCTTTTTGTTGCTATCCTTTGATACGAAACTCTCTTGTTGCTTTGTTTCGAATCACACACTCAAAGGGCTCTCTCTTCCCGCCGGTTCCCATCTATGGCGTTGCAAATGCTGGAGAGGAAGCTTCCGGTGGATAGCTACACGGATTTCCGACACCCGCAGCAGACGGAGCAACAATCGTGCTTGATGGCGTGCTGCTCACCTGCGGCCCTTTCGACTTTGCCATCTGATTTCGGGCAGCAGGGGCAGCAACAGCATCACCAACCTGATACATGCTCGTTTCCTCCGACAGCTTGCGCCCTCCCTCAAGAAGAACAGCAACGGCATCATCAACAACAGCAACAACAACAACCGCAGAACCTGCAAGACCAGCACGGGAGACGGATTCTGTCGTCGCCGCCAGTCTGCTGCAGCGACGCCGCCGCCGCCGGCGCCTATATGAGCCCGTACCTGTCGTCGTATCAGCAGCCGAGAAGCCAAAACATCTGGCCGTCGCCTCCCCTTGGACCGGGAGACATCCAGAGCTGTACTATTTCATTCCAAGACTCGCCCGTCTGCGGGAGCGCCCGTCTGCCCTATTACACCACGTCGCCCGCGTCTCCCAGTGGATGGTCGTCCGCATCTGTATCTGGATACCCTCCGAATACGACGACGACGACGGCGTTGTTCGATCCACGAAACTCTGGCGATCAGACGCTCTTCCGCCTCCGCACCCCCATGTCGGCGCAGGAACTGCCGGCCCAGCACCACCAACCAGACATGTCTTCTTCGACCTCCTATACGCCGGGTTTTGGCGCGGGATCCGACGCCGACGTCTCAGCTGGCCTGAGCATGTCGGTGACGCCTTCTGATGCCATGGTCAGATACTCTACTGCCCCGCCCGCTCGTCTGCCGGATTTTGGATCTGAAGCGCTCAGGCGTAGAATGCCGCGGTCGCCTGTGATGTCTCGGGTGACTCCCAGAATGAGGATGAGGCCTGAGAAGCGCCGAGGGCGCGCAAAGTTCCTGGAGTCGATCGGGGACGAGGTCAAGCCAGTCCTAGCCCCCGTTTCCGTCCCCGTCGATGTCATCACCGTCCCAGACTACCCCGTCCCGACGAGCAGCGCCGTGGGCCACGACGAGAAGACCGACGAGCCGTACGCGAAGCTCATCTACAGAGCGCTGATGAGCGCGCCGGACTACACCATGAGCCTGCAGGAGATTTACCAGTGGTTCCGGGAGAACACCACCAAGGCCAAGAACGAAAAGGGCGGGTGGCAGAACAGCATCCGGCACAATTTGAGCATGAACGGGGTGAGTCTTGAGTTCCTCTGGGTTCTCCTTTTTATGCACGTTTTGATTTTGTGGCGTTGCTGTTACTGCTACGATAAGATTCTCTTGTCCACTTTCCTTTTTTTCGGCCCTCTTCGTCTTACAACAGCTTCAAGGATCCCATGTCGTGGGGCCACCGCATGAGCCAGCCTCAGTTTTCATTGCTTTTTTCTAATCCTTTCTTTTCCTTCACTACATCATCTAGTACTACATACATACTTAGGAGGAAATGCTGACCCTCCTCTTCTGCTACAGGCCTTCGAAAGATGCGATCGCAAGCTTGCCAATGGCCAGGAGCCCTCAACGTGTGCAGAAAAGGCAGGCGAATCCAAGCGGACCAACTTATGGCGTCTGGCCGAGTCCGCCATTGGGAAGGGCGTGCAGAGCACGACCAGATACCGCAAGGGCAACTCTGGGCGGCGCGCGAGCAGACGCAGCGCCAGCACCAGCCAGCCAGCCGGGGACGTTGTCCGGGGCAGCCAACGCAGCTCGATCAAGGCGCTGTCGGGCCAGAAGGGCGGCCACGCGGCCAGAAACGCGCGGGTCCGCAGCCATCTGTACGGCCAGGGGCTGTCGCTGGCCGACGGGCGCCAGTACCGGCTGATCGAGAGCGGCCTGGGCTCGCCGCCGCCCTCGAGCATGCCCGACGGCTACTACTCCATGCCCATCGCCATCCCACGGATCGACCCGGCGGCGATCCAGGCCCCGATGGCGGCGCACGGGCACGACTTTGGATCCGCAGACGCAGCCTCGGACCTCTTTGGCCTGCAGATGGGACCGCGCAGCAGCAGCCACGGCGGCGGCGGCGATATCTCTGTTTCGTACATGGGCCACCACCACCACCAACAGGAAGAGCCGCTGTACACGCCGCCGTTCCCGTACGGCATTGCAGACGTCCAGGTCCAGCTGGACTACCCTGGCGAGGACCCCAGTGGCGACATCGGTGCCCAGCTGCGGCGGTACGAGGCCCTGACGGGCACGCCCAGGGTCGGCTGGGCCAGTCCTAACGGCATATGAAGGAAGCAGCAGCAGCAGCGGCATGACGTGAACTGTTTGCACCATGTTAAAATGCTGCTTGCTTGCTTGCTTGATCGCTCTGCTGCCTGCTTGGCTTTGGTACCTCCCTTCTCCCCTGATTTTGCATGGCTGTGCTTTGCTACGTTGTTACCTCTTGGGGGGAAAGAGAGAGAGGGAGAGAGAGACAGACAGACAGACAGAGATACATGTTCATTACAGCCCAAAGAAGATCCAACAAACCTTTGCCCTCAGCCATACATACACATCTGATGGAAAACCGAGCCGGTTCTCGGGGGGGCGGAAGAGAGAGTTTGGCATACACAGCGTCACGCTTGGACGGTTGGCCGTGTTACACACCCAGGCTGCCGTTCCGATTGGCGATGCGATATGACGGGCCACACAGACACACACAACACACACACACACGCACACACTCACTTCTGCCTCTCTCAATCTGTCTGGGCTCACCCACACACTCTTACACACACGCACACGTTTCTCTCTCTCTTCCTTTTGGTCCCCTGCCCCTGCTGTTCACCGCGTCCCGCATGCCAATGTCAAACTTGCATATGCACGCGCAGGCATACACACGCAGCCTCCCTCACGGGGACAAGGCCCGAGACGGGGTTGGCGAGTACAGTACACGCAGACAAGTTGCTTGTATAAAGGCGGGCATCAGCATGAGCGACGTCAACGGCGATAACAATAACTGGAAGCGATGAAAAAGCACGCAATCCATTATCAGGTGGAGGAGATGCAGAGACACCGCCACTACCAGAAACTTCAAGCAGATTAACAGCAACAACAACAGCAGCGGCGAAGTATCAAACAACAACACCGGAGACAACGCGCCGCCAGTACTTCTCTGGCTACGAGATGGATCATATCTTGATACCGCAAGGTTCTAGACTTGCCCAGCCACTGGCTGTTGCAAACGAAATTCCCACTCGGAAAGAAGAGAAGATGGGAACTTGGGTACTTTGTACGACGGAGTGGCCCGTGGAGGTGAAGCCCGGCCCATGCGTCTTCTCAACGTGGCTTCTGCCTTGCCTGGGTGACACAAGAAGCAAGCACCAAAAGCATCAAAGCATCAAGCTTCAAGCAGTCGTCTCTTGTGCTCTCCGAGGTTATCGCCCTCACTTATCTACCTCTCTGGGAGACCTGATTTGCTATTTCTGGGTGTTTGATGCATACGCCTCTGCTTATTGTCCGTGGACGGGCAAACGCATACGTACAAGAGAACCAGACGATTCTCAAGAGGCGAAGAGAGAGGTCATAGACAAGGATGACGATGTACGTACTGATACCGTCACTATTACTCTACCGATGCCTCTCCTGCTTTGTACAGCATACATGCAGACCACACAAAGACCCCCCCAGCCCATGACCATCTCAGGCGAACCAACAGTCGCCTGCAAGAATCCTGGGCACATGGGAGAAGGGCACGCCCCCATCCTCTCTCTTCAACCCTTACCTTGTCTCTTTATCTTTCTCCGATCGGTGTTAAGAGTGGGCAAAGAAGAAGTTGCCTAAACGGGCGAACAAAGGGACAACTGCTGGATACATTTTCTTTGCAGTCAGTTGGAGACATGATGCCGCCGCCGCATACCCTGCTCCTTGTCATGGGAGGGGGTGTGTATGTATGGATGCGGGTGGCGGGTGGATGAGATCCCCATCAATCGTGGAGAGAGAGAATTCCTCTCTCTCGGTACCTTTCTCTCTTCTTCTTGCCAAGGAAGAAGCTTTGGCTGGACTCTGTTTTGCGGGCGGTGATCTTCGGATCTGGCTCCCACACTCTTGGAATTCAGAGTTAGGATCTTGGTGGCTGGGGAGTTTCTGGATCCTCTTCGATTTTTGGTGTCTATTTTGCTCACCGGTTCTCGTTGTCTTTTGACTGACCGTCTGTTTTCTGCTTGGAGTTTTGCTTCCATGATTTTTCTCTCTATTTCTGCTATGGCTCTGGCAAGAAAAAGGGTGCCTTCATGAGTTTTCTGTCTTTGGAATACATTGAGCGCTGTTCATGCAATGGACAATGATTGGAAAGGGCACGGTGAACGGGATTTGGATCCGACGATGGATGGATAATAGTTTTGCTTTTCCGGCCTTTCTGTGTTCAACTGGGCGTGTTCGAGTTTCCTCTTGTCTTCCAAGGTTTGTCTTTCATGTGGAGCGATGTTCTTCAGTTCTTCATTTTTGCTGCTTGTTTCTTTGCCCCTTGTTCTTCTTTTTATTGTTTCCTTCTTTGCTCTTGGCAACGGCCGCTTCTACTTGCTTCTGTTTCGATTGAGTTGCCTTCATACCCATAGTGTTTTCTTGTTTCGTTTGCTCAAGGTTTGCTTGCTTCTGGGTTCTATAGATTTTTCTTTCGTTATCTTCCAAATAGCTTAATTATCATGTTGTTTCTGTTATTTCTTCTCCATTGTCCAGTATCGTATCCCAAGGCTTCATAACCGGCGCACGAGGTATAAGTGGTGATCATCTTTGCGTAACAACAAAGTGCCACAAGCCAGTATCTTGCTCCAGGCAGAACGAAACAGGGCAAAAAAGAGACAAAAAGGGCAAAAAAAAGCAAAGAAACAGAACTCTTCTGCCTCCCCAAGCCGGCAAGTTCCGACCAAGAAAGAAAAATCTTCCTAGCGTCAGTTCCTGTCACGAACCAACAACACAAAACACACAATGCACATACTGTCTCAACCCTTCTTCTGCTTTCCTTCCGGCGGGAAGCATGCATGGGTCAGGATCAAGGTACTTGCTTGACATGCAGTGCTTCATCACCCATGCGTCAGCTGGCATCTTGTGACATCGGATCAAGAACGTAACCTGCCCCTGGCTAATAGAACTAGAAGAGCTTAGCTATGCTTAAAGCTGTAGCTGTGCTTGAGCAGGAGATAGCGCGATGGGAGTCCGAGATTAGGGACGACACGCCACCGGCGAAGTCCCAACAAGGATCTCTGCAAGAGTCGGTGAAGACAGATGATGTATGATAGTGTACATACAGGAGCGTCAGAGCACGTACGTAGACGTGTTCATGGGGACATTGTTCCGTGGTGGAGAGATAACCAGAGAAAGCAGTAGAGACCCGATACGGTGGGTTTCGACGTCTCTCGCCAACAGTGAACAAAGAGGAAAGAAGACGAAGCTGTCATACTTACCCACATACCTTGTCCGCAGAAGTGACATCTGCTGGGACCGAGTCTCAAGATGAGATTTGAGGGGTGTGGGGGGTGTGGACATGGCGCAAAGAAGCCCACAGAGTTGTCAAGCCTTGCAGCAAGGCTGGGTACGTACATCATGTGCATCCACACGCCTCACGGTCAAGGATAGCCCTGCCTCGCGTGTCTGGAGGATCTCCCGGGGGCAAGGATATGGGCATGTGCGTCGGTATGGCGGGTGTGGTGGTGTGGCAATGGTGGGCGAGATGGACAGAACCAAGGACAGGCGGGGAAGAGGTCCAGAAACATCCAGCCACAGTCAACCCCATGTACAACTCGTACGAGTACCACCGTCAAAAAGGAAAGAAACTGCATAATGGCACATGGCCTCTTGTTGAGCGAAGAAGAGCAAGGCTGAAGAGAGAAGAACAACGTATCGCAGAAAGAAAGAGGTGGAATCCCTGACGAGCATTGGCCTACTCATAGATGAGTATAAACAAAAACCTCTCTTCTCGGCATAGTCCCTCAAACCGGCAAAGGCTTTGAATGTCTCAGATAGACGTGCTCGGGTGAAGTAGGTAGAGCCAGCTGCTGGCATCTGCCTGCAGCCGCTCCTCGTATCGAAATCCGTACGGGAACCTCGAACTTCCGTGATACTAGTCCAGCTCGAGCATGCCTTAAGCCAATTGACTTATATGATCGATCACCATGCCTTTGCGGCCCCAGCAGCCATCGAGCGTCTGCCGTACTCGCATGAGAGTGGTGTCTAGCGGCAACGGAGAGACTTACCTGACACCTGCAGTAGACCATCGAGCCTCGACCGACGATGAGACGAGCCCAGTCATTGGTGGATAGTTCTTCTCCTATGAGATGCACCTTGGTGGCACTTTCGTTGCTTCCGGAGAGTTTTGCCCCACGCTCTGGCGTTGTGCATAGATAACACATGGCATAACTCATGCAAGTGAGACGGTGGCTCTAGTATCGGAACCAACCTGGACCTGCACCAACAGTGCGAGCCCTCTCTGCATTGCATTGCAGATCCCATTCCCATTACCTCTGGCCCTCACCGCTACGCATCTTGGTATCCATACGAGAACATCATCGGCCAAGTCGAAGAGGTTCCAGATACTTCTCAGGTACCCGGGCGGAAGCATCATGCTGGACGGATGCACGGAGCATGGCTCCAGAAACCGCTCTGCTGAATCCTGTGCCTTGCGTCTTCCACCCCCCTTCCTTCTCGTACCTGATGCGCGGGCCTCTCCTTTTCAGTGGTGCCTGGTCTGGCACTGGCCATGTGTTGCCTTGAGCGTGCCAAAGAACCCCAGACTAGCCTGCATCTTCGTCCCGTTGACTTTACTCTGGCGAGCAGCGCCACGGACAGGCGTTGCCTACGCCCATGCCCATCAGGGCTCCGGCGATCATGTGGGTGTACAGCAACCGGGGCATGTCGGGTTGGTGTCAAATGCTGTACAAGTAAGTAGTGGCAGCACAAGTACCGTAGTAGTACGTGATGCGGAGAACAACAGCATTCCGTCGTGACCCCGGCTCTTCATCTCCATATGTGAATACGACCATTCCTGTACTCCAAGAATAGTAGTATGCTTGCATAAACATGCAAGACGACAGCGGCAGAGAACAGTTGAAAAGGAGTGTTAGCTGGGAGCGCTCCTTGGCGGTATGGGGATATCTTGAGCGACAGAGTCAGCAGAGAGATACCGAGAAGGTCGCGTGGCACGAAGAGGTTGTTGCAGACTAGTGGGCTTGGAATTCGTACGATGTCACAGCCGTCGAATGTAGGAATTCCAAGCGAGTGGAAAGCCGGCGAGGCCCACAAGAGCATATCAGAAGGACTTGATGAGTGCCACCTCTGCCATAGGCCTTCTCCAAGCGAACTTCTTCTTCCTTCTCCTTCGACTTTGCTCAAGACGTCTCCCATGCCGTTGCGGCTCGTTTGCTCCACAATCATGCCTCTGAAGAGTGGGGAGAGGCTCTTGTTGATAATGGGGCTGAACGAGGTTTCGTGTGGTAGCGGTTCGGCCCCGTGCAGCTGCGATGTGAAGTTGGCTGAGTAAGGAAGCCATCCCGGCTTAGTCGAAGGCTTGGTGGTAGTCTATTTCACTTCTTCCGGACTCCTCGCTGCGGCTGACATAGACCGGAGGGCTGAAATATGCGAGGCGTTCACTGCTACCGTAACACCCCGGGACGGACGGCTCGAGAGCAGGATGCATATGCCAAGGACAAGTGGCCATCCTCGTTGCCATAATCCAGGAACATGGAGCCCATCGGGGCACTTCATAGTGACGCCCGATGTCAGGCAATGAATCCTTCTCGATGAGCACGATCCTGGCCGGCGAGCAAGATCGAGCGAATCAACATCTCTCTGCTGTGGCTGCAGGGCCATGCAGCACTGCCTCTCACTGTCCAGGGCTGTTGTTTTCTTTCTCTCTTGATTTCTGACATGTCCCTTAGCCGGGATTATATAGATTGCTTAGCGTTAACCGATCTTTACGGTCTAGGGGCCGAGAAGACGTCTCGTCATCGTCGTTGGGGGTGGGCACCGGCATACCATCCATAACACGCAGGTGCTGCATTGTACATTGCGAACCTTGAAATGGAAGACTTAAGAGAAAAGTGCTTCGGGTTGATCTTCGTGATACTATGCAGTTGCTGCCGAATCCTCGCTGCTTTATCGTGATAGTGTAGTATTCGAATCCGAATTCAGACAACGGCTGCGGCCATGCTGTGCAAAGAGAGACGGCTTTGCAGCAAGCTCAGATATTCCAGTGCGATAGAGGCAGACAGGCAATGCACATAAATTGACCTCCAGTACAGTCATTGAGCCCTGGCATCTCGAAAACCAATCTCGTTTCGAGTCTTCAGCCCAATCCTCCCACCTGGGGTCGCCTCGCATCTGGACGTTGCTGTGCGACTTGGAGAAGCAACCTCGTCCTGGCAACATGCATGTGGTGACACTGCTTTGTCAAGCATCCACCCAGAGATCCTTGTCTTAGGCAATGTGCATTGACACCTCGACCTCTGTACGGCGGTTTACCGTACGGCTAGCCTTCAGCTGAGGACTTGACAGCCACTCGAGGTAGGGAGTCAGGCGGCCCCAGCCGCAGCCTGCCTCGAATATGATATGATACTGGCCCGTTTCGTACACGTGCATGCAGACGTACGCGCCCAGTCGAGATGAGCGGCGTCAGCCACAAGAGCCAATCGTAAGCCATCGCCGTCGCATCTTCTCGAGGTCCTCTATTCATCTTTTCTTTTCCTTCCATGGTTTGCTGTCTCCTGCTCGAATTCTGTAGTAGCACGGCTTGACCACATACATCCCATGCTCTGTCTCAGACGCAGTCAGGCGCGATGCACGCCTTCGGAACGTTGTGAAGAGGGCTTGATGCAGCGCTGCAAGTCCACATAATTTCTATGAAGCAGGTTAGAGATAGACTCGGCCGATCATGCTTGGCGGAATAAAATGCAGAAAGGGAGGAGAAAGGACAGAATCGTCTCCGAGGAATTTCGAATGACACTGACCGCCAGGAGGCTCTTGTTGCGCTGATTTCTTCAAGCTTCTGCAGCAGTTTCCAGGCAACATACGCCTCAAACGACGGGTCTCTCTTTACGCCTCATTTCCTGAAGCTCAGACCAAGTACTCGACCGCAATGGAGGCCGCTGGGTATCAACCAATGTCAGTAGAGGCCTTCGTGTAATGCATCCGCCCCGTCAAGAAAGATGGCCAGACAATGGCAGGATCTCTGCTGCCTTCCCAGGAGCAGACGCGAGGGCCATAGTTACCTTAGCATCTTCACACCGTTCTCGTTTTATGAAGTAGCTCGAGCGTAGGAGTAGAATCTCTGGAGAGAATCAGCCGAATAGTTCCCACAATGAAAATCGTACTGGCCACCTACCTCGAAAATTCGGTATCACGGCCTCTAGCCTCTCTATGAGACATAGTTCTTAGTATACCCAAGGCGTGTACAATGATGCATCGGCGTGCGTCTTCTACTTGGACCACCCATGTGTCAAAGCTTGAGCCATATTCGGACCGTCTGCATCGTCAATCTGTGCTACGATGTTCACGAGTGTTTGGATAATGACAACAGCTACACTCAAATAGGGGCTTCTTTTGAAAAATAGTAGTAGCGGGCACGACCAAAATTCTGGGCCATTCGACTGCCGACAGAACACTTGCACTCCAGTATCGATACGTGTGACATGGGCCTATGTGCCACGACGAATTGCTGTCGAGAAGGGGCCCAAGGTGCTGAGCAGTGACTGATATTGACAGTGTGTCGATAGTCCCGGATCGAAAATCCTGGAGTATACCGTGATAGCAACCCGTGCTTCTTGTATCTGAAACTGTTGAACTGATACGCTGCACAGCAACGTGACATACAATGGCTCAGGGGGGCACGATGGGTTTGACCGATGGTAACCTTTTAACCAACTCTAGCTAGAAGGTAGTAATGATTGAACTATGGTTGCAAAGATATATGCTTCTTGCAACGTGTCCCAAGAGGCACGGAAAGACCCAGAACCATTGTGCAACCGGGTACTCAGTCAGAATGAGCGACTATCGCTAGTAAGCAGCTCAGTGGGCAGAATATCCAACAATGTACTGGCCATGGCCAAGCCATGTTGGACATCATATATTGATGATGTAGCATGTTTCGAAGTGTTAGGCCGCTGGTTTAGAATCGCCTCTTTTTCTTCGCCGGACCAGCTGCTGCCTTCCTCTCAAGCTCCTTCTTCAACTCTTCGCGCCTCCGATCAGCGCGCTCCTGAGAAGTTTCTCTGGGTTCATCTTCGTCTTGGGACTCTTCACGCTCCGTTGGGCGTCCACGTTTAGTACTGTCAGCTGCGGGTGCTTTTGAGCTTCCTGTATCAGCCTTCTTCCCGATATGCCCCAGCTTCTTTGTAGCGGGAGGCTTTGCGGTCGTCCGATCCTCCGAAGTCTCAGTGTCTTTGGTCTTGGGAGCTGCTGCAGCCTCTGCAGCATGCCTTTTTGAAGCACCGCCGATGCGTCCTAGACCTCCAACCTTAGGGGTAGGCCGAGGCGACGCTGGCGGAGGCGTTGGCGTTGGCTTGGGGGAAGATGCAGGACGGACCGAAGGCATCTCTTCGTCACTGGCTTCTGACGCCGTTTTCACATCGTCTTCCGGGGCTGGTGCCGTTGTAGCCCGCGAACCGGTGGCCTTGGTATCCTGTATTGAGGTCCTAGGTTTCGATTCACCCGAGCCGAAATTGGCCATACGTGACGCAGGCTTTCCTGTGCTGGGTTGCGGAGCTTGGTGAGACGGCGCTGGCTCCTCATCCAAATCCTCTTCATCCGCTGTCGATTCATCGTCTGCTATAGCTACAGGCGAGCCTTTATCCTTGGACCGAAGATGCGGAGGCGTTGGCTGGACTTGAAAGTCGTCGTCCTCCGCACTTGTAGACTTGGCTCTCGGCGATGGCGACCTTTTCGCAAATGGAGTTGTTTGCCGCTTGTGACGGTGCACCAGCTGCGAGGCACCCTTGAAACCATGCCACCATTTATCCAGAGCTGGGGAGGCGTCCACTTGTATCTGGCAGCGTCTGTTCAGTCCTTCCCCGTCGAAGACATTCCGCGCAAGATCGCCAACATTGGTTGGGCAGTCGACCGCCTTGAGGCTTGATCTCCAACTGTCTTGGCGGAACGGCGCCAGCCCCTTCACTTTATCTTCCGCAGCGGCTCTCGACACCTTCTTTCTTCCCGAAAGAGATGTAAAGACGTGCTCGAGGCCAGTCCCAGTGGCCTCCAACTTGTCAGCCAACTTGCCAATGACTGCGTCTTTCTGCTGCAACGCCTGTACGAGCGAGTCCACCTCTTGCTTTCTTGCAAATTGTGCCTCAAGCAAAGGCAAGACGAGATCAGTAGCAATAGCCGACGGCGGAGACTTGTTGAGATGAATAGGCCACTTGAGAGGTTGGAACCCCGGGAGCGGGCAGGTCACCAGCAGTGTGAGGCTGTCCTCCCCAGCGTCTGCGGAGGAGCCTGGTGACAGGGTGAGGGAGGTCTGCTCATGGCCCGGCTGCGTGGGATCTAGGGCCGATCTCAGACTACCAAGCAATTTGGCCATATTCTCGGGTGTATCACTCGGGTCTATGCTTGTGTTCTCGCTCCATCCCCTCATGAAGATGGCCTTTCGGTCCAGGCTCTCAACCCAGATGTTGGCCATGTCTGTGATCCGGACGGTGTATGCGGCGGCGCCGATTTCAACCGAGACGAGAAGCATCGGTATGTCAGATGATGTGGCCTGCGGCAACGGCCGCCAGGTCAAGTCGCTAGACATGGTGTCACCGATATGAAAGCCCTAGATGTTGCCGTGGGAGAGAGGTGAAGGAGGAGTGTCGTAAGTTCCAGAGGGCCGCGTGCTTGTGAGGCAACACCCGTGTGCCCGCAAGGGGGTTCTCGGTGAATACAAGCTGGGGTTCTGTAGTCGGAGCAGGACTGAACAGGTCGGTGTTGCACCGAGCGCTGGGCCGTGCGCAACAGATCTGTCTGTATATCTATGCCGCAGCGGAACTGTAGCCTATGAGCCGTCAAGCTGGTGAGCTCGTGAGACGGACGCGGCCCCTCAATATCTGGGAGAGGCAGACCAGGTCCGCCCTGTGGCACCAAGCGGGATAGGACCAACGGCGTTGGATGTCGCTGTGTAGCCTTGAGCTCAGGATGATTCACATCCAAAACGTGTACAAGTTCGGCACGGCTGTCTCTCCAGAATACGCCCTAGAGTCGAACCGGGAAGTGTTCTGGAAACGAGGCGGAACGCGTTTGAGGCCCGGCGGCGGCGCGGTCTGGCGATAAGGCACCATTGATCCTTGCTGGTGGCCAGGCAGCTTTGGTGATTCGGGACTGCACAAAAAGGTTAGCGCAATGGCGGTTCTGGGTCCAGCCGGCACTTTGGCCTGGACGGATGGCGGTAGCTGTCGGAGTCGATGTCGAGACGTCGCATCATTCACGGGACTTGGAGTTTTTTGGGGGATGAAGATGAGTTTATCAAGAGAGAGAGGGAATGATGCTCGGTGATGTTTTCTGGGAGGAAAATGTGCATCTAACCGTTATGAGGTCGCACCTTCTCTTTGATGACCAGGTGGACGGTGGTCATTAAGTGATAAGGCTCTTCGTACCTAGGTACTGTGCACTAGTTGCACTATGTCCCTCAGTGAGTGATGTCAGGTATTGTATACTCTCAAGGCTACCATCCTATGATGTGAATCACGCTCAGCTCCCAGTGTAGGTGAACTCCGAGTCATCATCACCTCCTCTTCTAAGAGACACAGAATAGACTGCTATCCCCGAGAAGAATCTCCTAAACGTAATGCAAGAAGATATTTGGGTTTGGCTCAGTCCTATTCGCCTGCCACTGCACCGACAATCTCCGCCTTGTCTCGCCGTCTAACGCAGGGATATCAAGCCACCACAATCGCACCGAGTTCCGGCAGCCCAAAGTCTCGATCTCCAGACGCCATTGACGCAGACTACATCGAAGACCCTTACAGCCATGAAAGTCATAGATAAACGCGAGGCAGCCCCAAGACTCAAAATGCGCAGCACTCTGCTATCTTTCTTAGACCGTACCGTGTCATTCCACGTCCGCAGCTTGTTCATTATTGATCCAGGACCCTCATCACGCATTGTAAATGACACTCACAAGCATCCGTGCTATAAGTCGTTTTCGAGTCACAGACAAAATCTATCTGCAGCCACCTTCGTCGCTCCGAGTACCTCGGTTTGCTTTACCGGCATACAGTTTCTGCACCATGCCTTTCAAAGGTGCAAAAAGAAAGACAGCATTTTCCGTGGACAGAGCCAACGGTTTCCAACCGAAGAAGCTCAAGCATGAGGCGAATGGAGACGACCTTCGCCAACCACATCCATTTGCCCATGAAGCTGAGGAAAATGGCATCGTTCTGCGGCGGTTCTACCCCCCTGAGATGAGCAACTCTCGAGCTCTGGCTTACAACTCGGATCAACTTCCCAGACCCATGGAGGTGCTCGTCAAGGCTCTGGAGGAGACTGCTCAAGCTCGCAAACAAGTCAAACCCAAGGACGCAGTCGTGCATTGGTTCAAGATGGACCTACGACATACCGACAACCGATCTCTTGCACTGGCCAACGCTAAAGCGAAAGAAGCCGGCGTTCCTCTTATCTGCATGTACATCGTGAGCCCTCAAGACTTTGAGGCTCATCTCACCTCGCCCGTCAGAGTGGATTTCATGCTGAGAACGTTGAGCGTCCTGAAGCAGGATCTGGCGGCCCTCGATATTCCGTTGTACGTGGAAACAGTGCATAAGAGAAAGCATGTCCCACAGCGCGTTTTCGAGCTCTTGGAGGAATGGGGCAGCAATCATCTATTTGCCAACATCGAATACGAAGTTGACGAGCTACGGCGAGAAGCTCAAATGATTCGCCACTTTGCGGCGAACAACAAATCGTATGAAGTTGTCCATGACACATGCATTGTACCTCCAGGAGAGTTGCATACTGGCTCCGGGAAGCAATATGCTGTTTATACTCCCTGGTACCGCGCCTGGATGGCTCACATACACGAGAATCTGGATCTCCTGGAGCTTTTTGATCGGCCTGAGAGGAATCCAAACGGAGTGCGTACAAAGTTCCAGAAGCTCTTCGATTGCAGCATTCCCGATGCGCCAGAGAACAAGAGGCTTAGCGACGCAGAGAAGAAGACGCTTCGTCCTTTGTGGCCTTGCGGTGAACATGAAGCTATGGCTAGGCTGGAAAAGTACTGCGACGAGGCCATTGGCGACTACCACAACAAGCGGAACATTCCAGGAGATGACGGCACGTCACGGCTGTCTGTCCATCTTGCGAGCGGGACGATTAGCTCGAGAACCTGTGTTCGGACGGCCAGGGATAGAAACAAAACAAAGAAGCTGGACGGCGGACACCAGGGGATTCAAACTTGGATCAGCGAAATCGCCTGGCGAGACTTTTATAAGCACGTTCTCGTCCATTGGCCATATGTCTGGTGAGTAACGAATAGTGTATCAACTATAGCAAGTGGACCTGTGTTAACAAATCCAGCATGAACAAACCATTTAAGCCAGAGTACTCGAATATCCAATGGTCCTATGACCGAGATCATTTCGCCGCATGGTGCGAGGGCCGAACGGGTTACCCCATCGTCGACGCCGCGATGCGCCAGCTCAATCATATGGGATACATGCACAACCGGTGCCGAATGATTGTTGCTTCATTCCTCTCCAAAGACCTGCTCATCGACTGGCGCATGGGTGAGCGGTATTTCATGGAGCATCTGATAGACGGGGATTTCGCGAGCAACAATGGCGGCTGGGGCTTCAGTGCGAGCGTTGGAGTCGATCCTCAGCCCTACTTCCGTATCTTCAATCCGCTGCTCCAAAGTGAAAAGTTCGACCCCAATGGCGATTATATCCGAAAGTGGGTGCCAGAGTTGGCGGGACTGAGCAACAAGGAAATCCATGATCCGTACAATCGAGGTGCTGGTACGAAAGCGAAGAAGCAGGGTTATCCGAAACAGATTGTCGAGCATAGAGGCGCAAGAGAGCGTGCCTTGAGCGCGTACAAGGAAGGCATCGAGAGTGGAAGGTAGAGAAGGACCCGAGTTTCTAGGAGTTGTTGTTGACGTAGTATAAGAATTCTAAGTCCAGATTAATATGCAACTCATGCTGAACTAAACTAGACATGTATGACCCGTATCTGTACCATGACGAGCGACTTAACCGCCACAGCTATTTGAAGGCCACATGTTTCATCTTCGGCTCGGAGGCTATCAAAGTAGCCCCAAAATCTCCCCGATCATGGAGAACAGAAAGGCGCTCGTCCGAGGAGACTTTGCTAGCCGGTGGGTGTTCATAAGACGATAGGAAAATGTTTCAATCAACGTCACGTCCGCGTCGCATATTTCAATGTCGCCAAGTTTGTCTCGAAACGGAGCCAAAACGCCTTGAATTGGATTTGCTACATGCAGCCAACTCTAGTTTCCACGCCTGCCTTCATACCCGAGCTAGTCCCTACTCTCAGGTTAGCTAAGCCTGGGTTTCCTCGAATGCTCGTCGGCATGGTCGTCTCGGCGCTGGATTGTACCTCTTCCAAGTCTTTTTTCGTGTTGTTGCAAAAAAGGAAAAATTTATCGCTGGGCGCTCCAGACGCTCTTGACGAGACCGTCACGCTGGGCCAATCGGTTCAGGGAGTCGTCGGACTCGCCCATGGCGCGGATGAAGCCGCAGAGGGCGTAGACGTGGTTCTCGCCGGGGACAGCGCGGCCGTTCTCGTCGACCTTGGCGATGGAGATCTGGACAGAGCCGTGGTCCTTGGCCTTGATGATGCGGTTGGTAGCGCTGCACTTGCGCGGGACGTAGCTGGACGGGCAACAATCAGCATTCCTGCATTCCTCCAGCAATTTTCTGCATGAGTCCTCCTTACAGGTCGACGATCTCGCCACGGTCGTTCTCCATTTTGGCTGTGAGGGAGGGGGTATTGGTGGTGAAGAGGCGGATTAGGATGCGTTTGGCGGGAAGAAGTTGTCGAGGGCCGTGGTGGTGGGATACAGCGAAAATTCGCCTAGGAAATTTGACATGGCCCATGAATTTCGTGGGGCGGGGAGGGCTTTCTGTGCGTCAGCTGACCCGTCATGTGACATCGTGGCGATTCCGCGACTTCTGTTGCGCCCCGCTTTTCTCCAGACGGCGTGATTGATATTGATGGGCCCGACCGACGCTTTGGACAAACATCAAACACGCCTCTAGTCTGCCATAAGGCACTTAGTGAGCGGTAACGCCAAAGAAATCCGATGCATACTATACCGACAGGCGACTCCAGTTTCTATCTATGAGTGCAGCTTCGCAAGTCCATCATCCTGCCGCGCGGAATCTTGCTGAGATGCCAACGCGCATCTCAGAGGTCTCCTCTTGGCGTGATGGCGTCTCCTAATGCCTTTCTCTCTTCGCCATCACGGAGCGCCAACCGGAAATCTCACTTCTTTCGCTCATCGTCGCCTGACTTACCGGCAATTGGAGACATCTTGTCACGCGGCGCCAGGAATCAGCCACCGAAACGCGACGACCCGGCATTGGTCATCTCATCTGACGAGGAGACGGAAATCACAAGAGCACGAACTACGCAGGATGCTGGGTTTTCATCAAGGTCAACTCGATCAATGTCTAATGGGTTCAAAGCCACGGAATCTGACGACACTTCGCTGCTCATCATTGATCCTCCCACCGTACGGACCCCTGAGGCTAGAAGGCATCATGCAGCGCCTCCTAGATTCAGGTCGCAGTCTGGCTCTCCCTCTGGCTCTCCCGCAAAGGACCAGCCCTGGAAAAGGTTCAAATCAAAGGTGAACGGTTCACAGAGTGATTCCAGTGATTCAAGGCCGACAGAAATCGAAAAAGCTGGACCAATACCGGCTCAGCCTGTAATTGAGTCATTGCGGGTTGAGAATGATATCAATGCGCCACTCAGGCTAGAGCCGGCCATGATTCGAAGGCTTGACTGGACTCCTCCATCCCACAAGACCACGACTATCCTTAAGCCGAGTTCTCCTGCTCTTGGGGATCTACAATCGCCGGGAGAGCCTCGTGGAGGGGCTCAAAACTTTGAGCAGCTTCTCGAAATCTACAAGTGCCCGGACAATTTACAGCAGAATTCTACGACTACCATGGATGAAGATGCCAGCATATTCAGAAAGCGAAAGCTTGTCGAACTCGTCATGACATCTGCAGCACCCGCAGATACATCTCCAGAGGCAGAGCCTATGGGCCCTCCAAAACAGAAAGCGAAAGCACCGAAGAAGAGACCGCGCACCATAACAGAGCTTGCCACATCAGCGTATAGGGTTCCGGAGCCGCCAGGGCCAGCGCCATTGATTGCTGATGAACCCGCCACGATCAAGGAGTCAGATGCCACAACTGTGAAAGGGGCAAACAAGGCGAAGCCCAGAAAGAGGACGTCCAAAGCTTCTGCCGCGAAGAAGAAGAAGCCGGCTCCACCTCCGCCCCCAGTCTTGTTGCCCCCAACAGAGGCGCTGCAAGAAGTCGCCAGGCAAGATTTTGTTTTTGGGACGTCAAGCCAGTTAGCGGTCGAAACTTCGCCTACTTTTCTACGAGATCTCCATGCTGCAATGAGGCGGTCTAATCAAGCCGAGTATATAGACCTTGACACCCCTGTGAACAGTGACGGCATCGAGCCGCCAGAACGGAAGAGGTTATGGGCTGCCGGCGCTCGCGACGTCGACGGAGACTTATTTGATGTTGAGTTGAGCAAGATGATGGAAAAGTCTTCCCCGCCCTTGCCTGCGCGTTCTGATGATGATCTTTTCGGGTATACCGGCGTCGACAGAAAGATTACTTTGCCCAATCTGAGCATCAACGTCAACGAAGTCGAGACTAGCTTAGATGGTGAGCTCCTCGTCGAGCCGGTCAATGGGTCACCATCCAAAAGTGTCGAGGCCACCAACTTCCTCATCGCCGATGACTCCATACAGCTGGGTAGTGACATCTCAACCGGATCGCCGATTCCGAGACGAACCAAACCAGCTGCCGAGAGTCCAGCTGCAAAGCCACAAGGCAGCAACAGCGAGGTAAAGCAGGCTGAGACACAGGCTGTAAAGCCCTCTTTCGAACTGTATACAGATGCTCGACTCTCCAAAGAAATTGCCTCTTATGGTTTCAAGGCAGTCAAGTCGCGACAGGCCAAAATTGCCTTGCTAGAGCAGTGCTGGCAAGGCAGAAACCATCCCGTATCTCCTGCTGCGAGGAGGACCGTCACTACATCTACAGCTGCAGGAGAGAGTGCTTCACATAGTGAGGTCAGGACCCCTCGTGGGCGGCCGAGGAAGAATAGTGGGAGTACACCTGAAGCACAGGAACCTCCACCCTCAGCACAGCCGCCGGTCTCTCCGACCAAGCGTCGAGGCAGGCCTAGGAAGGATGCTGCTGCCGCTTCTACTGCTGGAAAACGCACTACGGCGAGCGCATCCAGGGCAAAGAGGACGCCATCCAAGAGTGTGGCAGACGCACCCACGGCAGGAAAACGCAAAGCACCGCCCGCCAAAATGGTTGTCGAGATTCCAGACTCCGCATCTGAGAGTGACGGCAGTCTATCGCCGATCCCATCACCGTCTCTCGAGTGTGCTTCTTCGCCGCTGCCAGTGGATCTCTCTGTATCTGTCATGGACGACACCGATCCGTCGCTGGCTATCCATCCTACTGAAGATCAGCCTCTTAGCCATGAGTACATCACCAAAGCCGTGACCTCTGCACCGAGGACAACTGACCCTGCAAACCCTTCCTGGCACGAGAAGATGCTACTTTACGACCCAATCGTGCTCGAGGATCTAACAACGTGGCTAAATTGCGGGCAATTGACTCGCGTGGGCTTTGACGGCGAGGTGAGCACCATGGAGGTGAAGCAGTGGTGCGAGTCGAAGAGTGTGTGTTGTTTGTGGAAAGTGAATTTGCGTGGTAAAGAAAGGAAGCGATTATGAAAGAGGATGGATATGAGATTTGAGCCTAGGTAGGCATGGTCATGAGCATACAGGAGTTTCAGTGGGCCGTTTCCTCTTTTCCTGCTTTTCGTCCCTTTCTACGTCTTCCCTCGGCCTAGCCTTTTATGATGTTACACAGGATATTGTCGTTTCGTATAGAATATACCGCTTTTCTCACGGAGAACTTTGTTCCCAGTCGTGGACATGACACTCATCGCAAAAATGACCCCTTGCAGCATAGCGCAGTCCACGGCTCAAGGCCCATTTTATATCCGCGTGAGATGAGATCGGGCCCCATTTCTCCATCCTTCGGAGCACGGAGTGGCTGCAGGGTTGATTTCTCTTTTCCCCCGCAAAATAGAGCCGGCAAACCGGACCTCGGCTCGTCGCCACTCCCCGTGCAGCCAAACTGGGGAAACGGGGACACGCTGTATCTCACTCACACCCCCTTCCAGATTGTCTGCGTCTCATTCCGCTCTTTCAGACCTCCGATGAATCTGGTCTCATGTGCTGTCACCAGGTCGTTGCCTCGTCGTGTCAGCAGCCTGGCATCATCAGCTCACAGACCAGCCGCTGAGTGTATCCGCCCGTTCAATCTGACAGCCGGCCTCATGGCGTCGAAATCACCGACTTGGACGCGTCTCTACTCGTCGCCCGCGTCTCCCCAGAAGGAGGAGAAAGAGAAGGGCTCTGGCGCGACAAAGAAACCGATTCCCGAGCCACGGCCGAGCTCTTCCATTGTGCTGCTGTCTCCTACCAACGAGGTTCTTCTGCTGCATCGAGTCAAGACGTCCACCTCATTTGCATCTGCGCACGTCTTTCCCGGGGGCAACTTGGACGCTTTTCACGACGGCGATATACCAGCTCCCGGAACAGAGGATCGTCATGTTGATGGTCCGGCGTACAGGCTTGGCGCTATTCGCGAGTGCTTTGAAGAGACGGGCATTTTGCTTGCCTCGAAAGGCGGGCGTTTAGTTGATTTGCCTCAGCAAGAGAGAGACGAGGCGAGGAAGAGGATCCATGGGAGCCAGATCAAGTTTGCGGATTGGTTGAAGGAGATTGGCGCAGAAGCTGACCTGGGTGTGTTCTGAGCGATTTCCCATGATTATTGACTGTGAATTGACAATCTCTTCGTAGATGGACTCGTCCCTTTCACGAGATGGGTAACTCCAGTCGGCGTCCCGAAGCGCTTCACCACTCAGATGTACCTATATCTGCTCCCCATTTCACGCACCGACGTGCCATCCGAGATGCTGGTTCCAACACCAGATGGCGGCGTCGAGCACACCGAGGCTCTCTTCGCTCCTCCGCAGACGTTTCTCTCACGCGTTGCCGCCAATGACATCATTCTCTTTCCGCCTCAGGTGTACATCCTCTCGCTTCTCACAAAGTTCCTCAAGGGGCTGACGGCTTCAGTAGAAGAGGGTCCTCTTCACTATACGAAGCAGCGCAGGGAGCTTCTCAGATTCGTAAAGGCGATTCCGACGGCGGATACAGAAAAGGGTCGTGAACATGCCACGGCCAGCATTCCGTGGGCGGACAAGGTGATGAGTCCGTACCACTTGTTCGTCAGGAAGAGCGATAAGAGAGTTGTGCTTGGTCTGGAAAAGCCGGGGCCGGAGCTCAAGGACTCGGGGAGAGGAGGTGACTGGGAGAGGGTCGTGTTGGTGAGTTTCGGCAAGGCTGGGCCTTCTCGGGTGGAGGTTCGGCTGAGAGAGGATGTGCTGAGGGAAGAGAAGGAGGCTGCCGCTGGAGAGTCAAAGCTGTGATGTATTGACGGGGGGAGGATTGTAGGAGGCAGGAGTTTCGGGGCGGCTTTGATGTAGATTTATTTCGTCATCTATCATGAAATACCTAGATATAAATACAGCGACTAGATATGAGTACGGTATTGGCCTCGAGTGAAATAATGCGGCAGGAGCAACTCGCATATATTTTCTGCCTTTAAAATCAGGTGAGAATCTTCAGACCTGAGGCGATAAACTCTGCGACTTCCCTCATCTCGACCGCCTTGGGCAAAATCTGAATGGCGACCTATAATTCCTTTGTCTCTTGCTTTCTACTACTTACTTCTTCCTCAATCTCTTCCTCCTGTCACTTATTCCCTTTATTCAATCCTTCTCCTGCTGTCGTTCACTAATCTCATTTTATTTCCCCTCGTCTCCTGTATAGGATCGGCGCCTCTCTCTCTTCTTCGTCGAAAATCGAGGGACTCTCGAGGACTCTTGAGCTCATAACATCGCGTCTCAATATCTCAAATTTGATTCAGATACTGAAGTGTAATACCATCTTATCCCGATATACTACTCGTGCTATTGCTAACCTCTAGCAGCTACCAAATCAGCAATCATGTCCCAGCTTCCGACAACCGCCCAGCAAGAGGCGCCAGACGGCGAAGCGCATTATCCACCATGCCTCTATCACACACCAGAGGAAAAGAGACTGTACAAGAGATTGAAAGACGTCTATCTGGAGCATTACACCTCCTGGGACGCTGAATCCCGCGAAGTGTGGCCTTATATTGTCGAGCATGCATCGCTGCCAAAGTCAACCGTCGGCAAACTCACAAATCATTCAATTGCGAGAAATATGATGCAGACCAATGTGACGTGGGCTCATGTCGTCGCCCTTCGAATCATCTATAAGACACAGTTATTCAAGAGCCGAAAGCTTATGAAGCTCATCCGAGACAAGTATCCAAGAGGCAACTTCAACACATATGTCTTCCACGAGGATTACAAGAGGCCCGTCAAGATAGATGAGGAGGTCAAAGCAGAGAAGACGGCAAAAAAGAGCCCGGTGACAGCTTCCAGCGCACATGAGCTGCGAGTTGGAGCCGAGGGGCCAGTCGGAGAAGCTTCACAGCCCGCTCCTCGGCGTTTGAACGAAGCTCCCAATGGTTTCCTCAGTGACGAAGAAGATGCTTGGCCGACTAAGACATTCGTTACCCCGAATGCGATCAAACCTGAGCCTACAGCCGCGGCCAACAACGGGGGAAGAGAGGGTCATAAGATGATCAACCAGCAAAACGGGAACAGAGCAAACCCTCGACAGCGTGTTGCAGTTCCATCAAGTCAGGACAAACGGGCTCTTCCAGAGGACAGCGAGGTAGAAAGCGAGGCCAATCACAGCACGGCCTGTGAGCCCCCGCCTCGAAAGCAGAAAAGGGACAGGCCATCTACCGCAATCAGAGACCGCCGCACGCAGCCAACGAGCTCAGGCAGAGGGCCGCGTAGCCAAGAAGAAGCTACAGGTAGCTCCAGCAGAGCGAAGGAGGATTGCGATCAGATAGATCGGTTTATCGAGGCTCTGACAGTGTTTGGCGAGGCTATATCGGAGCACAACAACGCTGTGCATCGCAACTCGGAGCTACTCGAGAGATTGACCGAGCAGATGAGGAAGAGAAATCCAGAAAGGTAATGATTTGGGGTGATATCGCGAGAGACAAGAGCGAACTAGAGATATATTCTTCTATCTTCTCTAGTAGGGAAAAATGGGAGTGATGTGTGGCTGTTCGAGAGATTGAAAGTTATTAGCCGGCTCTGTTTTGGGGCAAAGCATGAAGCAGAGGAGGTGAGGGAAGAGTTTGCTTCGGACGGGGAGGACATTGGTGCTGTTGAGCCTGTAGCTCGAGTCTCTCTCATCTCCAGATCTAGCCATTTGCATGATAACAGTGGCTTGGCGGAGGAGAAATATGCAGTCGAAAAGTGACTTGAGGTCGTCAATTCAAATCTTTGCTATATCCAGAGACAACTTATCAATCTAGATCGAATTCAGGGTAAGATGGCGGATGTCTCAAGGCCGACTACGAGTTGATCATGCCGACCAAGGAAATCGAAGCTTAGAGCCAGGATGGAGACTCATCTTCCCAAAGCTATGGGTGTTGAAGAATAAGGATGGGAAGCTGAATATCACAAGCGAAGCCAAGAGATAGCTGGACGATGTATCCTTAAGTCAACCAGTAGGTAGCACGTTATTCTTCGGCGAATTATAACCACTTAAGCCGAAGAAGGACGATGTCCAGAGTGCAAGAAATGCAAGGGGTCCAAAAGAGGATATGAGAGGGGAAAATAAGAGAAAAGAAACGGTCAAGGCGCAGAAAGAAAGCAACCACAGCGCCGGGTCTTTGCGCTTCCTTGCGTGCATTTGAGCAAGTTTTTGAGTCGTTGCACAGAGCCTGGCGTTCTGTGATATGCACCAATGAAGCAGTTGAGTGCGTGCGAGAGTCATAGCGCAGCCGGTGCAGATCCGGGTACCTACTCGGTGTAAGAGAGAAGCCGTGTCTCTCCGTTGAGGCTGGAATGAGACATGCGTAAACAACAGCAACAAGTGAGACATGCCATTGAAACAAAACACACTCATCTGTCATATGGCGCTGAGAAATAGAAACATCTGTGATGAAGGATGCATCATGGCTGGCTTCTTCACTCGTTCTCATCCTCACCAAGAAGCCCTCACAGACCCCTGTGCCTGTGCCAAAACATCCACACCGCAAATCACCTCCTCCCCAACTAACAGCAATATCTGCTCAGATCATAACATAGATCCACGAACTAAACAAGGGAACCAGCAGGAAACAAACCAATGGAAATCCCCTCTCGTCATCCAGCTTGGCCCAACTTATATGCTCAAAACAAGCTTAACCGTACCAAACTAACCCACCCCCTCTGGCCTATCCAGGTACCCCTGGCTGGTTCAGTCACAACCTTTCTTTGTAGCCCCCCTAAGAATGTACTTTGCGCAACTGTCCGCTAACCGACTACCTTGATGGTCAATATAAATATCTTCTGTGTATCCTGTCTACCCCATTCTTCAGGGAAGAAAGCAAAAAATCTGGTCCATGCTTTCAGCTGTGCCCTGACCTTTATACCCCTCTTCTCCTCCTCCTCCTCCTCTCCTCCCTTCTCCCACCACCCTATTCTTTCACCAAAACATCACCTCACCTCACCTCAAAACAATGGCCCTCAAGTCTCTCCTCCTCGGCCTCGCCGCCGTCCAGGCCGTCACCGCCCACTTCTCCGTCGTATACCCCGAATGGCGCGCCGACACCCTCTCTGAGGAAAACGAAGACAAGTACAGCCAATGGGACTATCCCTGTACGTTCCCCCCATCATGACCCCCATATCCAAATCTCTCAATCATCATCATCATGATGATGTGCTAACAACAAACAGGCGGCGGCGTCCCCTACAAGGCCGGCAACATCACCAACTGGCCCCTCTCCGGCGGCGCCCTCCAGCTCGACCTCCACCACCCCTGGACCTACCTCTTCGTCAACCTCGGCCTCGGCGCCAACACGACAAACTTCAACATCTCCCTCACCCCGGCCCTGACCAACGTCACCGGCAAGGGCACCCTCTGCATCGACAAGCTGCCCGTCGACGACGACGCCGCCATCAAGGAGGGCACCCTCGCCTCCATCCAGGTCGTCACCAGCGGCGAGTCCGGCAGCGCGCTGTACAACTGCGCCGACATCCGCTTCACCAAGAACGCCACGGGGCCCAGCAACTGCTCTACCTCGGACGGACTGGTGTTGCATACCATCGGGGACGAGACGACTGATAACAACAGCACGGACTCCGGCGGCTCTTCTTCGCAGGATGGTGCTACCGAGGGAGGCAAAAACAGCTCGAGCTCGGCGGGTGAGAAGAGTGCTGCGGGCTTGATGGGCTCTGATAAGCCTGTCTTGGCTACGGTTGTTGGTCTGGCGATTGCCTTTTCTCTGGGCCTGGGTCTCTAGTTGACGGAGAACATATGACGTGAATGAGGGTATAGATTAAGTACACCAAGACATATATACGAGGACAGGGCATCATGAAATGCAAGATAATGATATTAGCGCAGTAGCGTCGTCTTCAACTCCTTATACGTATATACCGTCCCCCCCTCTCTCTGTCTGTCTGTCTCTTTGTCTGTCTGTCTGTCGTTGGTCTGTCTGCCCGTCTGTCCGTCTGTAATTGCCGCCATGCGAAAACTCAAAGTAATAATAGTACAAGAAGGGTATAAGCTGTATATGTACAAGTAAATGCGCCAGTGTAAAGGTATCATATAAGAAAAAAAGCGCAAGAGGAGGAAAAACAGAAGAGAATAAAAAGAACAAATATGGCAAGATAGCAGGAAAAAAGAAACACAAGATTGTCGTCAATTTCTTCTTCCCTGCTCGAGTCAGTCATTGCCAAAAGCGTATAACCGCATGCTGCTTACTCCAGTGGGTGTCTCATCTTGTGCCCGCTTCAAAACGCTTGCCATCTGCCATGTAAATGTCGTTTGTACTTCCCAAATAAAAAACTCCAGATCCCATTGTTGTTGATGAACTGTTCGATGACCGAAATGATGAAAATGCAAAGAAAAAACCAAAATCAGGTGTGAAGAAAAAATGATAAATAGCTCGTAGGTGAACTCTTTGTGTAAGCCCCGTCCCTTTAGCGACTTGTACTTGTTTGTTCGCCCGAGAGTTCTCTGACGATCCTCTCCATGGTGATGCGCTGAGCTGGGTTCGGCGCCAGCATATCCCTCACCAGCCGCTCCAAGCGGTCTTTGGGGTTCAGCTTCTCTCTTGCTTCATAAATCTCCGTGAGCCAGTCCCTCATCTGGTTCACCGCCGGCTGACCATTGCCGTACTGCTTATAAGCATGAGGCGGCGCCGGCTGGCCGTGGATTTGGGCGATTTGCCAGTACAGCGGCTTGGGATGCTGCCTGCGTGCTCGCGAGTCGGGGAACTTGATGAAGCGCAACGTGTATAGCATCGTGACACCCAGCGCCCAGACGTCAGAGGCTGGGCCGCGGCTCTTGCGTGTGATGAACTCGGGAGGAATGTAGTAAGGAGTTCCGCCGCCAGAAGGCGAGCTTGCCGCCGGCGTCGTCAGCCCAAAGTCGCAGAGGACGGCGCCACGCTCAGGCGCGTACAGGATATTGGCGGGCTTGATGTCGTTGTGGACGAGTTTGCGGCCGTGGAGGTAGTTGAGGGCGCCCGAGATGTCGCGTAATATCCGAACAGAGTCTTCGCGTGTTCCGACGAACTCGTCCGTAGCCTTGTTTCTCCACCTGGTAGGAGCAGTGAGATCTTTGGCGTCGATGTGCTCCATGTAGAGACTCAGGAATCTGGCATCTCCTCCGTAGTAGCGTACAATCGAGTCGTGTTGCAAGTCTTGTTGGCTCTGGCACTCTCGCAGCCACATGTCTGCTTGGCGGATGACACTCCGCTCATGCACCAGCGGCTTGTTGTCTGGGTTTGCGACCCTTGTCTTGAGCACCTTGACTGTGACGATGTTATTGGGCACCTGCGAATGTGATGCGGTATAGACTGCCGACAGAGCCGTGGATGCAATGGGCTCGCGTTTCGTCAAGTGGTATTCGTCCAGCTCACACACTCCATTGACAGCAATTGTCTCGCCCTGCTCTGCGTCCAAGAGTGCATGGCCGTCGGATGCAGCCAGTACCTTGGCCTCTCTCGCGTTGTTGGGAAGAGGGAAGACGAGAGGGTCAGTTGGTCCCAGAAACATGACAACGCCGTCATCTCCTCTGGCGTCCGTAATTCTCCGCTTCACCCTCTTCACGTCTTCCTCCGGGGTAAGAGCTCTCTTCATACTTGCGTTGACTTGGTCAGACGTGACGAACGACGGCGATGATGCGGGCGTGTCCTCCTCGGGCACTGTCAATGAGATTGGCTGTTGATAGATGGCCACTGGACGCTTCTCCAAAATGCGAAAATCAAGTACGGCAACGTCTCTCACTTTGATCCGAAAGGTGCCAGGTGTAAGCCCCTTGGCGAGGCCCGGGTTGATGACATGGCGTTCGCTTGGGGGAGGACTGGCGGCGGCGGCAACATGGGACACACGGCCGAGCAGTATGGGCACATCCGACCGGTTGAGGAAGATGACCTTGTCGCTGGCGGGATCGTAATAGAGCTCACACCACAGTGGTGGTCGTGACAGGTCGTCCTGGGTAGATCCGGGTATCCTAACGGAGAACTTGATGTCCTTGGAGGTCTGAGTCACAGCCAGGACCTTGTGCTCAGGCTTGTCCGAGGAGGCCACCTCGGCGCGCAGAGCCAGCCACTGGCAATTGTCGCTGCCGGGACTCACGGAGCGGGCGCCGGGAAGCTTGGTGAGAGGCCGCACGAGGATGCGGATGCCTTGCTCGTGGTGGTGATCTTCGACTTGCAAGACGTCGAGCGGAACGGCCTCGGGGTCCGCAGGGATGCCTGGCTCATCGTCTCCGACGCCGTGAAATCGGGCCTCGATCTCTGACTGAGAGAAAGGCTCGGTTTTCTCCTCCGAGACGCCCTGCGAGGGCTCGGCCCTGGTTTCGAACATAGGGGATAGCAAATGGTGCCTTGCCGAAGGCCCATATGCCGGTGGTGATGTGACTGTCTCTCCAACTCAGCACCCAAGAGATCGATGAACGACGGGCAACGAAGTGAGTGCCTTGGGAAATAGAGTGGAGGGGGAACAGGCAGGCAAGCAGACTGGTTGGGTGGATAAAACGGAAGTACAGTCAGCGTACAAGTAAATAGGTAGGTAAACGTTTGGTTGTTGTATTCAGAAGCCTGGGCAGTCCCAACAACAGGCACTCGTCCAGGCAGAAGCCGGGCTGACAGGAAGACAGTATGGATGGTTGAGTAGCAGCAGGCAGAACAGCAGCGGGGTTGACAGACAGTTGTGCAAATCTGTGTCACAACCAGCAAAGACACAGCAGTATAATGTTGGTAGGGTCAAGTTGAAAACGGAGAGCGAAAAGAGGCCAGCTATTGCCTAGACGCACAATAAATGCAAGGAGCCAGCAGCTGAAGCGCTATATCAGGGTCTGGTCATGGTAGCCAGTGTCAGATGGCCAGAGTGCAAGACGAGGTTGCGGGCCTGGTGATGGAGTCTCAGCCGCCCGGACAGTCATGGACAGGTACAAATAGGAACGCTGGAGAAGGAAGGAAAAGGTAACCAACGACCAAGCTAGTGGGCACCGGGTGCCTTGCGGACCGCGGGCGAGACACTGGGGACTGCACGCGATGGACAGCCCCAGGGCGGGAACTAGAGGAGACAAGCCAGCAGCTGGTTGGTTTAGCCTGTCTGTAAGGCGAGTGCTTGGTAACTGGTTAACTGATAGAGCCTCTGCACAGAGTACGATAGAGGCAGGCAAGGCAGGATTGGTAATAGACAAGGACCCTGGCAAGGCGATGGATGAGGCGGTGCGCGCTCCCTTGTTCAAGCTGCGCCTCATCCGCGCTCGATAGTGGACAGAGCACGACAGACGTCCCAGATGCTGACGATAGGCCGAACGGTATCCCTTGCGGCAGCAACTGCTGTGCAGAGACCTTTCGGCTATCTGCGTTCATTCCATGGGAGCTGCTGGAAGTATTGCAACATGTTCAGCCTGTTGGAAATAGCAACACCGCAACAGCCTGTTCAGAATTCGTTCATCATTCCTCTCACGCTGTCACAGCGGTAAACGACAGAATCATCAGGAAGCTCAGTAGCAGTCAATGACGAAAGCATATTGCATGCGAGCAACTCACCGGACACTCTCTCACGCGAGCTGCCGTGATGCCACCAACAACTGCCATCTCACGAGGAAGAGGAAGAGAGAATGAGAGCAACAGTTGCGTCGACGCTGACTCGTCCACACGTGATGCGTCCAGAGAGCCCGACTCGATGGAAAGAGCCTCACAACAAGCTTTGGTCAGAGTGGTGCGAGTGACCGTAAATAACCACTTGGGGGATCCAGCCAAGACCGTGTCAAACTGAGTTGGTATGCAAGACGCTCACGGCGTCCTCCTGATCAGTCGCAGGCCGACTCCTCCTGTTGGAGGGTTGTCTCAGCTGCCTGGAGGAATGCGACTCTTCTCACGCTTCGAGTCAGCCGCAAGTCAGCGTGACAGCCAAATATCTTCAGGCTCAGCGTCTCGTGTTGCTGCGGGCGCTCGAGAAAAAGCATGTTGAGCGAACCTCTACCACTCTACCACGGTGGCGCAGAGAGCTGCTCGCAACTGATGGCGCAAGGGTACACCAGCCACAGCCGTCCGGAAGCGATGGGCAGGCCATTGGTACCAACTTGTAGGAGCGTCATCCTCTGAGCAGAAATTTCCTCTCTCGACCAGGGTCTGCCAGCATGTCGCCGCACCAGCTGGACAGTGTGGTGTGAGCGGAGGCCACTGTAGCTGAGGCGATTGGGCAGAGACAGGGATGCTGGTCGAGAACAGCAGCGAGGGGGTGATCCATGTGCTGGCCGCATGAAGGAGTAGCGAGAATGTGTGTATGTTTGGCACTTGGAAACGCACGATCACATCATCATCTCAGCAGCACAAAGGCGAGATGAAAGGCGAGAAGAAGGAGAAGAAGTCGAAGCGAGAAGAATGGGCGAGTTCTCTTGATGACACAGTATCTGCATGTACATCAATGATTGCAGTACTGAGAAACATTGCTTGTGATGATAAACAAGACGCCCAATCACTCGTCGTGTCCGAAGACAAAGGAAGAAACACCGCAGAAGAGAAATGGAACAAGTTGCTGCTGCGCAACCTGAGAATCAGCCGGAATAGCGCATCAGCCCAAGCTTTTTCCAATTCAGCCACCGCAGCCTGATTGGTGTCTTGGTTGGATAGGTTGGTGTCCTCTGACGCCCTAGTGCAGCGCTAGGAGTGGGCTAGTCCAGATCGGATCTAGTGCTTGCCGCAGCCGAGACCAGTAGCCAACCAACGCTGCGCAGGTGGAGGCCAGGTGCAGGGCAGCGTGAATGCCTCAGGCTGCCATGGCCTCACGATCGGGCGCCGGGGGCAATGGGTATACGCGCGCCTCCCCCCAGCTGCTGTGGCAGAACGTCCAAGGGCCCTGTCGACGTCGTTGTGGCCGCATCTCCAGCACTCTCCAGCACCTTCAACCGCCATATCATCATATTCATCATACCCATCGCACCCGCATCACGACGACACGAGCAGCTATTCGACCAGTGACTGTCTAGTAGTGCTCGTTAGTGACTCTCCGCCATGGCCATGATCGCGAGTCCCATGCTCTAAGCGAGCCGTGTTGTTCTCGAATAACACCTGGGCTCTCCTCACCCCGACTGCGCCTTTTGCATAACCGCCTCAACGACACACGCCTTTACCTTACCCCCTCTGCGAGCTCGCAGAGAAACCCTCCGACCCGCAACATGGACGATCCCGACATTTCGTGGCCCGCCTGGAAGTTTGGCCTGAAGCGGGACGACTTATTTACGACACTCCACGATCAGTACAACACCTTTACCTACACCCTCCAAGACCCCGAAGCCTTTCACCACGATGTCTACGAAATTTCCCACCGTGCGGACACGGCCGAAGAGTTCCATCGCTTCATGGCGGCTCGGCAGCGGCAGCGGCTCTCCGAACTCGAGGAGTCTCTTGAAACGCTCGCTGTCGAGATCATTGCCAATCCGAAGTTGATCGGTTCTGACCAGTGGCAGCACGCCCTTCAGCTCTTCCGGACCAAGTCCTTCGACTCCATTGTCCGATACTTTGCAAGCTACCTCCCCGATGATTACCTTGATCGCCACGGACCCAGCTCCGTGCCGTCGATGTCATCGTCGTTTTCCGAAGCCGATTCTATTCACACGACCAGCACAAAGGCCAGCAGCGCCGGCGATGCTCCTTACTTTGTCGACGACGACGACGACGAGTTCTTCCCCCACGGCTCCATCACCGCCGAGCCCTGCGCTATCAACACTCGAGACATGCCCCTTTCACCAGAGTCTGAGGGCTCTCCATCCGAGTCGGCCGATTCGCCGGCATTCACCTCGACGAACCCGCCGTCGCGGTCCATGTCCTTCTCCAGCAAGCGCTCGGAGCGCCTAGACTCTCACTTTATCAGGCGATCTTCGATTCGTGACGATGACGAGACGTCTCAATCCGACGACGGCGACACGACAGTCACGTCTGTGTGCGATTCCACGGAGACTCGATCTTCCTTTGACCCCACCGATGTCGCCGACAATGCCAAGGAGGAGTCCTTACCTGTACACATTGTAGATGGGGATGAGGAAGACGATGAATTTTCTACCGCTCAACTTCCGGAAGACGATTTCTGCATTTTAGACTCCCTCGATACCCCAACCTCGTTCAACAGCAACAATACCAATTATGATACCCTTGAATCCGACAACACCCCCACCCCTAGGCAAGTCTCTGAATCCACAAGTTATGTCGACTATAAAACCGCGATTCTGCGAAAAGCATCACCATCGCAGCAACGCCCTTCATACCGCCGCTCCCCATCGCCGAGATCGCTTCTTGGCCGGCGGCGAGAGGGGAGTCCCCCCCAAGATGTCCGAAGAAGCCCGGAGGAGGCGCTCAGCAGGATACAAAAGCCCAAGAGCAGCAGCAGCAGCAGTAGCAGCAGCAGGAGGTGGTTGGCTTGACTCGAGGAGGCGGGCGTGCGGTGCGGCGCGCTGGAGTTGTATATATATCATGATGCTCACTGTACATATTCCGAGTCTTATGACACTAATGATTTTCAAAAACACAAGAAAAGAGTCACGATCTCTCGCCCGTATGCGATGATGTCATCAAGTCTGGCGCTTGTGGAACGCTACTTAGACGTCAAGTTAATATGAGCGTCTTCTTGGTAAGGTATATATGATTTCTAATGTTTCTGTGTTTTGTTCTTTGTTTCAGAAATCTGCTTTGTTTACGTCGTCCTTTTGGGTCGAACGAGCCGCAGCTCATCACGGACTCTCTGAACGTGTGATCAAAGTCAGCATCACTTGCGCTGAAGGTGGTCACATGGAGGATGCAGGTACCAGGAGTTATTCTCGACTTTAATTTCTGTGCTGTCTAGCATGTGAATGACGTCATTTCTCTATATTGTTCTCTGGTTTTTTGGGATTGGGTTTTGTGGAATTCTTAATTTGTTCTTGTGGTTTTTGTTCATGAGAGGGTGTGGTGATGCGGAATAGCTGAAATTTACTGACTGCTGCCATGTGTTACTCAACCTCACCCGGACACGACGTCGACATCAACACTCTACGTCACTGGTAAGGAAAAATCTATGGCAAATACTATTGTGATTCTCCTTCTACTTTCAGGTATTGCTAGGTAGGTGAGTTGCTTTCGACTCGATTACTCGTCTTTACTTTGTATGTCTCTTCCGCGTTGGAAAATGATACCCATATGGCTACATGTAGATGAACAGCATCATACAAATGAACACGTCTTTACTCTGATATATAAGGTACCCAGTGCATCCAATGAGAAAGCGTGGCTTAACCCAGACGAGGATTCAGATACGGCAGCTCCTCCACATGCTCACTCCAAATCGTAAGCGCATTCTTGCCCTTATCCACGCCATATAAATACGGCTTCTCGTTCGCAAAACACGCCGTCTCCTGCTCCTCCGGCAACTCCCCGTGCAGGATGAACCTCTTGGCAATGGCGTCCGTGCAGTTGGACTTGTCCCGCGAGGAATGGCCGTAGCCGTGGTGCGCAATCAGCCGCGCGTTGCTGCCCATCTCGGCGAGCAGCCTGCGCCCGTTGCGCAGCGGCGTGGCTGGGTCGTACGTCTCGGCGATGAGCAGCACCGGGTTCTTGAGCGTCTTGTTGAGGTCGCCGCGGTACACCTCGGCCGGCGTGGGCCAGTAGTCTGTGAAGTGCTGGCAGGGGAAGACGTCGAAGAAGCGCGAGTTGCCCGAGACCCACGACTTGGCCGTCATGTTCGCCCACAGCGACTCCCACCAGTCGAGGCCGTCCTCGGGCAGCGGAGCGTCGTATCCGTCTGAGCAGATGACCATAAAGGTCAGCTCGTCGGTGGACGGCTTCTTGTTGGGAAGGGACGGGAGGGTGGGATCGTATTCCCATGCCGAGTGCTCGAGCATGATGGAAGCAAGCGTCGAGTTTCCTGCTTCCAGCTCGTACAGCAGAGTGGCCAACGCGGGCCACGAGAACGCATTGTAGAGAAAGCCGTAGATGGCGCCGACCAGGCCAGAGTACGTGATGAGAGACGGGCCGCTGAAGTCTGTGTATCCTGGCACGGGTCGCGCAATAAGCGAAGTGATGAGCGCTTCCATCCGGGACTCCAGACCGTCCAGAGTGACATTTTTGCCATCATCCACCGGCTTGGCCAGATCGCAATGCTCGGGTCCAGCGCTGATGCACTCCCCGAGGAAGCCATCGTGCCAGGCATCCGTGGCATTGTCCAAGGCGGTCCAGCCAAAGCCTCCCAGAAGCCTGTGGTCCCTGACATACTCGGTGCCGTCCAGGATCATCCGGCCGACGCTCGACGGAAACATGTTTGCATACGTCTGCCCGATGCCCGTGCCGTACGAGATCATGTGCGCCGTGAGCTCCTCCTCCCCAAGGGCCTTGCGGATCTCCTCCAAGTCGCGCGCGACAAACGCCGTGCTGACGAACCGGGGCAGGTCGCCGTGCGTCTTGTAGCAGGCGCCAAAGATGGCATCGTTCAAGGCGTCGGCGACCTCGAGCTGAGCCCTCGGCGAGGCGAGAACCTCGCGGTACTGCCCGGCAAACATGGACCAGTGGTCCCTGTCGGCGTCAAAGGGGAAGCACGAGAGGGCGGGCAGGGTCGTGTTGACGCCGCGAGGATCCCAGCCCAGCACGTCAAAGGCGCCGCCGCTCAGGCGCTCCGAGAAGGCTTCTGCAAACCGCCAGACCAGAGACGTTCCGCTGCCGCCGGGGCCGCCGGGCTCGACGACGATGGTGCGCTCGCTCTTGTGGCCGGCGGACGGCTTGGAGCGGCCGCGGACGGGGGCGAGGCCGGAGACCTGGTACTTTGTCACGGCAAGGCGCGTGATGCGGGTATCAGAGGCATTGGTGTAGTCGAGCGGAACGTCGAGCCATCCGCACAGGTAGATGCCGCGGCCAGCAAACGGGTCGTGTCTGGGGCGAGCTTCCGTGTCTTGGTCCTCCGTCTTGTTGCCCCAGCTCCAGTGCTTGGGATTGGGGTCAAAGAGCTTCGACCAGCTCTTCTCGGGATGGCGGTCATCGAGAGCGGGAGGGACGGTCACGTTGGTGCATGGGAGAAAGTGAAAGGGATCGTTTGGCCGAGGGAATCTGCCATAAGGAGACGGCCTCTTGCAGTCATGGTGATGATGGTTGTGATCATGATGGTGATTGTGGTGCCGATGAGGAGGATGAGGATGAGGAGGCAGCTGGAGATGATGGTAAAGCCCGGCCAGGCAGACAAGAGCAGCAACGCAGGCCGCCCTGAGATGCCACGACCTGCGCTTCCTGGTCTGCGGGACGGCGGCAATAGGTGGCGAGGCCGAGACCTCTATGTCCGTCCTTTCCGTCTTTTCCATCTTGTTCTTTGCGACAACAAAGACGCGAAGAGAAGTCGGATGTAAGAGTTGATGCATTTATTCCGACCGTACCTAGGTATGCTAGCAAAAGGTACCCCGGGACGCGCACGCAACTGACCGGGGGTGGCGTGTTAGTGCCAGGAACGGCACGAGAGGGGATCCTCCTCTCCTCAAACGACACAAGGAACACGGATACACTCAGCAGGCCCTTTGCAACGGCCCAGAGCCAACGGCATCAATGCTCAGGTATGAGTAACTGTACAGTCGCTGGGCATTGTGTAGTTGACATGAGTGCTCGATAGGTAGCTAAGATATCGTATCCGCTTCTGAGCGGCTCAACCGACGTTGAACTAAGCATCACATGGGGGCGAACAGCCTTCAAGTTCAACATTCTCACAAACCAAACCACGACTCAAATATGGGAGCAAGCCGTGTATACTACATGAGCGTTAAAATAAATTATTGATACCTGGCTTCTGAGTTCCCAATCTGTTCAGAACAAGTACTCCGTATCCTGGTTCAGCACCGCATCTCATCCGGTTACTAGTTGCCGCTTCGGAAGCCGTACCCAGGGCGAGCCGCGGGGAGGGAGGGAGATGTCCCATTGGAGTGCTTCGACTTTACATAGTGGAGGGCATGTACTTGAGAGTAGGTAGCACAGCATAGCTTCAAAGCCCTTTCCATGACGGGATCTTTGTTCGCTCCGTCGGAAAAGCTATGAATATAAGAAGCGGCCGGATGTATGGGTGAAAGATTGATCGCGATGGAGTCAATCTTGTCTCTTCGGCTTTCGCTATAGCTTTCGTTCTCTTCTATATCATGTTTAACCTGTGAGAGGGGACCTGATCCGGGACAACAACACGCAGAAAACCCCAGGCTCATGCGTACCCGTACCGCCTTCATCCCACACCGGCCGCACGCCATGTTAGTGAAGAAGAAGCCCATCTCGTCGGACTATGGGAATTGGGACTCGCCAATCACCTCCGACTTTGTTGTTTCCAAAGTCCGGTCCTTCATAGCTCCTCGTGTTTGTGTAAGATGCCATGATGCCTCCTCATATATCTCTCTTTGATGCCATTCTGCTCGGCCTCACAGCTCATTGCTTCCTGCAGCCACGCACCGGACGGGCGTACTTCGCCGAGAGCAACGGCGCACGAAGAACCATTGTGCAAGTCTCTCCCGACGACACTCTGAAGGAAGTCCTGCCTGAAGATTTAAGCTGCCAGAATACGGTATACGAATACGGCGCCGGCTTATACGATGTGCTGCCCGATGGACGGCTCATCTTCTCCGACCAAGACAACGCAGTGAGGATCTTGGAGCCAGACGCAAAGTATTCGTCCGTGCTGCTCCAATCTCCCACCTTGCGATATTCGAGTTTCCAAGCGAACAAAAAGACCCCGTGGGTGCTCGCAATCGAAGAAGACCACACAAAAACCTCTGCCGCCAATGTCAGAAACTATCTTGTGGCCATCGACATCCTGACGGCTGAGGTCAAGAGGATCGTCTCCGGTGCCGACTTTTACTATATACCGCAGTCCAATGCGGACGGAACCAGGATTGCATGGCTTGAATGGAACCATCCGGGACTGTTCATTGATGCCTGCAAGCTGTATGTCGCTGATTTCCACCTGGATGGTACTATTAGCGGTGTCCGTCACATTGCTGGTGGAAACGGCGAAAGCACCACAGAGCCGCGATGGGGCGTGGATGGAGCTACTCTATTCTTTGCGCAGGAAAGCGGCGGCTATCGTCAGCTCTTCAGGCTCAATCCTGGTGGTACCACTCCCAGCAAGATCAAGCTCAGGGGTTTGGAGACGTCAGAGTTGGGCGAAGTCAGCTTCTTGGAGGGGAGGTAAGAATTCCTGTACCTGAATGATGTCTTCTCTCCAGATGGTGGCTTAGCTGGTCTAACACGGGCATGATACAGCTGTACGTTTGTCCCCGTCACGGAAAGATTCATGGCAGCCGTCGGCACATCAAACGGCACGCGCCGTCTCCTCATCATCGACCTCCACGATGACTCGTGGCGAGAGGCTGCTGATGGGGATGTGCTCTGCCACACTGCCTGGGATGCCGTTGCTCGATTCGACGACTCTCATGTCATTATAGTTGGCACCGGGACTCGTATTCCCCACGCAGTACACAAAATCAACATTCACCAGCCAGAACGCAGCAAGATCCTGCGCCTCGCGGTCGACGAGCAGTTTCCCAAGGAACTCATCGCCGAACCTGATCTCATCTGCCTCTCCTCCAAGGGATTCCCGAACCATACCATCTATGGGTTCTTCTGGGAACCCACCAGCGACAGGTACGAACTGGACCTGAGCGTTCCATTCCCGCTCATCATCAACGCCCACGGCGGTCCGACCGCTCATGCCGGCCCCGGGCTCTCATGGAGGATCCAGTACTTTACGTCCCGGGGCTACGGCTACTTTGCCATGAACTACACGGGCTCGACCGGCTACGGACGAGACTACCGCAACGCCCTATGGGGGAACTGGGGCCACGTCGATGCTGCCGATGCCGACGCCGCAGCCAGCTGGTTCGGCCAGATCAGCGCCATCGGCAAGATTGGCATCACCGGCATCAGTGCCGGCGGCTACAACACGCTGCAGTGCCTGACGCGGTTCCCCGATACGTTTGCCGGCGGAGTCTGCGCGTCTGGCGTCTCGGATCTGAAGAAGTTTGATGAGAAGACGCACAAGCTGGAGCTGCACTACACGCAGGCACTCGCCCTTCCAAAGGACGCAAGTGACGAGGAGCGAGACGAGATTTATAGAGAACGCAGCGCGCTATACCAGGTTGATAAGTTCAAGGCCCCCCTGTTGCTGCTGCACGGCCAGGAGGACACGGTTGTGCCCTTGGAACAGGCGCGGCTGATTGCAGCGTCGCTTGAGAAGAGTGGGAAAGATGTCAAGCTTGTGGAGTTTCCTGGTGACGGTCATACGCTTTCTCACCCGGAGAGTGCAAAGGGATGGCTGGAGGAGGAGGAGAAGTGGTGGAGAAAGACTTTGCTGTGAGAACTTGTCGAGAATATGGGCAACGATTTTAGGAGTGGATGTACGGCACATATGCTTCTGATCATGCTACGATCGTAGTCAAATATTTTCTGGCCAAGTCAGTGAGTAGAGTAATTAGATTAGTTGGTGAACCTGAATGTTGGCAACCCCCCTATCCGAAGTGGAAGAGCAATTTGGTCTCATAAGTCAATCTCTGTCGCATGCATCACGTCCGTTTACAGGTAGTCCCTCGTCTTTTCGGCACATAGCTCCCAAAACTCCTGCGCCCTTCCCGAACCTCCCTCCTCAGTGGGTTTTGAAGCCTTGACCAGGTCTGCTCTGACATTGTGCGAGATCCTACCCCAAGGAATGACGTAGCATCCATTATTCTCCAGGCCGATGTCCGTCGAGAGCCCAGCGTACAGCTCGCTCAGAGCTCCCATTCGGGGCTTGTGGAGGAGCGGGTAGGCCAGATACTTGAGATGAGGCGCGTGGCGCAGGAGGTTGGTGTTGAGAGCGCCGGGATTCAGGGACACGCTCACGATGGAAGAAGGGCCCTCTCTCCGAGCAAGTTCTGTAGCGAGGAAGTAGTTTCCAGTCTTTGAGTTGGTGTAATTGCGGTTCCGATCCTTGGGAGGCGTGCGGATCTCTTCCAGGTCGATGCCGTCGGTAGGAGCGGAGAGCTCCATGACTTGGCTGGAGAGCCAGACCACACGAACTGAGCCCTTGGGCGTGGCCTCATCTGCGGCTGTCGATTTGAGCAGGGGAAGAAGCAGCTGCGTAAAGGCAAAGGGCCCAAGACAGTTTGTCGCAAACTGCAGCTCGATACCCTGTGCCGAGACGCTGCCAACCGGGGGCTGCGAGACGCCAGCATTGTTCCAGAGCACGTGGAGCTTGGACTCCTTGGCCTTGAACTCCTCCGCCGAGGCCTTGATGCTGGCCAGGTCGGCCAAGTCCAGATGCAGGAATTCGAGGCTGCCGTTGGAGCTACCAGAAGCCTGGATGTCGGCGATTGCCTGGCGAGCCTTTTCCTCAGAGCGCGTCGCAATGTAGACTTTTGCGTTCTTGAGGTACAGAATCCGGGCGAGCTCAAGGCCAATGCCAGAGGCGCCGCCGGTGACGATGAAGACCTTGCCCTCTTGATTATCCACGTTGGCCTCTGTGAATGTTGGCTTGGGGGGGAAGAACTGCGACCACTGGGCTCCCATTGTGGCGTTGGCAAAGTTGAAGCGACGGTGATGGATTAGCGATGGTGATGGTGGTGGGAGAGATGGATTCTGTAGGCAATGTGTCTCGTAATCAAGACTTGATGAGCGACAGAAAGAAGAAAACCTGAAGCCAGATGAAAAGGAGAGAATGCCTCGAAATCACACAATCCTGCGCAATCTGCCCATCCAAGCGGCGAGCGGCCAACACCAACCTCTTATACCCGCATCAGCAGGGATATTGTCGTGTTGGACAGTGAATGAGGGGGAACTGCAGCACGACTCCGTCCAAGTGCATCCGGTCGAATCATGTGCATTCCAGAGTCACTCTGCACGAAAGAGAGAAAGAAGAAAAGGACTCAGTGAGGGACTGTTTCAGGCTGTGATGTGACTTGACGTGACCTGATGCTGTGCAAACGCCGGCCGGTAGAGCAAAGTAGAGGCACTTGAGGGCAGCCGGCAGTTCATTCCATGTGCAGGTACGCAGAGGTACCGGCAAGGTGGGGGATGGGATCGATGCTTCCCGTACCCACCGCTCCTCCACATGGTTCTGTCTACCTCAACTTTAATTGGAAACCGCAGACATCGCCTGCCGTGAAGGCGGGCCACACGAGGTACTCCCTACGAGCCGTCTCCATGCAGATCCGTACATGTACTTTATCGGGCGCAGCATTCACTCTACCCTGCCGTACCGCTACCTGCTCGGGCCAGTCATGGCCTTATCTGCAACGCCAAATCCAACCGCAGGCTGCTGCACTACCACCCTCTTCTTACTCCCCGCCGTACAAGCATATACATACAGACGCCTGAGCACGAGTCCTACGCAATCCTCCTCCCCTGCCTACAGCTCGTGGTATCGCGGGCAGTAGATGCTCCAGACGAGGTTGCCGCTGCAGCTGTACATGACGGCCTCGACGTACGCGCGGAGATCCCGCGACAGCGCCAGGTTCTGCTTCGTCTCGTCGACATTCTCGCAGAAGACTCGCGCATACCGCCGGATCTCCTCGGCACAGATGGCCTTGGCCTCCTCCTCGCTGACCTGCTGCTCGTTCATGATGACCCAGATGGCGTTGAAGACATAGTCCTGGCCCGCCCTCTCGGCTGCCTGCCGCTCCTTCTCCCACGAGTACAGGTCGTTGGTGAGGCCCAGGACGGCGTATCCAGGCCGGGCCAGCTCCATGCAGAGGTCGTACTCTTCGTCCGGGATCGTCAGGGCCATCCCGAAGGTCAGCGTTCCGAACCAGATCCTTGATATCCAAAGTCAGCATGTGCTTCCGCGGCTTGGAAATATTGAGACTCACAACTCGCCAGCGTCAATCACCCTCGCGGGAACGTATTCTGCCAACGTACGGAACGGCGACTCTCTGGTCTGAGATGCGAGCTGCACGAATCTCGCCCACGCCTTCATGGACGTGATGGCCCGCGGGGGGTCAATGGCTAGCATCTCCTTCAAGATTTGTGCTTGAAGCCGCTTCTCGGGGCGTGATCTGCTGTCCGTCCTGCTGTCGAGAACGCCCTTTCCAGAAAAGGCCTCGAGGATGCCTGGCTGTGCCTTTGAGATGTTCTCAAGGTCCATGTTTTCCATTTCGTCTTAACAAGACAGTTAGCGCTACCAGAATTGGCCGGTTACGCCATGTCAGAGTGAAGCAATAACTCACCATCGTAGATGAACGCAAACTCGTTGGCATACGAGATGATCTCGAGCCTCTCTGGCAAGCATTCCGGAACAGTCACCTGCATGAAGCCAAAACGATCCCCGAGGCCGCCTTTGTAGTCGCCGAGTGGCTTTACATGCTTGGACCAGTCGCCTTGAGCTCGCTGTGCCCCGCGGACTTCCTTCATAGGCTCCTTGTGCCCTCGGAGAGCAATGCCATTGTCCAGCCCATGTGTCTCATAGACATTGGGATCGATGATCTCTGAGTAGCGGTACTCCATGGTTTCTGACGGTATCGTCTGTAGTATTATCTGCACAATGGTGGACCAATGATACAGGGTGATGCAATTTGAAGATACCTTGTTACCTTATATGCCGGAGCCCAGCATTGGGTGAAACTCAGCGACATTTTATCCTCGACCGGGGCAGCCTTGTGTCCCGTCGGAATGCCCAACCGCTGGACCACGGGGGATGAGATGATTACGCATGAATCACCGCCGTGCCCCGTTTGACGAAGGCCTTTTCCCCAACGTTACACCGTATATGGCGCCGCGATCCCTGGGATATCTGGTCGACAAGTCGACCACGGCCCACGACTGCCGCTTATAGAAAGTGTACGGCGTCAGCATGTCCGGCACTTACACCTGCAGCTCCCTGGGCTACCTATCAGGCTGTGCCCGGCGCGTCCTGCATTTGGCTGCACCGAATTAGCCACCGAGGTTCACAAGATGCAGGTTGAGACTTATCCACACACCTCACCTCATGCAGCCTATTAATACTGCATACGATGCAACATCGGACGCCCCTCACCTTGCCGCAACCCACGACCCGCGAGTTGTTGGCTCTGATACTATCCAATCTCTGCTCGATTCTGCAAGGCCCTTCGGCCGTATTACCCGCATCACATGGGATGAAGGATCCATTCCTTTGGGGAAGGCTGAAGGAGCCCGTATGTCGGTACGTGGAGGCTTCGTCCGATCAGCAGCAAGCCATTCATTTGGATTACCCTGAGACGGGCCAATTGAGATCCCGAAACAGCGTCTCAGCGGCATGATTCCGCAACACCATCTACGAATATGCCCCTGCGTATAGTAGCTGCTGCTAAAGGCCGGGGTGGTGTACATGTGGTGTAGGCAAGGTACTGTTCTGATATCTCCCCTCGAGGCCAACCTGACATCTATTCTATCTGCCTGCACGCCCAAATCTTTTCTTTCTCTTCCTCTGTCAATCCCACCTTCTCTCTCTCAAGATCATCTGCAAAAGCAGTGCGGCCATGTACTTGTCAGCCATCGTGGACAGGTTGGCGTCGCAGCCCCTTGCGACGACCGTCCTTTGGGCTACAGTCTTGTACTTCATCGTCTACAATGTGTACCTCACGATCTACCGTCTCTGGTTCTCTCCGCTGGCCAAGTTCCCGGGGCCCAAGTTTGCCGCCGCCTCTTTCTGGTATGAGTTCTACTATGATTACTGGCTGGACGGCAAGTACCTGTTTGAAATCGAGAAGATGCACAAGAAATACGGTATGTGGGATGAACCCTCGCTGTCAGTACCGGCACTGATCTCTTTAAACTCCAGGCCCTATCGTCCGTGTGAATCCGGACGAGCTCTCTATTCATGATCCCGAGTTTTACAACGAGGTCTATGTTACGGAGAGCAAGCGACGAACCGAGAGCTACGATGTCTTTTGCAAGGGCATCGACTTTGATGGTGAGGCCGGTTGTCCATTCTGAAGAGAGAGAGAGAGTTTAGTTGCTGAAACTTTTGCCATAGGCTCCCATCTGCTCACCACAGATCACGACCTGCACAGAAAGAGAAGAAAGCCCATGGAGGGCTTCTTCTCGCGCAAAGGTATCACGAGATTGCAGCCCATGCTCGCCGAGGTGGCCCTGCACCTCGAGTCCCGCTTCAGAGAGCTCGAAGGCACAAACTCGGTCATCCGGCTAGACCATGCCTTTTCTGCCTTTTCGGGCGATATCATCGGAAGGATTTGCCTTGGCACCGACGACAGAGGCTCCCATGGCGACCGCTTTCTCGATTCGCAGGATTTTGCTTCTGACTGGTATGCTTTCACACCCATTCCACGCGAAACCAGTGCTAATTATGCTGCCGTTTCAGGTACGATGTCATCCACGCAATTGTGCGATCCATCCCGCTGTTTACAGGGTTTCCTCAGATTATTCAGTACGTTTTACGTTCTGGGTCAATAGTTAGCGGAAACTGACATGATGAACAGAATCCTGAGCCTACTCCCCGAAAGCCTGTTGCTCAAGATATACCCGAAAGGGCAAATGTTCAACATCTTCCGCCAAGTGAGTGCACAGATTACCTTGAGCCATACCAGTTCTAACGAGATTTTCAGCGAGCGTTGGAACAAATCCGCATTGCAAACAGGGACAAGTCCGAAAAGGACGCCAACGACATCTCCATCTTCCGACACATTGCAAACAGTGACATGCCGGTGGAGGAGAGGACCGAGGAACGACTGGCCAAGGAAGCCCAGGTCCTGCTTGGCGGCGGCACTGCAAGCACGGCACGCACTATCGGCTTTGCCTCCTACTATATCCTCTCCCGGCCAGAGTTGAGAAGCAAGCTCGAGGCTGAGCTACGGGAGCCGATGGCCAACTGGCCCCAGCAGGTTCCTACCTGGGCCGAGCTTGAGCAGCTGCCGCTCTTACAGGGAATCATCAAGGAGTCCCTCAGGTACGTGGACGAATGAGCCCAACGAGAATCGCCGTTTCTGACATTTTTGTGTGTAAACAGGCTCAGCTATGGCGTCATGCACCGCTTGCCGAGAGTATTTCCCGACCAACCACTCCAGTACAAGGACTGGGTGATACCGATTGGGGTGAGGCAGTCTGACCACCTTCTGTGCCCTTGATGGCACTACCATCCGTATTCCGCGTCAAGGTAACAGTGGCTAATCGAGACCACACAGGTCCCCGTGGGCATGTCTGCCTATCTGATGCACTCAGACCCTCAGGTCTACCCCAATCCGGGCGAGTTCATACCCGAGCGGTGGATTCACGATGTGACTCCGGCCATGCATCGGTCGTACGTGCCCTTCTGCCGCGGATCGAGGAATTGTCTGGGAATGAAGTAAGCAGCTCCTATCGCTCCCCCTCGCGGGTTATAGTCGTACTGGCAGAAAGCTAACACAATGTGTCCAAACAGCCTGGCCATGGCGGAGATGAGTCTTATTTTGGCAGTTCTATATCGTCCTAACGGCCCCAAGCTGGAGCTGTACGAGACCGACGAGAGCGATGTCAAACAAGCACATGACTTTTTGATCCCCCTTCCAAAGCTTACAACAAAGGGAGTGCGGGCATTGATTCGTTAGAGGATAGTCATTCTTTTTGTGTAGGTAGTATTCTAAGGGGGGGCGAAGTGACATTCAGGGCAGAGACAAGGTGCCATAGATGGGACCTTGATGGAAATGCAGTCCACAGCACTGTCGCTCCAAAACGTGGCATCATTTGTAGTAAGCGAGCGGGTTGAACTCTTCAGCTTGCGTCCATCTAAGGTTGTTTTTGTTTGTCAAGGTCAGGGATGTGGGAGAATCCAGGGCAGGATACGGCTACAGTTATTATTCACCCTTGCTGGAAGTGGGAGATCTGTGGTCAATAATTCCCGACGGCGTTAAGATGCTCTACTATCACTATTACCTTCAGATGCCGAGATCAGATAGAGGAGTTTCCCAGAGAATTGGCCTTCGTCTTTCGTCCACGTACTGCCGCGCGTCTGGCATCAGCATCCTTCCAAGATCCTTATCCGGCATTCCTTCCAAGAAAGCCTCCGGACAGCCGAGTGTATGCTGTTTTTGGTCTTTTGGGGGCCAAAGCCACGAAGATCCCGAGGCAAAAAGGTGAGGAGAAACAGCCCAGTCTCCCCCCACCGAGGGCGATCTCACGCTCAGACCACCGCATCTGTCGACATCGTGCGCGATATCTGCCGTCCAGTCCCATGCTGAATACAGGCTATGCAGGTCTTGTAAGCGAGTTGGTGCATGATCAGAGGATGCGCCAAAGCCTCGGCCGGTGGGGGGTCCAATGAGAGAGATCTGTGGGCCATAAAAGGGCCCTCGTCGTCAGTTGTGCATGTTGGCCATGTAACGCTGAGCTGAGAGACGGGAACGACGCTCGCCACTTTGCCTGCCTGCCTGGCGCTTACAGTAGATGCTGTTTGTCATGGATGGTTAGGGAGACACAACACAGCACGAAAGCAAGAAAAGAAGGCACGCGAGAGAGTTTGTGTGAGAGGGAGGGAGAGAGAAACACGGCTGATGGAACGGGACCGTGACTGGGGCCAGGCAGAATGCAAAAGTCACCCACACGATGCAACACCAAGAGGCGCAGCAGGGTTACGGACTTTGACGAGTACGGATGGCCAAGAGGGGAAAAACCACAGAAAACAGGCAATGCATATTGCGAGAAGGATGACTGCGACTGGGATTTGGCCCCCAATTATTGCTGCTGCTGCAACGCTGAAAGACATGGCCTTTGCCCGTCCGTCTCCAGGCCTGTGGTTTTACACAGAGTCTCACCCCAAGACACTCTCAGGTTTACCCGCTCTGACAGCTTACCATGCAGGCTTTCGGCGTGCGACCACCAACAAGCGGCTCGCACTCGCTTCACGTGGGTGATACGGGGGACAGGGGAGGGAGGAGGGTCACGTCAATCGGTATGTGTCCTTGTCTAACCACCCGCAACAGTCCCCCCCCCTGTCCAAGCCCGATATCCCTGTCAAGCTCGCGAGTAACACAAGTTTGGACAGATACAGAGACAAAAACAGAAACAGAAGCACAACACGAGGAGCCAAAGTTGGTAAAACAAGCTATCTACTGGTATGCGACGGAGGAGGAGGCGGTAGTAGTAGTGTCCCTGAGCCGTACTCGCACCTCGATCGGGCGCTTTTCTACAAGCAGAAACGTCCTCAGATCCTCCCACCGCGTCCTGCGGTCCTCCACCACCCCAAAGTCAAACGTCCAGAGCAGCTTGGTCATGATGAGCCGCATCTCGGCCCATGCCAGGTGCTGGCCCAGGCAGGCCCGGGGCCCGTCGCTGAACGGCTGCACAACCTGGAGGCGATCATGGAAGAAGGGCGACGCTGGGTCTGTGCGGCTGGCGGGAAGCCAGCGCTCCGGTTCGAATGACGTGGCCGCGTGGAAGTTTGCCGGGTCGCGGTTCATGGAGTATGCCTGTATCGAGACGGGAGTCTGGGTTCGTGGTCAGCGGCCGCCCCCATGTTCGGTTGATGTTGATAGTAGTAGTAGTCAGGGATCATGGTGAGAGATGCAACGGTTGCACGCGAGAAGAGGGGGGGGGGGATAACGAGCATGGCAAACAGGGGCAAGGAGACTGAAAGCAACATGATGCAAAGGATGTACGGGGGGGTTTTGCCTTACCCCTCCTGGGAGCCACGTTCCGCATACTGTATCTCCTCCCTCATGGACGACCCTGGGGAGGACCCAGGGGATGGGCGGACAGAGCCTGAGGCCCTCGTTTAGCACGGCGTTGAGATATGGTAGCTTGCGGAGAGAGTCGAGGTCGATGTCGCCCTCGGCCTCAAAGGCCCCGCGGATCTCTCGCGTCAGGGCCCCGAGCTTGTCTGGGTTGTTGACCAGGTAGTTGAGGGTTCCGCTCAGGGCCGTGGCCGTTGTCTCACTCCCTGCCGTCGTCAGCACCATGAAGGTAGTGTGAATGGTCCCCGGGGGCAGCTCGCGGCGCTCTGTGCCCCGTATCACATGGGACATGATGTCGGGACGCTCCAGCTCAAAGTTGAGACGCCGGTCCACCTTGTCGACGATCTGCTGGTAGTGGTCCCTCTGCATCTTCCTCAGAGACTGTGGGATGCACATCATGAGGAGGCGCTGGACTATTGGGTAGAAGCGTGCTGCCGCGACAAACGACGCTGCCTTGACGCTGTTGAAGAGCAGCGCAATCCAGGGGTGGTACTTGGAGTCCTGGAGGCAGTTGAAAGACTCGCCGAATCCGAGGTCGCCAAAGATGTCAAAGGCGATGAAGTTGAACCACGGCACGACGTCGACGACGGCGCCGCTCTTGGGCCCTTTGCTCGCCCGCTCCCGGAACCTCTCCACCAGGAGGTTGACGTAAAAGTGCAGAATGTGCTCCTGCTCTTTCAGCGCCTTCGGGGTGAAGCCAGGCGCGAGAAGGCTGCGGATGCGCGCATGGCGCTTCGGGTCGATGGCGCTGAGCAGGGACTCGGGCATGCCAGGCTGAGACTTCCACCAGATGGGGTCCTTGAGGAAGGGCTGGTGGTCTTTCCGCAGCTGGAAGATGTCTCGCCAGGCGTCCTCGTGGGCAAAGGTGACCTCGTTGGGCGCGATGCGCAGGACGGGGCCATACTGGCGGTGCAGGCGCTCGATATCATGGACGATGGTGCCCCTGAGCAGCGACCTGATGAAGGGCAGTCGTGAGGCCTTCCAGGCGGTTGCGCCGGGAACCTTGGCCAGGGGATGGAAATACAGATTATAGATTATGCGGAGCACATTGTACTGGAACGGTTCCGGTCAGCCCATGATTCTGATTTTCGTTTCCATGTCTTCACTCGTCTTTGTGCTGTTTTCCTCTTGGCGCTCATACGGTTATGAGGGTGAGGGCTGTGGTGCTGAGCCACGCCAAGGCCGAGACATGCCATCCCCAAAGAGTCACCATCGTGACACTTGTATAAATGGAGCTGATCCAGTCAAATCATATAGTGTAAGAGAAAGACGAGATTCATGGAAGTAAAAATAAGGATTTCATTTTCTTCATTCTCTTTAAATGACAGACGAGAACGAACCCGTGAATGAATCGAACGCCTTGGCCAACAAGCCGCCTGCCAACGGCCTTCCGCAACTCTCCGTCCACGCTTCTTCTCACCCTCGACACGACGCCACCAACGTAGGACGGGACATTCCTGACCCTCTGCCCTGCCTGCGCCAAATGCAACTCGACCATGCCTAATCCCGTGTCTTACCCTCTCCAACTCAACTGGACACAGCCAAGCCCCAGTTTACAAGCCCCCTTCTGGCTCTCCAATTGGCAGCCTCGCGGGGAGGGTTACACCCAGAGAAGCCCGAAGGATTCGGTCGTTGTGCCCCCCCCTCCGAGCTTAGTCCTTCTGCAACACAACAGTGAGCGCATCTATTTATTGGAGCAAAATATTGGCTGGTGAATGGGGGAGAGGAGGTGACTTCTCTTGCGTGCCCGGAGTGGAAAACAGACGGCAGCGTGGTGGAGGGTGTGAGTGGTGTGTGTCTGTGCTGCTCTGTTGATATGCAATCTGGCACACAATATCAAGCATGGGGGTTCTTCCAACAAGGCAGTTGAGGCCGCTGCGCAGGTTTACGGTTATCCTTGTGCCGACAGGATCAGCTTCGATGCGCTCCATTTAGATTAGCCATGCCTCTCTGCAAGTATGTCTCTCCCTCACTCAGCCCGAGGGGGGTTCCGTGTTTCTGTTTTCGGCGCATTATTACTATCTACCCTTTGCCGTTCGGAATACATATCAGTTATGCGCCTCCGCTCCCCTGGGTTCCAAGGATCGTGCGTCTAACAACGCACTGCTGATCTGCTGCTGCTGCTGCTGCTGCTGCTTCCCGGCCTGCTGCAGGTTCCTGCTTCCACTCATTTGAACACCAGCTCCAGCCACCGAACCCAAAGAAAGAAACAAAACGAGCTTCCAGGGGGGGAAACCGACAGATTCAAGGACAATCATGACTTCACAATGGCTAGGTTCAATGCCCCCTCCTCCGGGAGTCGAGCCGAACTTTATCGATCCGTATGACCATATGAAGGAGAACATTGCGCTGCACTCGGTCTTGTTGACCATCACCACGCTGGCCGTGGGCATGAGGCTGTATACGCGCAGTATTATCACAAAGGCCAAGCTGGGCGTGGATGATTGTGAGTTCCATCGAGCCGCTATGGTTGTTCTGCGTCAAGTTTCTGACTTTATGTTGTTTGATAGACTTTTGTGTGATATCATATGTGAGCATCATGGATAGAGAAAGACCATGTTTCGAACAACATCAACTGACGTGGGTAGTTTTTAACCGTGGGGTTCTCGGTATTCATGTTTCTCTGTAAGTAAAGTTTACCTACCTCTATCCTCTATTCTTACAAGTTCTGGTAGAATAACCATCAGCACAGGTTATCACAAAGGCATCGGGCGCCATCTATGGAATGTCCCTGTTCAATGGGTCGTCGATATGCTAAAGGTACAGCGTTCCCCTTCACGGCATGTTTATCTTGAACGGCGCAACTAACGGAGACGGCCTATTCAGTTCTTCACCATCGGCTCATACATCTACTTACTTGCCTCCGGCTGCGTCAAACTCACCTTCCTCTTCTTCTACTACCGCATCTTCTCTGGATCTACCAAGATGCGCTACCTCATCATTGCCGGCATCGTCTTGACATTTGGCTTCACCACCAGCCTCTTCTTCGGCACCGTCTTCAGCTGCATCCCCGTCGAGCGGGCGTGGAACCCAATCGTCCCTGGCCACTGTCTGAACCCTGTCTATCTGCCTTATGTCTCTGGCGTCTCGAGCTCGGCTCTGGACTTGTACACGCTCATCTTGCCTGTGCCTGTCGTTGTGGGACTTAACATGGACCTGAAGCGGAAGTTCAAGGTCGTTGCGGTGTTTGGCATTGGTCTCTTGTGAGTGACGAGCCATCTTATTCTACTATTCTTCAGGGATGATGTTTAACGTGGATAATCTTGATAGTGCCTGCGCTGCGAGCCTTGTCCGCCTTGGAATGACGCCGATTCTCCGCAGCAACCCCGATGCTTCATGGAACCTCTCCTGGATGGCCGTGTGGGCGTACGTTATCCCGACAACACCTCTTTCACTATTCGACGATATGTGCTAATCCATACTCTACTGCAGGACCGTCGAGATCAACGTCGGTCTCATCTGCGCCTGTCTGATGCTTCTCCCCGCCTTCCTCAACCACGTCCTCGAAGGCCCCATCCTGAACTCCATGTCGCGCCTCTTCTCCGGCGCCTTTGGACGACTTTCCGGACGGAGGACCCAAGAGAGCAAGTCGCCCATCGGGGGCCACGACACGTGGGTTCCCTACGTCGAGCAGCGAGACTCCGATTCGCAGTTCAAGGGCCTCAACAACCACCAGATGACGGTGCATGCAAGATAAAGGGCAATAAGGCCGAGGGAAGGAGGGAGTGTATTGGGAAAGAGAGCTGCTTTTTATGGCTGCTGTGTACTATCAAAGTTTTTGGGATGTTTGGTAAGAGCTGAATATTCACCTTTGGAGGGTTTCCGTTTGCCCTTTTGTGTTCAATTTCTCTTCTCGAGACCTGGATCGACTTTTCAGCGAGGGCTTGTTGTAACTCTTTGGTATAAAGCCTCTTCTCGAGAAGGAGATGGCCTTTGCTGTTATGTTCAGAGAATTGATCAGTTTCGTATCACTCTCCTCTGTCGCTCTGAATATCGGTGACGGTGGGCTATGGATATCTTCTGGTCAGTCTCTCGATGAAGGAGCACTATTCTTTTGAGGCACGTTGCATAAGAGGATAACAAGGCTCCAACAAAGGTGAAACTTGCGGTCGATGCAAGACATGGACGGATGAAACCCTGCGAGGTAGTAGCAAGAAGCTCATAGTGAGAGTGATTGTTCCACAAGTCAAAGCAGTATATCAGATAGTAGCGGGCAGACAACCCCATCACCTCACTTCGCGATGGGGGTGTAGCATCTGTCATTGCAGTAACAAACTTTGAAGCTTCCAAACACATAGACACAATTATTGAGATATTTCATGTCGTATGCCACTTTTCATGGGCAATGATGAGTGTCAAGGTCTTGCGCTCACAAGATTCTGACCCGGTGCGGCTTGTAGTCCTCTCCGGTGCCCGCCGCAGACCCCCTTTTCTTCTCGTTGCCTCCCACATGCTCAACACTCACTCTGCAGCCCCTCTCCGAGGAGTATCTGAATTTGAATCTATGCAAAGACGCTGCTAGTTGCCCTGAGCTTACCTACCTATGTAGTACCTGATAGCACGTCTCTTCATGTGTGGAAATTTCTCCAGGCTGCTGCTTTATACATCGCATGAGGTCACCTGACTCTCCGCTCTGTGCCATCATCACTGCTGCTGCTTTGCTTTTACCGTTCCTCCTCCTCCTGCTGCTGCTGCTGCTGCTGCTGCTCCCTTTTCTCATCATCATCACCACCAAGTTCTCCAGTCCCAAGCACATCTCTTACTACTTCGCAGCATCAGCTCAGGGCCTCAATTTCTTCTATGTTTAAATCTGCTTCCTGATAGCTGCTTTTTCCTAACTTGCAGTGCTGCCGGACTTACCTTTCCCATACGATTGCCATTTTCTTCATCTCCGTCGGCACTCGATCTCTATTGGCGCATGTGCTCTCTACAAAAAAGAACATAGTAGGCCTCCCGCATGATTGGATATGGAGTTCGGTTCGCTGCGTCGAAATTCTGTTGGCCGCCGGCTGCCAGCTGGCGGCAGCCTTGGGCACCAACTCCAGACAGCTGTCAACGCCAGCGCGGCCAATATTTATCATGACGCGTTCCCATTTCTCTGATCTTTCCGTTTGCAAAACTTCCACGCTCTCCAAACTCCGCACTTCGCGTTTTCTTCTCTCTTGTGTTCTGCCAGTTTGCGTCCCAACTCCCAACCTCCTCCCAGCCCTTCGGCATGGCGTCGCTACGGTCTATCATCGACCATGCGGTGCTTCCTCCCAAGACGCCAGGGGCCAAGGAAGATAACTACGACGCGATCTCGGGCGAGTTTCTGAAGAGGCTTCTGAACGCTTGCGAGAAGCTGAGGCATCTGGCTGGCCCGCCGCTCGCAGATGCCCTTCACTCTTTGAGCGAATCACTCCGAGCATGCAGAGCTCTGAACAGAGGACAACTCGATAAAAAAGCGCTGCTGAAACACTTCAGCCTGCTCAAACCGGACCTGACTCTCGTTTGCTATGTTGTCGAGCAGAACGCCGCAGTCCTCATCCGACGCGAGATCGACGAGTAAGTCTCTTGACCCCTTTGCCGGGACAATTAGTCCGGGTTACTGACCACGCCATGATAGAAGCAAAGAAGACTTCGTCGTTTTTGAGATTTTTGAAGTCTCTCCAATGACTGAGCATGTGCTGGCTGCAAATAATGCACTCACATGGGACTTTCCAGGCCGTGCTGTGCGTTTAAGGTCGGCCGAATTCAACAACAAGAAGTTTCAGGAAAATCTGGCTGCATTTCTTGAACAGGCGAGCATGGAAGCCATCCATCATGTGCAAGCTCGGGCCAAAAAAGCACGGGTTTCGGTCGCAGAGATTCGAGATACTCCCGATCCGGCACTGATCTCACAGATGCTTTTGGGCCTCCTCGAGGCCATCGGTGAATCTGCACCTGTTCCCAAGCTCAGGAAGAGAGTCAGAGACGATGTCAACTTCGCGACAAACGGCTTGTTGCCATGGCGGCGACTTCCTTTTTGGCTAGTACTACGAGTGGCAGCTCAAAGACATCTTCATCTTTCCCTGGGAAAATCAGGAAGAGCATGCTACAAACTGCTGATGTGCATCTTCTTTTCCGAACTGCTCGATGACGCTTCAGCGGAACTTTCATCCTTCGCCGGACCTGAACGTCTTGAGCCTGATGTGGTCATTACCCTTCGAGCCAAACTATGCCGTCGAATGATAAAACTCGAAAAGGAGAAGGTTAACGTGTCATCGACATACAAGCAGAGTTTCGACGCAGTCTTCTGCAGCACCGTTCCACATATTGAAGAATCGATCCGGCAAGCGAGCAATAATGTCCAAAAGGTTTGGGAGGACTTCAAGTCAAAGACGATGCGCCGTGTCCTGAGGCTACGACCACGTGCCTCAGATGACTCTGTACGGCTATCACTTACGAATAGTCGTAGCCATCTCGACCAGCTCTTGGCAAGATACTACGTTCCTTCTGCCAACCCTGGCGACACGTCGCTGGACCTTCCCGACCCTTTGGACAAGCCGCTTCAAGAAAAACTCGCCTTCACCAACAAGATATCAAATCTGGTCCAATTGGAATTGAACATCGAAAGAGATGCACAGAAGAAGCCACTTACTCCGCAGAAAGCGAAAGCTCGCTGCCAGGAGCTCGCCAGTAGCATCCACGACTATCTCAGCCAAGTGGGCGACCTTTACAACAGGGATCCTGCTCAGCAAAGCATCAAAATCCTCTCCATCTTTGAGCTCTGGATGCGGATGGATGAGTGCGCCATCGCTTGCTGCCCACTGTTGCGTAACTATAGGCCCATCTTCGATCCTCGACTGTTGGACGTACTGCAGTTGCCTACTCTGGCGGGCATGCGACGGCTACAGGCTATCCAGGCATACTTGGCACAACGTCGGGAGAATGCCAGACATCCTCACTTTTTGCACAACCGGACGGAAGGCAGCTTTCCCGTAGAGTATGCGCGCCAGGACGTAGTTATGGGGCAGCTAATGGTCAACATCCAAGAGGCTTCGGATGTAGACCGTGCTGTCAAGGAGGCGACTTGGGAAGAGGAAACCCGTCAGTACAAAGAATACACCGAGAAAATCAACAGCTTGGAGTGCTTATGCACATTCAATGGCGAAGTTCGCGATGTCTCGAACTGCGCGAGATGTCTATACTGGCGCCGCCGAAAGCGGCTGACCGTCCAAGTTCACGAGGATTTCCTTCCCATCGACGACTCCAAACGGCAATCGATCGTTTTTGAGCTCGCTGTCCCAACATACCTGTCGGCCTACCGGAATACGACTTGGGAAATCCTGCGCGATCTGGCCCATCCAACTCGGCAGTCTTCGGCTTCACCTCAAACGAAGCTTCATAAGTGCCCCCAGCTTCAGGGCTTCATGACAGCAGACAGCAGCTGCCTTTCTTTTGCATCGATCAAAAAGTGCTTCACCCAGACCCATTACAGCTTCAATAGTGGCTTGGTTCCTCTATCGAAGATCCTTTTGCCGTTTGCCGCCGACTTTGATCTCTACGATCATAGTGCCAAAGTCTGGGTGGCAGATCTCAACAAGCATCTGACTCTGCAGCATCTTTGCGGAGTGCATATTCCACGGGGCCTCTTCGCTACCGTGATGAAGTCCCAAAGCCATTCAGCCACGGATATCGACGGCCCATCATCTCACCAGATCCAAGCGAATCTCACGAAATGTCCCCCAAATATGTCTGCGGCTGAATTTTCCACATACCAAAAGCTTCTTGCTGGTAAACAGCGTCGGTGGTTGAACATTCTTGTTGAGTTAGGGTCTTCAAATCTCAACTTCAGCAACGAAGATACCACCATGTTACTGTCCCAGTTGGCCGTCCAGGCTGGTCCCTGCCTCGAGAAGGAAACCGGGGTCCTCCGATCCGTTCATGCAGTTATGGGAGAGCAAGAATTTGTCATTGGCCTAAGAGAGCAGATCGAGAATAGGCTGACGTCCATTCGAAACAACTGGAGGGAATCAAACTGCATGGAGCTGCTGATCAACTTGTCTCTGCGAATGTTTTCTCTACTGCCCGGCAGTCAAATGCGCTGTCATTCCAAGCATCTACTCAGCACAGCTCGAGTGGCCACCTTGGCTTGGATTTCACAGCTACAGATGGAGTCTAGAAAGACGCAGGATGGAGTGGTGGCGAGTCGTATTTCCTTGTACGGTCTCAAAGCAGCCTTACTGTGTCGCCGAACCTTTGAAGCACACATCGAGTCCAAGGCACAACTGACGTCCTCAGAGCTTTCTGCCTGGGTCAAAGCGTCGGTAGCACTGCAAGAAAACCTGACATTTGGCATCAGCGGCATGCCCACGATGTTAAGAAGCATGATGATCCGGGATGCCAAGATGGCTTGCCACCTGGAGAACGCGCTTCATGAGGCTGTTCAAGTGCATTCGAATGTTCTGGAGGAGGCCCTTGGACTGACTGGACAATGTCCGACGAAGGACCAAGCCCCAACTCATTCCCCTTGGACAAGGCTTTCGAATTCCCAATGGATAGTTTGTACCAAACTTGAGCCATTTGGACGCTCGCAAGTATTTCACCTGAATGTCCTGGACGGACATTTCTTAGTGAATGGAAAGCCGCGAGGAAGTCTTCCCATGGAAATGCGCAATCATCCAGCTGTTCGATCTCTCTTCGGAAATCGCCATCTATCTGTGTATCCTTCAGTCATTCCTCATATGACACATCAGCTTGCCGAATATGTTGAGGGTTACGCTATTCATTTTGGCATGCGCGGCTCTCAGATCACCATTCGGGCTATTACAGTCACCGGCGACCAGTTTGAGCTCCTTCGCCCTGAGATATTTTTAAGGGTTGCGGACGGCTCATTCGACTTACCTGCAAGCCTAGTAGACAACTGTTTTCACTGGCTGAATCTTAAGACGAGAGTCGTCCAAGTCCGCCGGCGACCGTGGACTTGGCAGCCGCAGGATTGGCTCATTGATCTACAACGCCAATCCGCAACTCGTGGTGGCCGCGATGACGTGATACTGGTAGATCCAAAGTCTCCGGAATTCAAGCAGATATCAAGAGTCTTTGAGCACTTTGAAACGCCACGAAACTTGACCGTCTTTCAAACTCGGTCTCCTACAGGAAGACTGTCAGTTGAGCTTCATCACCTAGACCTGTCATTCCACGTCAACAAGATCGGCTTGCTTTATAGCCGTGAACTCAAAGCTTCCATTGACTTGAACCAGGATATCGGTACATGGTATGGGCTTGCCAGCAAAATTGTGCTGCGGGCTTCTGCTGATAAGGACAAGAGGAGTGTCATCATACCTATCGGAGATATGACCTGGAGTCGCCATGATATCCACGTGTCTGTGAAGTTGAGCACTTCCAAAGGGTATTCTCGATTCGAGATTGATGATTGTGTCGGTCGACTTATAGCACCACCAGAGCGCCGCTTACTCTTTCTGAAAGCCACGTGCCATGCTGCGACGTCTTTCTGTTTGCCAGATCCTCTGACAGGCCACACCGGCACTGAAGAAGCACTCCGAATCCTCAACTCAGGTGCCGCTCAACCTTGGGCTCCATTTGCCCCAACTGACCTGCAAATGCTGACCAGTCTCCTCCCTCGGCGGGAATACTACCCTCAAACCATCAAACGCTTGCAAAAGGTGGCTTGGGATTCTTCTCTGACGACAACCATCCAGAGTGATTGCTTCGAAAGGATTATTAGGTCCATTGAAACGAGAGTCAACCGACTGGCGAAGTTCTCTTCATCCGAAACAGAATACGTGAACTCTGTCGGAGGATTCTCTCAGCTTCGCTATCGATCGCAAGTTCGACGGCAGCTCTACGAGCGTCCCACCCAGAATACCGCAGACCTGATCCAGACTGACTACACTTATCCAGCTCGTGATAAGCGGTCAACTCCAAGGGGCGACAGAGTCTACCACATCATCAAGCTTCTTCGTGCGTCTGAGCCACGCATAAACATGAGCAACGACCTCATGAAAATCCTCGAGACCTGGGATTCTATAGACGGCTTTAGTGAGGGCCTCCCTTCACGGAGCGTACAGCCCCTTGCTAGCCAGCTCGAAGATTCAGTCAGTTCGCGCTGGGGAAGCTTGGTCAGCATGTGCCGTAACACAAAGGATTCATCTTTGTGGGCTTTTCAGCTAGGTCTACTGGCTTTCAACCTCGAAGTTGACATGGACCTTGTAATGTCTTTTGTCGGATTCTGTCGCATAAAGCAGATCAACCAACTGGAACCTCCGCCGCACGCTACATTCTCACGCTTCAAGGATCGTGGTCCAATCTCAGCCGACACTCTTCAAGAACTCATCTCCAATGCTTATATACCTGCGCAAAACGTCAAAAGGAGCAAGGGGAGGGCGTATGCAGACAGTGAACGCCACCAGAAAAACTGCGAAGAACAAGGCAAACAGCTCACTCAACTTCTATTGGCTCAGTGGCCTCAACTTCCAGATCATGCCAGCTTCACCACCAATGACTTGTCTCTCATCGACGTGGATCTTGCTTTAGACTATATCGAGCCGGAGTGGGACCGCAGGTGCCATAACGACGAGTTGTGTGCTTATATCGCCAAAGTTGATGCGATTTTGCGTGGATATCGGGGGCTTCAAGTCACAGAACGCCCTCAGCCTCCCATGTCAAGTGCCTCTCAATTTGTTACCAGAGCGGACGAGCGCATAATCCCATCGGTGTCGCAAGATCTTGTGATTAAGACATGTCCACCGCTCGAAATTTTCAAGATTGATCTCTCTGCCAAAGCGTATGAGGAGAGGAGTTCGGTCCGTGAAGACCAAAGAGAACAGGAGGGGTCGTCAAAGGAGATTGTAGAGTTGGAAGGGATTCTCACCTCTTTTGCTCGGTCACCTGATGCCCTTCGGAATAGCTATAGCCAAGATTTGTTGAGCAGCTTGGCGGCTTTCAAAAGGAGCCATGGAGGACCAGGCAGTGGCTCAAATTGGTCGAATCCCTCTGCGGAAACTATTGCGGAAACTGTTGCGGACGCCATTCAGAGCATGAAATTAGTAGCAAGCTTCTACAACGACTCCATCCAAGACGCACTTTGGGCAGGCGACTCTAGCTTTAAGTGGCTCAAGATGGGTAACCTTTTGCCATGCTCAACTACCGTAGAGATGCTTGAGCTCCTACAGTCCAAGGCCGATCACCAGTTTGGGCCTGGAATGAAGAATGCACTGATCGTGTATGGCTGCGCAATAGCTGAGCTTCAGAGACTACGACGACTGCGGACAGCTGCTCTCCAAAACAACCGACGCGGTATAGCTGAAGAGCTGCAGAACACTGGCCATGAGAACTGGAATCCCGCCGAAGAAAATCCAGATTGGCTCCTCCTTGAGATCGATAGCAATATCCTCATCCGTGAGGACCAAATCGATGTTGCACGGGCCATTATTAACCCAGTCTCGGGCGAAAACAGTGTGCTGCAACTGAACATGGGACGCGGTAGGTTATACCAGATTCTTGCTTAAGTATGACAACGGACTGACTTCTGTGACCAGGCAAGACCTCGTGCATCATGCCCATGGCGGCAGCTGTGCTGGCCAACGGGAACAATGTCTCTCGTCTTATTGTTCCAAAGCCGCTAATCATGCAGACAGCGCAGATGATGCATTCAAGGCTGGGTGGCCTCGTTGGTCGAGACATATGCCACATACCATTCTCTCGACAAACGCCCACTACCGACGACGTACTGGAGGCATACAGTGAACTGCACAGGGATATCCAGAGGTCGCAGGGCTTGATATTGACCAGCCATGAACACGTGCTCTCTTACAGGTTATCCGGTCTGCAACGGCTCGCAGACAACAAGCTGGCTGAGGCGGGAAGAATGATCAAGTTCCAGAACTGGCTAAATGCGCACTGTCGTGACTTGCTCGACGAATCGGATTTCACTCTGTCTCCCAAGACTCAACTGAACTATCCAAGCGGGGGAGAAATTGCGGTTGATGGGCATCCCTTCCGATGGCAGGTTGCACAGGGCCTGCTTGCTATAGCAGCAGAGTACATTCCGCGGCTAAAGGTTCGCTTTCCTGGAAGCATCGAAGTGGTTACTCGCTCGTCTTGGTTTCCGTCCGTACAGTTTCTCAAGAGCGACGTCGAAGATGAGCTTCACCGACTTATCATCGAAGATATTGCGAGCGGCAGAGCGCCATTCCTTCACCAAGATAAGGTGGTCAATGATAACACACGATTGGCAATCAAGAAAGTGCTGTCTGAAGAAGCGTTCGATAACAACTTGTTTGAGAAGGCCAGCAAGGCTTTTGCTGACCCAAAGAGCGCGAGGACCAAGCTGCTGGTTGTCAGAGGCCTACTTGTTCACAAAATCATGATACTTTGCCTTGGGAAGAGATGGAATGTCCAGTACGGCCTGCACCCGACTCGCTCTCCCGTTGCAGTTCCCTTTGCAGCCAAGGGTGTCCCGTCTGAGCTGTCAGAGTACGGCCATCCAGATGTCGCCATTGTCTTGACATGTCTGAGTTTTTATTCCGCTGGTCTCTCTTATGATCAGCTTCGACAGGGATTGCAGCGTGTGCTAACTTCCGAGGATGCGGCTTTGGAATATGAGCGATGGATTTCAGAGTCCACTCTGCCCCTGGCATTGCAGTCCTGGAATTTGATCAACGTGGATGATGAGATCCAGATGCAAGCTCTTTGGCGCCATCTGGGAAAGAATAGAGTGGTGACCAACCACTTCATGAACAACTTTGTTTTCCCGCTCCATGCCCGGCAGTTCGCCGTAAAGCTTCAGGCTTCGGCGTGGGACGTGCCTCTCAAACTGTCGAGAACGATTCCCGGTGCGCGGACGACAGGCTTCAGCGGCACCAACGACAACCGATACATTCTCCCCATGACGATTCGGCAAGAGGATCTTCCCAGCTTGCTTCAGACGAATGCCGAGGTTTTGTCGTATCTGCTGCAGCCCAGGAATCGGGAATACACAGTCTTGACTGACCGCAATAAGCGGCGCCTCGGTGAGTATGAGATGCTTCAGATGCTTTACCGTCAAAAAATCAAAATCCTTATCGATGCTGGCGCATATATTCTTGAGACGGGAAACAGAGCTGTAGCTGGGATGTGGTTCTCCATCGATCCCCACGCACAGTCAGCTGTTTACTTTCGCGACGACAACAGACCTTGGGTTATGTTTCGAGATACAGCAAAAGAGGATATGCCCTTGTTAGCAACAAGGCTTGCAGACGATCTCACGGGATGCTTCGTCTACTTCGATGAGGCTCATACCAGAGGCGTAGACCTGAAGCTACCGGAAGATGCAAGAGCGGCACTGACTTTGGCACTAAAGCAGACAAAGGATAATACTATGCAAGGTAAGTGTCCCTGTCTTCTATACACGCTCTGTGTTTTGGTAATCCTTCGGGGCGAGAATGATGCTAACTATTACATCTCATCTCAGCGGCCATGCGCCTGAGGCAGTTGGGCTCTACGCAAGCAGTGACATTTTTCGCTCCCCCAGAAGTCGACCTGAGCATCAAAGAGGCCTGCGAGAAGTATCATTTGTATTCAGCAGGGCAGTTGATCGGGTCTCCCGAGGTCATCTTTTGGCTTCTTGAACAAACTTGCCGTGCTAATGAGGACTTGCGACCACTCTTTGTGGCACAGGGCAGGGACTTCTGTCGACGTGAGAACGCCTTGTTACAGTACCCGGAGTTCTTGAACTCGTCGGCATTGAGGTCGAAGCTTCTCCAGCTGTTAAAGCAGCCAGAACATCAAACGCTTGCCCAGTTGTACGGAGCAATGTCGAACAGAGGATCGTCGCAACCACATGGTCCGCTGAAGTCTTTGCGACTCCAAAAGTTCGCTGATACGCTTGGAGGCTATGCGGACACCGGCTTGTCTTTACTTGAAGTCATGGGAGAAGTCGAGCAGGAGCGACAAGTGGAGGTGCAGGTTGAAGCAGTCCGCGAGGTAGAGAAGCCCGTTCAGTATCAACCGCTCAAATTTGCCGGCCTGAGCGCGGTCATTCGAAACTTCATGGAAACTGGAGTGTTAGAGACCAACTTTGCCGAGACTATCCATGCTCTCGACTACATTGGCAAGACCACGGTGGGAAAGAAGTTTGGGATCCGCAGCAGAGGAACAAGACTCTTTGTTTCACGGGAGTTTTGTCAGACTATTGTCCTGCCCAAGGCGGACAAGACTGTCGGTGACCATTTTCTGGTAAGCTCAACACTTTCTATCCAATCTCTTGTTGCTATGATCAATGCGGCCTGATGCTAACCGTTTCGTGATACTGACAGCGCCCTGTGGAATGGCTTCTTTGGAGTCCGTCTACCCAGACCGCCCTCGTCGTCATTCCCGAAGAGGTAGAGCTGCTTATTCCGGCGCTTCGATCTTCTCCGACCAAAGCAAAGATACATCTGATCGCCTACGCCGCTCCCATTACCCGAGCTATGGTGCCCTTCAATGAGCTTCGATATTACTCATTCCCGCCAATTCCGGCAAATACTTCGTTTCCCGCGTGGCTCAAGGTCGAGCTGGGCATTTTGGCAGGCCGACTCTACACAGATTACGAAGAGTGGAAGCTCACGGACGACTATGTCAGAGGGACACAGGGCAATAAACCGATCAGCCTTGCCTTTCTTATAGAATGGCTTGGTCTTCGTTGCAGAGCTCATGACATCCTTCATACGCCTATAGGCTACATTTGCCTTGGCCGGGAGGCGACTGAGTCCCACCCGTTTTTTGTGCGAAACACTGCTGCAGTTACTCCTGATGTTACGGCCGCTCAACCCGACGATGTTGCCGAGAAGTTGAGGGATGTGAAGCTGGATGCCTGGAGATGATGAACCACGAATGCCGTTGTATTTGTCGCCAAATTTGAAAGGATGTGACTGAAGGAATTGAAGGCTGAGAGACGAAAATTTTGCTGCTTGACTTGAGTATGGAAAAAACTTGTGCCTGGGAAACATGTGGAAAAGGTTGATGGATAAAAAGGGATGAGCATGAGTGAGATTGTCGTCAGCTGCGAGGGTCGAGGGAGATAACGTGTCTTGTAAGAGCCTTGTAGTTATATACGTCGATTGCTTTTTTCTGTACTTGGAAGAAGGAGGGGTGAGAGAGCGATTGTGCTTCAAGTGAGCCCATCTCATGCTGTTGCTGATACAGGTCGGAATGAGGTCAATCTTGTATGGAGAAGCATCATGTTCTCATACTAAAGGGGACATATAAAAAAGCCATGCTACTTATGCAGCCGAGAACCTCCGTTATGCCTTCACACAAAGAACAGTAAGCTTGATAGTAGTCATTCCATTATGTGGCCCCGTCTCTCCCATGGCAGCAGCTCAAGCTTATATATATCAGAAGAAGGATCTGTCCAAGAATAGTCAGAACCACGCAAAACACATCGTAAAGAGCAATACCCTGCTTAACCTAACCTGATAAGCACATTGATGACAATTATCCACAACGGCCCGAGCATGCTCAGGCCCATCGTTTCATCCTCCCGCGATACTCATCATCCGTGAATACTTACCGCTCCTCGGGCCTCCCCTCCTCGCCACCTAAGCTTATCATCCGACCTTTTTTACGAAGCATTACTACTCCAATATTGCCCCATAGACACTCTCACACGCCCCATTGCCTCCTCGTCTTCCTCCTCCACTCTCCCCATTCAGATAGATACCCTGGTTTCCATGTACACAAAGTTCCTCTACAAGAAAAGGCAGAAACAAGGCATATCCACGCCCCCCTATTCGCCTCTTCCCCTCAACCAACCCCTACACAAAACCCCCAACAGTCTCGTCTACAGTGCTCCCCCCCCCCATCCCCAAGACTTTGCCTCCCTCATGATCCAGCACGTTTCAAGTACACGTACAGCTTACCATACGAAAGTGACATACGCCCTCCACACGCCCCCCTTTCTCTCCTCACCACCACCAAACACACACCCCCCTTTCCTCCTTCTTACAAACAGCACATAACACCGTATTAACCCCCCTAGAGACACAACCCCCTCCCCGGACATGCTCAGGTATCAAGCCCCATAGCTTTATTCGCCTCCAAACCAAGGTCCCTCGCATATTCCCCCGTTCCCCGTTCCCCATTTCCCCCCCTTCGCCGAGTTCTTGCCTCCTTACGAAGTCTCCCATGTTTCTCCTCTTTCTCCTCCCATCTTTCAGAGGTTTTGCCTCCCCTCGGCCCTTCTACACCACTCTTCTCCACTGCTCTGTGGGATCCAGTCCCAAAAGTTCCCAAGTTAAACATGCGAGAGTATGTACACCGAGGCCAATTCCTTCCATCCTTCATTCTCTCCCCCCCTCCCACCCACTCAGTCCAGTAGAGAAAAGATCCATACGTCTATCGACTGTCTACCCCAAATCTACATTTAAAGTCCACCCAATCAAACATATCCCACAGGAGGAAGACCGTGAGGGGAACAAAGCAAAGGAAACGATAGTCTCCCCCTCTTATCAAACCATAGCAACAATAGTAAGAAGAATAATCAAAGCTGAAAAGGCAAGCCTCAGCGGGCAGTCATCCCTTCTATTTGATACCGAACTTCGTCCGGCCGGAACACAGAAGTGCGCATAAAGAAGGTGGGAAAAGGTGGAAGGAAAGGGAAAGGCGTCTGGCGCCATACTTGTTACGTGCAGTGTCATACGCCCAGATCTAGACTCCGGGGTCTTGTAGATGCTTGGGCAGCTATACGTCAGCGAGACGTCTTTATAAACTTAGCCATTCGGTGTCAGTACCATCGAATCGTCCCTCTGGTTGGTAGTCCATGTCTGTCCGGTTGTTTGAGATGTCGTTGCGAAACTGCCTACTGATAGGGGTACCAAGAACCCCTTTACTGGAAGAGAAAGCGTGCTTCAATGATCAAAAATGTGTATAGAGAAGCTAAAGTTGTGTCACGCCGGGTCGTCCCTCAGCAGACAGATATTGATATCATAATCATAACGTTGCCCATGTTCCATCGCAAAAAAGTCCCTTATCCCAAACTCCACCAGGGGTTCCAAGCCCTGTCCACACGCGCGTATACCCAAACCCAAGTCCCAATCCACTCACAAACCCGACCCTTTACACGTCCAGCGTCTTCTCGACAAACTCAATCTTTTCGTCCTTCTCGTCGCCATCGCGGTGGAGAAGAGCAACCTCCAAGGAGGAGTAGATGACGTCGGCATCGCCAGTCCTCTCTTCGCCCTCGCGGGCAAATTCCCACTCGGAGCGTGTGAACCTCTCAAGCACCTGCGGGGCCATGTTGACAAAGCGGAACTGCAGCTCCTTGCCAATGTACTTGCGCAGGGCCATCTTCAGCTCGATAAGGAGCAAGACACCAGTCGTGTCGATGAATGAAATCTGGCCGAAATCAAGCACAATATAGCGCAAGGGGGAAATGTCTGTGGAAATGGGTTGGATATGTTCGCGTTTACGAATGTTGGCAACTCGCCGCCTCGTAGAGTCGTTCCACATTCGGTTGTCCTCGGCGGCTTGCACCTGTGCGGCGTTGGGCGTGTAGCGAACCTTGATGTCATCAACAATCGCATTCTTGAGACGCTCGGCGTGAGGAAACAGTAGATCGGTCGTGAATCTGACAAAATACGCTTCCGGGGGGACATCGATCTCCGCATCAACGGGACGGCTCTTGGAAAGTGTCCAGTGGTTGTTCTCCGCCTGCGAGTGAGAGACCTTGACCAATTTAGGGAAGGCAAGTCTGAGAAGGGTATACACGAGGCTGAAGGCCACGGATACGGCCAACCCAATCTCGGTTGAGGTGAAGAGCGTCACCCAGAAGCCGAGCATAGAAGCGATAAAATCGATGAAGCTGATTCTCCAGTATCGGTAAAAGAGCTTGGGCGGGGAGACGAGATGAGCGACGGCCATGATCTAGAAGGAAGAAAGCGCGTTAGCATCCTTTTGAGTTCCAATGGCCTGGGATGAAACTTACAATGATAGCCGCAAGAGTTGCCTTGGGGATCCAGTACAGGGCCGGAGCAAGCTCGTAGAGAGTCAAGAGAACGAAGCCAGCGGTGAAGATAAAGTTGAGCGGGGACTTTGAGCCGGCCTCGCTGGAAACAGCCGTGCGACTCATGGCTCCTCCAGACGCCATCGAGCCTTGAATGCTGGCAACCATGTTGGCGGTTCCAAGGAACAAGAGCTCCTGAGAGCGGTCAATGTCGTATCCGTTTCGCAGACCAAAGGCCTTGCCAACACCCAGATGCTCGATGGACATGGCGATGAAGGGGGCGACAGATCGACCGGCGACCTTGGCGAGGAGAGAGGCGTCATGAGTCTTGGCCTTGGCCAGACCGCTGGAGTTGATCTCAGTCACAGCCCACATGTAATCTTCCTCATCACGGTTGTGGTTAACGCCCCAGGAGATCAAGGTGTAGATAACGAGGACGACTGCCGCTCGGCTGGTGCAGACAAACTTGATCCACTTGTTCTTCTTGCCCAGAGTCTTGCCGACGTGCTCGAAGACGAGGAGCATCGCAATACCAGTCAAGCCAATGCAAGCCGTCATGCCCTGGATCTTGTCAAGGTGGCCAAGGACGCCGCGGATGATTTCGACAGTTGTGCTACCGACCGTGAGACCGACGAGCGAGCCGACCTGGCCGAGCAAGATGACCAAGGCAACGGCCGAAATCCAGCCAGTCAAGACGGGTCCGCTAACGAAGTCGAGGAGGAAACCGAGTTTGAGAGCTCCAACAATCAGGGCGTAGACACCAACCATGAAGGCCACGGCCGAAGCAACTGTGGCCGGGTTTTCATCTGGCAGGGAGGCAACCGCCTCAGCGGTAAGAAGACCAAGGACCGATGTTGGGCCAGTAGAGACCTCTGCATGATGGAACTTTATCAGCAAAGGCTCAAAAACAAGACGGCGTGTGCCGCTGTTATATAGTAGAATCATGCGGAGAGGCAGTTAGACTAACCTTTAGACGTTCCCATGAAGAGATAGAGCAAGGACGGAATCCAGGCAGAGTACAGGCCGTGTACCACCGGGATAGTGGCAATCTTGGCGTAGGAAATGCCCTGAGGCACAAACATGACACCAACCGTAATGCCGGCAATGAAGTCGTTCAGTAGCCACTTGGGATTGTATCTGGGCAGCCATTGGACGATGGGAACCTTTTCGATGAGGTACTCGGCTGCTGCAGACGGGATGCGGCGAGCAATAGGACCAGCCCAACGCTTGGCCCTGTTGATGTTGGTATCAGTACGGTAGGCCGTAATGACATCCTCTTTAGCGTGGGAAAGGCCCTTGGAAACCTTCTCCATGTTGGCGGTTTCGGAGAGTCTCGGGGAGTGTGTTTGAAGCCCGAGATCAGGAGGTTCGGGAAGGTCTCGGGGTTGCGGCAACCTGATCAAGCCTTAGTTGGCTCGAGATACACAAGTCGATGTGCGTATATAAGAGCTAGGGCCAACCTTGATGCTGTCGATGGAGCCGGATGCCGATGGTCAAAGCTGGGGGAGGGGAAAAGGAGAAAAAGGGGGAGCTCCTCGACTCTATATAGGTGCGAGTATGGCGACTCCAAAACCCAGACGTCTCCTTGGCGATGACTATCAATGCCTAGGCAGTTGAGAACGAGCCTGCCTCACGCTGAATGGCTGTTGCAATACTCGGGCTCAAGAACTTCAAAACGAATGGTACCCTCCAAAAAGTACCGGTCCTTAGATTTGACAAGGAAATCCGAATCTGTCGCATGCAGGACACCAACTTTATCCGAGTTACCACCCTCCCTTGACGAGCAAGAAAGGCGAAGGACGAGGCACACCAACCTTGATCACAGTCGTCGACGGTTCACCGAGAGGGGTAGCATTGGGAGCTAAGAATCGCCTCGACGAC